GCCACCCATGGCGAATGCCTCGGTTTGCATTATTAGCAGCGTGACAGGCAGAGATGTACTCCGTATCATAGGCCAAGAAGATGGTGCCGGTGACATCGAAGGACCCAATGGCTGATCAAGGGCATAGCTTGCCTGCGTCTGTCTGCCTTCCCGGCCAAGAAAAGGCTACGACGATTCGCTGGCTGGCAAGCTAGATGGCCAAGAGCATTGGTATTTGGACGAAAACACGACGAACAAAGGGATCAGCGGGTTGTGACGCCATAGGCGCCACAGGCTGGATCCTCCCCCTGCGACTCCGTAGACAAGGGTCGCACACCGGTGCTCGAAAATGACCCTTGTACGACGTCCTGGACGCCACACGATGCATGCCTTGCACGGTGCATCCGCAACATGGCCAACCTGCAGCTTGCAGCGGCGGGCATCCAGTCAGCCAGTCCGCGGGAGGCCCAAAGCCAATGGGTCTTTGAGGGGGACAGCACGGCTGCAGCGATTAAGGGGGGGAGAAAACAAAGAAAGGCAAGGGTGATTTGAGGAATACTGAGAGCAGAGAGGCAAGAGGCTCACCACGTATCACCACGCTGCAGCTTCAGAATGCCTGTCGGCTTGCCACGAGTCCCCCCTGTCGGCCGTGGTGCAGTTTGCAGGTACCTGGGTTCCGGTCCCGTGACCGGAATTTGCTGACCTGGGCAACTGGTAACGGGGCGGTCAAGCCACGGCGACATGGCAAATGGACCATGGGAACGTGTGCCCACAACCTGCATCATGAGGCAAAGCAGTGTTGTAGTGTTGTTGTTCGGTTCAGGGTCAGATGGAAGAATATTGAATCAACTGTACATACAATCCTAGGCAGAAACCCAGCGAGGGCGTCGTTGGCGGTAAAAGACTGTCAGCTTGGGCGGGAAGGTACGACCCTGGTGAGTACTTCAGAAAGTGAGGCAACACCTCTCGAACTGGCACGCCAATCACGCGTCAACGCGGACTTTGGGTAGAAACAACATCACACACATGACCGTTCGTCATTGGAACTGGTTCATCGTCAGCACCCTCGATTTTTTCCAGATCGTCTGCACTCCATTCCCACCATGGTAACGGCACCGTGGATCGTGCGGGTGCTGTCAGCCGCGGGCAAACTAGGCGAACCAACTGTCTGTTCTTTCAAGCCGCCCACCCCGTCAAAGTTGAAGGGGCCAGTCTGGGGATTTCTTAGCTGCATTGCCACGCCGCCCTTTGCCGTTCTCGAGATGCAATTCAGATTCACGCTACTCCGTACTCCGTACTTGGACGGCCGCACACAGGGTCTGTCTGCATTCAATGGGCTGAGAGGGAATGGTCCTGGCCGCAAGAAGCCGTGCTAAATCTCAACACCCAATTTGTCACAACCCTCAACTGACCCCTGTGTTGCTTGTTGCTAAAATTTCGCTGTTCGACATTAGATCTGTCATAACACTGAAAAGAGCATTGCCAATATCTGTAACTCAATATAGCAATCTTCTAGATGTGGACATCCCTCAAGGGGCTCTTTCTACTACTATGTACTAATTCAACAACATATTTGTATCCGCACCCTTCCCTCTTCCTACCCGCCGCACGGCGATGCTCCATCCTCGTGGACAAAGCGGGGACATGGAAATTAGCATCAACAAGTAAATCGCTATCATACAAAACGGCGGCCCCCGCTCATCCTCACCACCTCCTTTTGGCTTGTTTGGGCCAGTGAGAAACCAAAACCTCGTTGAAAGGAGGGATTGGTAGTAATTCTCCTCACCTCGTCTGGCACCCCGGGTGGATTCGCCTGATGTCATGGATCGGCACTGCTCCGTGTACCGGGGTATTTGAAAACAGTACTACGCAACGCTCGCTGGCCTTACCAGCTTGCCAGCCTCAGACTTCCCAGATCTCCAAGGCAGGATACGGAGTGTTTGCCACCTGTGGCCTCATATCGCATCAAGTGGTTCAACAGCCTCGCAATTTTTCTGACAGCACAGCCGTGGCGTCGCTGGGGATTTTTGTGAATCGATTTTCGTGGCCAAACCCGCAGGTGCCGACTCTAACAATCTTGGCCATCTAGGAGGAGGGGAATGCTCCCGTGGCAGGAATCAGGCAGATGTTTTCAGACTGATTGGTTCCTGCAGTTGTTGTACAAGTTAATACTTGGCTATCGTCATGGGGCATGCCATTTCCCGCGACCGACGTCACAAAGTTGTCCGGGATGAAATAGGACCAAAACTGTGACGTACTTGGACTCAGCTATTTGCCCCAACAGAAACAACATTGTGGTTTTCAATGTTGCTGCTGAGTCAAGTTGATTAATGAATTACATACGGAGTCGCTCAGACACATCTTGCTATCCATGACAGCACATTGTATTTGTTCGGAGCTAGTCAACTGGGTGGAAATGGCGGGTGTAGCAGGCGAGGTCATTAGCTGTCTCACAACTACGTTGAGACAGCCATCATAGCGTCAACAAAGCGTCAATTTTTAAACCCTCAGGCACCTCGCACAGTACGAGAGGTAAGCATGACGTTGCCATGCTACATCGCTTGCGGTATGGTTCACACATCGACAATTGGCGATGCAACCTGACCTGCCTGTCTGCTTCTTCGCACTTTGTTTCTATCGTTGACTGAAACAGCCTTGATCGCAGATCACCAGCTACGAAGTGCCGGTTACCCAGCGCGTGCCAAGAATGCACGGCTGTCTCTCAACTGCACAAAGTTGTCGGCATCGCAATAGCGCCGGAATTCGTCCCTATCAAGCCAGTGGCATTCGTACCGAACATGCTGTTCGTCAACTACAACTTGAAGTCTTCTATCCCCTCCCCGCGTGCATACATGCCCCCAAGTTCTTGACCCCACGGCCCTGATACCCGCCAGGTGTTTTATATCGTTCATTTTATGTCTCCATGACCGAATCTAGCACCGATCATCGGGCTCAGCCATCAAATGAAACACTCACGTCTTCAGTCTTTTGTTCATCACACAGATGTCGAGTAGCGGTCAATTAACTGCTGCCTGCTGAATATTGCGTAATTCAACTGCTACTGTATGCAACACCGAGACAACTTTGACGTTATCGGGCGTCGTGTCTCCGGTGCTTTCATGTCTCTCTGGCACGCCGGCCAGCCCGGATGTTGCTCTTATGTCAAATCTGCCTTTGCTATACATCCGGCCCGCCAATATTTCTGCGGGTGTCAATTTTCGGAAAGTTTCTAGGTTTACTGTTTATATCCTGGTCTAGCGGCAAGACCGGTCATTGTTATCGACCATGAGTTCCCGAAGGAAGAGGTTGGGATGAAGAGATTGGCCCGGCCGCAGGTAATCGTAATACGCTTCTCATTATTCCTTTATTGCCCCCTACACAGTGAAGTACTTGTGTATAGAAGGGTAGTTTATCGGCTTGCTGGCTCAAACCTAGACTACTACAGGCACACGATTTGCTGGAAATGTTACAGAGTTACTCATGGCATATCTACAGCTAGTTTGGATCCAGACCATCAAGTCCTGGCCAGGCCAGCTGACTTGATACATCGATTTCCGCAGGTTTCTTTGGCTAAGCTAATACATTATTCCGTCTCCTATCTCTCATTTACCCGCTCGACAATGAACTCCTTCCGCGCTGGTAGACACATAGATTAGATCATACATGCTCACATTTCCACCATGACCATGCTATAGTTCAATTAGTCGAGAATATTGTGATTCCATTCAAGTGTTCACATTACACATGTGCAAAGGGCTCATTGCGAAATTCGAATCGCTCCTGGAAGCGGAACGTGCCCTTTATTTCTAGCCACGCCATCCGTCACCGGCGCCGAGTATCCAATTCATTTTCATGAGTTTCAGCCCATGCCTCGTGATGAAAATTGCCGTGTCGAAGGACCACTGCACAAATCCCTCTCCGCCGACATCTTCTTTGGACAGCGATAGGTCGTGTAGTTCTCGGAAAAGAAGGAAGTGGAAGGAAGAGATATCTACAAGGGCAAGAACTACATCACCATTATCTCGTGCTCTCTAAAGGCGGAATCCAACCCAACTCCCCCCTTGAGCAACTTTGTGCAATCACTTTTCAGAATATGAAGGCGTGAAAACCACCTCAACTATGGTGTGCGTACTCGTCTTCTGGTCGAGCGGCGAGATGGGATATTCCGTCAGCGCGGGCTTCGTCTTGCCCACAGTGCTATTCACATCCCTCAACGGTTGCAAACCCGGTAGAACCCAGTGCCTCCAAAGGCAAAATTGGGCTCGTCTGGCGTGGCAGCGTCCGGGTCAACTAACACCAACCTGTATGATGTGTCAATCGATGCATCGGGCTGCAAGTTTGGCACGATTGCCAATGAGCACCTTGCTCTCCGACACAGGGTCACCAATTATAAATTACAATAACCCAAGAGCAGCGAGAAATACGATACCTCAGGATCAAACTGAACCGACGGCACAGTCTTTAATTTCTGTCACACGAAAGAGATTTCCTAGTTCGGCTGCCTTCCCGTCAAACGGGATAGACAGTTGGGTCGAGGGCTAGAAGTCCGAGGCATCAGGGTCGGTGCGCTACCCGGGACAAGGCCAGCGCGGACGAGAGAGTCAGAGAGTGCCTGCACATGGGAACCGAGACTCATCCTGTCTGCTACTTCAGTGGGGATATTTATAACAAGAAAAAAATAAATAAAAATAGGTGTGTTAAAGGGAGGTAAATAAATCGGAGAGCGATGGACTTACTTCCACGCCGGGGTTATGCTCGTCTGCGTCGGGTACAGTGCCGTCGCGACGCTGAGGGCGCGGTAGGTCGCTTTCTGCGCTGGTGGAAAGTCACGCTGTCAAATGCCGGATTCACCATTTCCAGCCCAGACATGATTGCCCTTGGCATGGGGGAGATCCAGGGACCAGAACCCCAGACGGACGATCCCACGTGTTGCCAAGCTCATTTTCTACAGACTGGCTGGATTCTATGCGCTTGGCGTTTTGGCAGTGGCCATCCTTTGCAGTTTCAGGAACAAGAGGCTCATGGGGGTCATTGAAGATAACGCCGCCGGGTCGGCTGCCAGTCTGTGGGTGATTGGGATTGAGAACTTGGGCATCACGGGGCTACCCGGCTTGATCAATGCCACTATTCTCCTCTCGGGCATGTCTTGCGGAAAGGGTCATCTTTACTCGTCGTCCAGAACGCTTTATGGCCTGGCAAGAGGTATACCGTCTCGCTTCTCTGTTCACAAGCTGACTTTACTTACACCCGAGCAGAGACAAGCTGACACTATCCAGACGGCCAAGCACCCAGATCCCTCGTCAAGTGCACCGAATCTGGCGTCCCCGTCTATTTCGTTGCCCTCGTGAGCCTCATCACCTGCATAACGTTTCTTGTGACTGCTATCTTGTATTTTGGATGCAAGGTTTGGAGGGTGACCGAGACGGTTGATTCGCAGACGGCGGATTTGGTGAGTGGCAAGGCCGAGGTTGATGAAGAGTGCAAGATCTAGGATGAGGATGGGATCGAGGAGAATGACAAGGCGAGGCTAATAGAGATGCCCCTTTAGAAGAGATGTTAGGAGAGAGTGTGGTAGTTGATTACACTTGGTTAACTAGATTAATAAGAGAGTGACAGATAGTATTTCTGTATTAGGTCTACAAGTTAGATCCTAAACCGTCTTTATATTCGTCGCGTGTGATGAGGATGGGATCGAGGAGAATAACAAGGCGAGGCTAATGGAGATGCCCCTTTGGAAGAGATGTTAGGAGAGAGTATGGTAGTTGATTACACTCGGTTAACTAGATCAATAAGAGAGTGACGGATAGTATTTCTGTATTGGGTCTACAAGTTAGATCCTATGCCGTCTTTATATTCGTCGCGTGTCATTTTAAACGTCGTCAATCTCAATCTTCACCAGGATTGTACACTTAGTCTCCCCGCCCTTCATATCCATCATGCGAATGAAACTCCATCCAGGCACGGCATACAGTAGCCGAATAGCGGCCACAGCAATCATGGGGTTTCTAGCCCACGCATCGTCACTCTTGATGAGCATCCGCAGGAAGACCAACTCATTATCTTCATAGACCCATTCCAGTGTCTCATCCCAAATTGGCTCTGTAACCGGAGGGTTGTCACCCCTATGTAGAATGCTGAATTTGTGATGTTTATACGGCGTCGTCTTGCGCTTATATGTGTCACCTTCAATGTCGCCTGGGCTGTACAAGTTACATGTCAGGTACGGCCTGAGAGAGTCTGCCTCTCGGTCTTCGTGGACGGGGATATCCGTTGCTCCGGCGACATGCAAACGGAGTCTTTTTTTCTTGCCAGTGAGGATTCTGCCGTCGCCGCCGCTTCGAAGGGCTGCTGGCTTCAGGATGTAGCCCTCTGAGCCGCTGAACAACGCGTCGTTGAGCTGATTGCTTGTGCCAAATGTTTGCCAATTGAGAGCGCAGATTTGCGCGCCGATGGCCCAGAACTTGAGGGGCTTGAGGTTTGATGAGGAGATTCGTGTGCCCTTGGGGTAGACGCGCATGAGGTGTTGAGAGTTGTGGGCAGCGATGGCGATGGATTCATCGGGGAGGTGTGAGGACAGACCCGATTCGGAGACGTTGATGAGGTGGTGGTGCGGCCCGTTTACAAGAGTACCTGGGTTGAACCAGGAGTTGTCGACTGGTTTCACAGACTGGGCGTATACACCCAAGTCTGCTAGTTCGGGAATGATGCCGGCGGGAGCAGCTTCTTTTGTCTTCTCCTTGTATGCCTTTCGAGCGGCTTTGGCTTCCTCCCCTTCCTGCTCATTGTCCGACGGCGACTCGCTCTCGGATTCCTCAGCGGCGCCGACATCTCCCTTGAGATCGTACTCGACAATGACAGCAATACAGGCGCCCAAATCAGCCAGACACACATGTTCATCTTCGCCGCTCTGTTCTCGATGTCCCTTCTGTATGACCGGCTGAGCAAGTAGTCGATCCCCAAGAACCTCCTTCATAATCTCCACCAGTCGCTTCTGTCCCTGCTCACCGCAATGGTTCTCGAGCGACAGCAAAATAGGCGCAACAGCATACGAGGGGTCCTTTTGCGCAATGGCCTTTTCCTCGTCAAAGACATCCCGAATAGTCTCACACACCTGCCTGAACAAGATATGCGACACCAGAGTGAAACCGTGAGTGACCTTGGGTTCCTCAGGATTCGCGCTGTTATCCCAGGCGTCTATTTCAACACACCGCGACCCCGTCTTCAAGGCAGTCTCGTATGCCGATGCCGACGACGTCCCGTACAGCTGGTGCGCCATGAGATATGTGTTGTGGCTGGAGCTGATGAAGTATTCTGGCAAGGGGCGGGACCTGTCCAGCAGCGACTCGGGCACGTCGAAGTGAGATTTGCCCAGCAAGCTGCGCAAGGCAGGAGTGGTTTCATTGGAGCCGATGCCTGCATCGTGCTCTGCAATGACTTTCTGCTTGGCAAGGTATTTGCGAAGAGCATTGCTGACGTTGAGCTGCTGCTTTGCGTGGTGAGCTTTCCGCGTGCTGCGACCTCCGCCGCCCACAGAGTCGACGGCAATGCCCTCCCCTCCGTCTTCGTCGTCGGAGCCGAAGGGATTGAGCTTGGAAAATTTGGATGAAATGTGATGATCTGCCATGGTGGCGGTGGTGAATGTTGGTTGAAAAGGCAGCAGGATGGGGGTGTGTGCCAGAGGTCAAGTTCAATGTTGGGTTGGACGTGCCGGAGATTCGCCCGTGCGACGCCAAGTCCACTGTTGACACTCGCCGACCATGTGAGAGGATGGCTGTGTTGGTTGCGTGCCAAGGCATAGGCATGAGCTGAAGGTTCACATGTTGATCTTCGTTGGTTCTTGTGAGGCGGGGTCATGACGGCATCGCCACACTTTAATTCCGTTTGATACAAAACAGAAATGGAGATGGATGGCATTTCCGTCGGAAGTCTCCCGTGATGAAATATTGCCCATCTGCAATGCAGGGACCCCCGGAGTGCCCCAGTTGTGCAAGCAGGGCCGCCACGTTGGGCAACACCATTGGGCTCAGGCTGGAAATGCGATTGACTTCCAAGAACGGCGCGCGGCGAAGCTGCTCTGGAGCCAGCAACTCTGTGCCCCTGGCGCATGCCTGAGAACCCAGGCATCCACGCCAAATGCCAAGCAAGATTCTCAGGCACAAACCCAGGGCCCCACTCTGGCCGTTGACAAAAAGGCTGGAAAATTATTCTCCATTTTGCTCTTTTTCTTCTTTTCCTTCATTCAAAAATGAACAACGCAAAAAACACGTTCAAGTTTCTCGCAACATGCTGGTCCGAGGTGTGCTTTTACAGCCTGCGCCCAAGACTGCCGGTGACTGAGGAACAGAAACGGAGATGAAATCGAACAATCTTGGGTGCGGTGCTCTCCTGGCAGTAGCCAAATGGGGAGGATCGCAATGATTGAACGTACATGCCCATGTCGACACTAGGGTTCTGAATGCTTCGCTCAATTGCCGAGACCGACGGGTGCCTTTATGTGCCAATGTCCTAAAAGACGAGAGGAATATTCTAGTCACCAAAAACCCCTGCTGTGTATTGAGAATGGGTTGGGGAGTTGGCAATTGACGCCATGAGCGACCGGAGGTCTTGCCCGGAAGACCTCTACGTATTGTGGTGACTGTACTTTTCTTGCCCACTGATCGACTTATGCTCATCGTCGCGTAGATTAATTAATTAAATGTTTCCTCTCATCGGTTGCCTGAACCTGCCCACCTACGATTCCTTGCCTGACGCAACCAACGCTCTACGAGGCCGGTAGTCACATGACCAATCGCCAGACTTCACATCTAGGCACATGGTGTTACGAATTGAACCTTTTCAGTTGGAACCAAACTGTATTTTCGTTGGAGTATTATATCGAACAGTATACATGATTGAGCGCCAGTGTCCATATATATTCCCTGCTGTTCAAGGTGTTGTGGCTGGCTGCTGGTGTGCGCAACGATGATCAAACGACAGGTTTCCGTCCTGCATTGTTTGTCGGCATTAAAACGAACGCTCGTGCTTGAATATCTCTCTTCAGCACGGCGGGAGAAACGAAAGAAGCAACATAAACTCATTTAGACATCCTGACCCAGGCGACTCCCATGCCCCGCATGTTTTGTCTGTTTCATTTTCCCATACCCAAAAAAAAGAAGAAGAAAAAGGCCACCCGCCATTGACACTAGTAAAACAAATCGACGGCCAATCCACCCAGGTCGGCATAAAATAAAGAGGTAAGTAATACAGTACTGAAGATTTTGTCTCAAAGAACCCCCTGTTGTGCCCCGACTCTTTACTCAAGAGATTCGACAACGTTGCGGGCGGCAAGGTCAAGAGCGTGAAGATCACGCTTGGCCTTCCAACATGGTTGACCTGGCCTCCAGCACCACTGTGGATTGGCTTCGGGGTTGGCTTCAGGGCTCGCCTCACGCTTCGTCTTCAAGCACAGGATGTTTGGGCCGTTGCAGACGGCAGGGAAGTGGCCGCCTTGGTGGGAGGGAGGAGCGTCGCCCCCCTCGTCCCTCTTTGACATGTCACGAATCTCGTTGATGACGGCTTCGGCGGCCCTCTTGGCCTTCCAGCAGGGTTGTCCGGGCCGGCCGCACCAACGCTTGTCTTTCCAGCAGGGTTCTCCGGGCGCGGAGCACCATTGACGCTTGTCCTCCGCAACTGCGTCTCTCTTGTCTTTCCAGCAGGGTTCTCCGGGCGAGGAGCACCATTGACGCTTGTCCTCCGCCACTTCGCCTCTCTTGTCGAGTCCTTCATCAGCGGCGAATCGGGTCTCGAGACTTAGGTCACGGTAGTATTCGGCAGGCTCGCGGGCAGTCAATGAAGCAACGTGGGCGAGCTCAATCAGGGATCTCTTGATCTTATACGCAGCTCCGCCAGGGGAGTTGCTGTATTCGGCTTCAGGGGTGCGTTCTTTCAGTGCGCCGGAAGACTTGATCGACTCAGAGAAGGCTTCAGCAACTCTCTTGACCTTCCAGCAAGGTTGGCCAGGCCGCCAGCACCAAGGGGAAGCCTCTGGAGCAGGGGCTGGAGCAGCGTAAGCGCCTGCGGCCGCCAGGGCGAGGACGATGGACGTAACGTGCATGGTGCCTCTCCAGTAATAAAGAAGATATGACAAAAAAGGGAAATGAAAAGTTGTCTTGAAGAAGTCTCGGACTGACCAGTTCTATACAGTAGTCTCCAAATGCAAGTTGTCTTGAAGTAGATGAACGAGCAAAGACCATGCACGACGGCGGCAACGACGCTGATTTTATCCCTTTTGGGCAAACAACGACTGAGACGGAAGAAAACAGATGCAAGTAGAGTCTGACGAGAGAGAGCTTTGGTCACATTGTCGCCATGTGAGCCCTCAGTGAATCTAGTCGACTATTGAAGAAGGGAATCAATAGATTTCGCGTCAACACTTAGCGCTCCATTGTGATGCCAGCTGCGTCCGCCATTACTCAACGCCTCCCACGCTAACAAATCAACTAGATGATCTGGGTTCTTTCTCGCAAGCCATTTTATGAGGTAATGTCTCCATTTGTGGTAAAGACGTGGAAGCCCATGCGTCCATGGACGATGAAGTGAACTTTGCGGGAGGCTGCATGGCCGACTACCCGCGCCGCCGGTGGGGTCAATTATCAGCAGAATAAAGCCATGGCAATGTTTTGCATGCCTAGCTATTGAGTTCCTCTTCCACTTGTGGCAACTGTGTGGAGGCGAGGAGCCGCATGGTAACTGCGAGATGGACTCGGGACGGCCAGCATGCTTGGGGGAGGCGTACGGTATATTGGAAAAGCTTGCCTTATTGAGAAGGAAACCCCGAAGCTGTACAATCACAGCCCTGGATTCCACAGGCACAGACTCCTGGCGCGACTGGCTTTTACTCAGCCACTCCTCTTGGCGTGCTATTGAGCGTTGCCGAGGTGTAGTTGTGTTTGTGCCTGAAGTTATTGATCTTGTATTCATTACCAAATCGGGAAGGTGGGTCCGCGCTCGAATACCAGACGTGCCTTTGCGCCGGCCCTCAACGTCGAACTATAAGTGCCACGGGCGTTCCATGGCACTGGACATGTGAAAGCAAAACTTGGTAAATAAAGGGAATTTACCGTCGTGAATTGCAACGAAGGATGCTAAAATTATCGCGTCATTGGCGGGAACCTCCTCACGTGGCGAGTTGCTCCTTTGTGCCACTTATCAGAATGGACGCCGCATTGCGAGTTGAGGGTCTATGAACATTGAGATTGGCTTAGTAGAACCGTTTGTCCTTGCCCAAATAGCCTAAATGAGAAATATGTAGTCGAATCATGTAGATGGACGCCCTGGGGCTTCCCAGGACGCATCCACGACTCGACGTCCGTTCCTGTGTAATTGTCGGGATTGTACTCCGTATTAGTCGGCGAGACTTGTTTCGACGGCGAGTATGTGCCCCTGGCCCAGATACTAGTCCACGCCATGCTTTGGTATGCCGCGTGATTTGTTACATCCCATATGCGAGTCATCTGTGTTAGATTGGACCCGAACACCGGGTGTCTTGATCCCAGAACCAAGGAAGGCATCGATCCCAGCCAATGATGAATTGGCTCAAGGCCCAATTTTGATGCCTGCTATGGGTCCCGGGCGCTCGGTCCAGGAAGCCCGGTCCACTAGTTCGAGTTGACGGTGATAGCCGAAGCTCTCAATTGAGTATGTGTCAATTGAGATAATTGTCGTCTTGGATGCTGATAGTAGATAGTAGAGTATATGCCATTATATAGCAGCCTATTCAGGTGGATACCGCGCAGATGTAACAGCATTGGATCCATCCTGTGTGGACTATTCAAAATCGACACTGTCGATCCCCCGGGGCAGACGGGCTGTGACGGCGGCGTCATCGGTGGCCTCCTCCGTGGTAGCCCGATGTCACTGCGAGTTTTGGATCCGACATGAAGATGGAGACGTACCTGCATCCCAACGATGCTATATCAATATTACGGTACAGTACTGGAGCGGATTGCTGATGACCCATGTTGTGTGACGTCAGGCTCACACCTCCCGCAGAAATGGTCAACGTCATGACTACTCCGCAAATCTGTGCCGTAAAGAAGCACGCCATAAGTAGTAATGAATTCATCGTTTCAATAGTTTGAATACGATCCATCTCCACATAACAATAAAACCTCAATTACGATCCCACCATGGGTTTACGACCGGCACAGGCCGCCCGCTTGTCGCGACTATTCGTCACCAAAGCATATCACACGAACCCCATTTCTTATTCGCCATACAAGGATTCACAAGACAGAAAATCGCTGAACCCACGGTCGGCAGAAGCTACCAAATCCGGTAGAGATGATGATGTTGCCAGTGCCCCAAAAGCCGCGTTTGGCCGGGGGGTAACTTCGCCAGAGGGCGAGCGTGCGACAGCCGCGAAGGAAGAGGGCAGTGATCCGCTGGAAGTAAGTGGCGCCAACCAGGAACTGAGTAAGCCTCAGGGAGATGAGAGATCTGGACACGCGATGGGTGCAGGCAAGGAGGTCAGGAAAGGGGGGAAGAGCGGTGGCGGCAGTGCGCCAAAGAATGGTGGTGCGAGCAAAGGGTATTGAAGTGTTACGGAGAGAACAGGATATTGGATCGCGGGCTGTGATTTCTCCTGGAATGCACTTTGATAGACTTTTCAGGCACAATGGCGACTATGTCCGCCAGAGAAGTCGTAAATCGCATGAGAAACTAGTAACCTCTGCACTGAAGATCAATGCCGATCACTGTGATGCTCTCTTTTTGTTAAAATACACTATTATTTTGGGTAAATTTGCCTTGTCTCTTTTACATTATCACCTTTACTCCTACTAATACGCGGCTCGAGCTTGCAGCCCTTTCATTTCACGTTCCCAGCATTGGACTGACCAAGCACACAGCCTTGTCCAAAACACTCTTAGTATTCCTCGCAGTTCGGGCACTCTCATCATTCCCTCCGTGTCAAAGTAATACTGCAGGAGCTGGAAATTCCATCAAAGTTTATGGAAATTGCAGTTTCGTCCATTTAGACCTCGCTCTTGGCCAGATGAACTGCTTCGCCAGCTCCTCTAATGGCCTTTACTCATATGCTTCATGAGCATATTGCGTGACGCACCCCGTATTTATGAGGACAAAAGGGGCCGTCGCGCCGTCAAGGGCCTCAGCTGTACATATGGGCTTCAAAGAAAAGGTCGCAACAAACAGGAATTCCTTGCTCTTTGTCAAACTGCAACACAACACAGTCCTCTTTTGGGCTACATAACAGAAGTTAGCCATCAAAGTCTGTTACTATATTTACAGGTTCTGCGGCCACTTCGCATTCTATGCTCATCTATATTTGTTGTTCGCCTGTTTCCGTCGGTATCCCTAAGGTTCTGACATCCTCCTGACTCGGGGAAAAACTCATTTCGGGCTCAGATGCGGCCGGTCAAGCACCAGCAAGCATCATATACTAGTCCTGCTTCAGCAAAGTGTCTGTCCCTGCCCTAAACTTTGTCAACTTTGCCTAAGCCACTCGTTGTTCAGCAGGTCTTGCACTTTTGTCCTTTGATCCGGTTCGTGCTTAAGCAGGCCGGCTAGCATGTCCTCCCACTGCTCCTCTTCCGGCGTCACAACCTCACAAACCTGGGAAAGTTAGTAAACTAGAAAGGCGAATGCTAACAGAACCCATCTGCATGGCAGATGCCCCGACCGTTTAGGACGGCTGAGCTTCAACAGAATTGCCGGATATTTTGCGACGAATGTCAGTACCGCTTTCTTGAAGATCAAGAGTGCTTGGTTTACCATTGGCTGAAGTGCAGGATAGACCAGGCAGAGGTGCGTTTCTGAGTCTGAAGGCAGGTAGTTCGCGGCATTCGGTTTCCTTCATACAGGCGACGAAGGCCATCATCACAACGTACGTTGGTGTGTTTTCGTGCTAGTCACGGCTGAGACATACGATCGAGGAGCCACCATCGTCTAGCTCGTGAATAACCCGATGCCGGCTGCCGTGAAGCCCATCGCCAAGGCAAATGGAGTGATGGCCTCCTGGTCAATAATAACGAAGTTCCTTCAGCCAAGAATTATCAACATGACATCCGTCATAGTAGAGCCGTCTCCAGAGTCCATGGCCGTGAGAGATGTTGGGAATAGTCTCTTTTACCCGAGCCCCAAAGAGCTTTAGAGACTTCGCCAGCCTTTAATTTTTATGCGTAGGCGTTAGGGATCCAAGGTCAGGTAAACTGGAACCGGGGAGCCGATTTCGACGATTGTTGTCAGTTGTGCTCTCAGTATCGAAATGAGACACAAGTTGGGCGGCAGTTGGTCATTGACCAACTGGTTCAATTACGAAGGCCCATCAACGATGCAATAACCATCCATGAACAAACATAACAAACAGATTTGGCAGGCCCAAGCTGCTACCCCGTAGATGGACATGCAAGTCTCGTTCCCGAACTCTTGCAAATCCGTGACAGTTGCATCCGCTGCGGCTCGTCTGTTGCCTGCCAGTCGCCCTGCGCTGCGTGGCGCAGCATGATGCAGAGCTCATTCCACCTAATAGCCGTGTTATCTGGTATCTCGATCTGCAATCTGTCGGCCGACGCCGTTTGGTATCGTCGGGGACGTTGCTGTGCTCATCGGTCTCAAGTCGCCACACCTGAGTAATATGCACAAGTAGAACGAGGTGCGCGTCTACTTTTGCAATCAGAGCAGCTAAATTTGGTGGCTACATGCAACACCTTGGAACCAATAGTCCATGTAAACCCAATGAGGTGAGACTGATACGAATTGGATAGCAGCTATCTTGGCCTGGTGAGGCTTTTCGGTACAACGCAAGCCGCCATATGTACGGCTACCCGTGAAGTGATATCATGCAAGTAAAATGGTTCACCTAGGTCTAGCTAAAATAGCAACTTCAGCTTTGCCACTTCAACTTGTCTCCCCTGTAGGCTGTAATGTAACCTTGGTCTTGCTCCATGTCGTCCTCTGCTCCACCAGTTCACCACACCATCAAAGACATGAGTCAAAATACAACCTTGTTAGGGCCGATGGGCCGCTGCATGCAAGTCATTCGATCTAGTTTTTCTTTTGTCCGACACACCAGGAAAGGTTCAAGGAGTCTGGTGAGCTATCGCCGTCGGTGCTGTAGAAGATGGGACGGTTTTCAAAACAGCTTGTAGTCGGAGCTTCTTGCCACAGAACATTGACCCGACGTTGCAAAAGCGTAGTGGCATGGCCGACCAGCCGATTCTCCTTCGGTGGCTAGACAAGAGACTCGGGGAATCCATAGAGCATCGACGTCAATGTGTAGCAAGTTCCTTGGCTCAATGCTGCGGCTGCATGTACGGCTTACTCCTTGGGGTAACAACACAGGAGAAACTATCGTGGCGCTGGCCATCTGCCTGTTGTGCAACGTCGCTTGGCTTACGGACTGCGATCACGGATAGCCCGCGTGTCCCATTACCTACAATTCGTTCCATTTATGCATGTCATCTTGCCGGGGGATGCAGCTACTTTGACTGTTGCCCATTCTATGATGATGCCTGACCACAAGTTCATCAGCCTTATGCCAAGGTCTTTTTTGGGCATCCAAATCGTACGCTTGCGGCCTGGGTGACTCCATTACTCACGGTTTCTTGTTTCGATAGCTTCTTTGACTACCCTTGTCAACATGGTCGTCTTTACATTCATCCAACGGCCTGTCAGGCACCGCCTCTCACGGACATGCCTTGACTGACAACGCACCTTGTTGGAACAATTGACTGGCTGGCAGATGAAACTTCTTAAACTTGTCATAACTGCCAAAAATGGGATTCTACATGGTCTCTGGAGCCTCGCCCAGCGCGGGACTCAAAGCACAACAAACCCCAATGGTGAAAGCTGTACCGGACGTTATTCACAAGAGGAAATGGCAAAAACAACCCCCACGTAGATTTTTAAAATAAAACTGCCGAGCGAATTGGCGGATCATATGCTCCCCCCTGTGGCAATTGTTTTCTTGCAAGTGAATTCCCTCAATTGCATGGAGCTGATTTCGCTGCGTTGCCCTTGCGTGGCATTTGGTCCCTGTTGATATGCAGGAACCCTGATTGATCATGGCACATCCAAATCAACTACTATCTGCATCTCTCTTTTGCTTCTGTCTATCCATATCCACATGTAAACAAGTAGATAAGGTCATGTGCATCCTCCCGACATCCCGACTGCCATGGATGTCTTGTAACCTTTGGCCCGTCCACTGCAACACCACCTCTGACCGTATACCCTGGCTCTGCTCCCGGATTTCCCGCGGCCGGGCAGGTGGAAGCGATTATCTGTGCCGAACCAAGCTCCGCCAGTGGCCCGACATGGCGGATAGAAGTCGGCGTTTGCATGTCTGGGCTCCGCGGGAAGATAACGTTGCCGTTATTGGAGCCGACTTGCCATCTGTTTGTTTTGCTGCAAACTGAAAAGATACACCCCTGCCAATGTGCATCGTATGCTACCCCCCGGATGAAGGCATCAACGGCGTAGGGTCCAAGACTTGCGCTTGGTGACCATGGCAAACACATAATGCGAAGCCACAAGAACAGCCCAAGCTCTAGCTTTTGGGGGACTATAGCAAGAACCTCTGTTGGACACCGAGCCCGGCATGGATGAATTCACATTGGACGGAAAGGACAGGCGTGGCAGAGGTGAAATACGATGCATATCACTCTTCTGCATTTGACGTTTGCCGGGCAACAATGAATCGGGCTCTCGTAGGAGCTATACTTTTGAAGTTACTATTGTGCAAGCATATAGTTGGCTGTGGGATGAACTGGCTCTTCTTTCCAGGCTACATATGTAGCCTTCATGCGGCGTAATAGGAGTTCAGCTTCAATATCCTTGCGCCAGTGTGGGGGAACCGGTGGCAATACTACCATCATGCCGCTAAAATTAGGTACTCTGGGTGTGAAAAGTTATAGGAGAGTTGCACTGGAGGCACGAACATATGCATGTTGGGTCGTAAGATGCCAAGCGTCTTGGAATCCCGTTGACAGGAATCCACTCCCGTCATCAACGGTTTAAAGAGGAGAAAATGCAACAAGGCGATGCAGGCTCGGGGTGTACTCTGTTGCCCGCATTCTGGACGAGCGGAAAGCAGTATAGTTATTTCCGATTCCGCAGTAAACCGTTGCGGCGTGAGGTCCCGTTTTAATCCTCGTTCATTTATTTCTACAGGGACGGAGATGTTGGGAAGAGCTTTTCCCTGGCACTGGAAGGTGATTGACACAACTCCAATGACGATGCAGTCCATGGTTGGTCCTCATGCAGTATCCAGAACAAGTTTGGGAGGACCGTTGCGTAAGTAAGGCAGTTAACTAGCATTGATTCTTGCAAGACCCTAATAGTTCATTATAGCAGATGTACCTTACAAGCAACGGAACGTCTCTGCTTGTGTCGGCTACACATGAAATAGACGTATTTCAGATCTAGAAGAGGCCAATCATCACATCTCCATGAAGGAAATGCTTGTATCCGTTGGACCAGCGATGGAGCATGTGCAGAAGGCTTTATGTGTACGCCAACACCCCCTACTGCTCTCGCATGAATTGGTCTGAGTAACTGCAGGGATGTAAAAGCTGAGCATCCAAAAGTCTCTTGTTTATTGACGGCTTGACCGTATACCTGCAACTTGTACGCTAGCCTCACGTAGCCCTTATGCGGGCTGTCAACACGGATGTAAGTCATTGGATAGAGTCTCGGCAGAGAGAGGTGCATCTTGATTCCGTGCATATTACTCTCTTTGCATACACCGGGAAGTCCGACAAGGACAGAAACTTTGTCTTTGGAAAACAAGCTGTCAAAAGGATACAGGACACGGTGAACAAGTATAAATAACCAGCTCTCCTCTCGAAACATTTCAATCTTCATTCCTACTTTGCTGCAGCGGCTTCAATTCAAATCCATCCACTCACACCCAACTGCCTCTACTGTTTCCAACTTTACATCTACCACATCTCAACATGAAGTTCCTCGCTGTCGCCGCTCTCCTTGCGGGTGCTGCCATTGCTGCTCCCACTTTTAACACTGGCGGCGGTTCGGTTTGCCCTTCTGGTCTCTACAGCAATCCCCAGTGCTGCTCTACTGTTGTTCTCGGTATCGTCGGCCTTGACTGCCAATCCCGTGAGTATTGCCATCTTGAAGCGTACCCTTGAAAAGATTATACCAACTCCAAGAATAGCTAGCAGCACCCCTCGTGACGGCGCGGACTTTAGGAGTATCTGCGCGGCGACCGGAAGTCAAGCTGTATGCTGCGTAGTTCCTGTTGTAAGTTCAGAATCCCACCCAGTGAACCTATTTAAAACGATGGCTTCCGTACTGACACAACCATGAAAAGGCTGGCCAAGACCTTCTCTGCAACCGCCCGGTGGGTGCTTAGGAAACTGCGTACCTTCGGATCAAGTACTATAGCCAATTAGATGATTCACATTTCTAGTCTCAAATCTGTCCTTGATGACTATGGATTGTGGCTTATAGTCTAAGATTGGGAATGTGGTAGATACTTCGCTTCAGTTACAAAGTTTGCTACTTCTTGTATCAGAATAGTGCCGACATCAAGGAGACAAAGGCTTTTCACATTCTCTGAATATACATACATATAAACATGATTGGAGGTGATATCACAGTGAATCTGTATGTCTATGTTGTCTGTTATACACACAAGGTGGACAAGAATACACATCCTGTCGTCGATAAAGAACAACGTGTGCTCTCAGGGGCGATGCAAGTCTCTCCTGCAAATCTTGTAGGTGGGTATTATTGCCATCTTGAACAGTAACATTGACACCAGAATGGAAGGACTTGTAGTTACGGTTGCTGCCTCTTATCGACTTTCAGCTGTGCTGGCTCGGAACCGTACGTCGCAATCACTCATCCAACGCGAGGCAGCTTGTTTGTGCGGAGCCAGTTCAAGTCTAATATAATTAGGACCATGGTTTCTTCCTATGGAGATTGTTTCCAGGCAGGCAAGCGTTAGCTGCTTGTCATTGTACAAACTTGCACCGATGTTTAACGCCAAAGGCATCCATCCCAGCAGAGAACCTCGAATGGGAGCAGTATTTTAATCCCAGCACCATAACGGGCTATACTGTTACGAGAATCAATAATGCAGATTTGGGAAGTAATGACGGAGAATGAAATAAAATCATGGCAAAGGGAGTAGCCCTACTGCATATTGCAAATGCGCGTACCACGAAATGACGGAAATGAGCATCTTGGCGACGTCTTAATTGACGCTGGTCAGGTTCAAGTCGCCTCAGTGTGGCGTGGGACGTCTAAACAGACGCAAAGTCCATAATGAGGAGCAAAAAAATACTTTGAGAGCTATATTTCTGAGTTGTCAAGTGTTCATGTGAGCCTTCTTGGTTCCGCTTTCCAGGGTCCATCCTTCAGAGAACCAACCTCACAGTTGTACTATAAGCTTGAAGCTTGATCCATGTTTCAGGTCATTTCAGTATCTCCAGACCCTTCTTTTATTAGATTCAGGCTTCGGGTTTCGCCAACAACCTTGGGCGGGCTCCAGGCAATGTATTTCGCCAGGCAGTGTCTCAGCTGAGGGATGGGTATTGAGTTGTAGTACGTTGAGGAGAATTGCCTACTAGGTATAGTATATGATTGAGGGCCTTTAAGAAACCAGGAACTATCTACTCTTGCCGCCATGTCAAATACGGAAATGATCAACACTAGCCTCTTGAGGATGCTTCAAAGTCCACGCCAAGGAGCGATTTGTGGAATACTATTATCGGTCGGTTCTGGCCAAAAAAGCCCTCAAGGTACTATCCCAGTGGCCATGACGACCATGCAAGGCAACGCAGCGGAGTTTCAGGAACTGCTTGTCAGTAGTTTATCTTGCTTTCCGATGCAGGCAGGAAGTTTCAACTCAATGTGCCAGCCGTACCGTCCAACCACATCCATTCTTGCACACACTGCGCGTCATAACATGGCACATCTCGATAAGCGAACGGGTTTACTACCATTATTCCAAGATCGGGACGGCGATCGGGGCCACACACTTGTCCTTAGTGGCTTCATGCTAGCAACGCCGCTCCAATGAATGCCGCGTGTGGCGGAGAGATGAGCTGGACTGCGGGACATGACGTAGTCCTCCATTGGCCTGGACTTGACGTCGTCGAGCAATTGATTCGTTGATTGCCAGACTGTAGCGGAGACGTTGTCGCTCTAAGTTGTAGCCCAGTTGCAAGGTCCAATGGTGATGATGATACGGCCATGGGGCAACACACAACTTGGAGGCCTAGTTGAGGAGGACAGAAGACGTCACTGGTCGTGAGGAGAAGGCCTCCGAGTATAAGATGCAAGCGTTTTCTGCCAGCGGAATTGTCGACAGTTGGCGCAATACTCTTCATCGCTACAGACTTTACAACTTGCCTTACAGCTCTATATACCCAAACCACACACCATGGATTTCGTCAAGAAGGCCGCCGAGGGCATCAAGGGCAACTCTGGTGAGAAGAAGGACCAGGCTGCACAGGGCCAGGGTGGCGAGCAGCAGGACTACGTCGACAAGGGTATTTTCCATCGTCTACTCCTGTACACCTAGATGCTGACCACCTCGTAGCCTTTGGCATGGCGGCGAGCAAGAGCGGCCACAACATCGACCGCAACACCCAGGAGAAGATCACCGACGCCGGTCGGTCCGCCTACGAAAAGGCCACTGGGTAGGTGACTTGCCTCGGTCATGGATGAAGAGACTAGTGGACTGACACGCAACGTAGAAGCAAGGTTAACCCCAAGATTTCCAACTAGAGAGCGAACCACCGGTCGCCTGTTGCATTCACGAATAGATTGTCAATGGCTATGACGTGTGGTCTATGTTTCACTTATACCTACCCTTTTGAATAAAAAAAGTTTAACCGCACCAACTGTATTTGGAAACGATGTGCAGGTCGTGAACAGGCTTGAGCTCATTCGTACCCCTCCTTTGCAATTGAGCACCGCTTTAAAAGTGTAAAGTGACGGTTCCATGAGTTTGACCATGGTTGTCGCGCCTCTATGGCAACTTGTTGACGACTAGATGGCGTGCAGGCGCAAATAACATTGGAAGTCACTGCGCTCGCCAATGGACCCAAGGCTCGCGCCGCTGGCTGTACACGTTTTTGAACCAGTTGCATGCTCTGCTAAAAATCGTGGCTAGAGGGAAATCTGTTCAACTCGGAGAGCGACACGATTGTAGGTGAAAACAAATTGCCAAATTTCAATGTTCCAGCTTCCCAGAATACCAGACAATTTGCTCCCGGCACCGCCACAAGGGAGGGACAGCACTGTGGCGCCTCAACGGCACGTGCATACATATGTAGACATCAAACTTAGGTCTAGGTAGCACTGAAGCCCAAGTATCTACCCCGCTCGTCTCGTATCGTAACGACATCCTGCGATTCTGAGAAGCGTCAATAGACTCCCACCGTGGTCTGCCACCACAATTCCCGCAGGCCATGCAGTTTTCTCGCAGCAGGTGCCTCCCGTACCGGGGCTCATCAGCATCCCGCTAGTTCTCCGCCGCATGGGTACCAAGTCTGCCAATAGGGCTGACCTCGATGACCAGATCGCGACTTACCTCAACATCGATTCTGACAGTGGTTTCGCGCCCCCCACGTGGCAGTCACATGTTGGCACCGTCTTAATCGCTCGGAAGGACAGGAGCCCATTACTTCCGCAGCATTTTGAGGGCGTGTGGATGTACTGCGACTACATTCTAGACCTCTTTGGAGAAGGACAAGGCGCGCCGAGGTGGCTATACAATCGTCCGGCGTTTGAGAAGTGGTGGGAAGGTTACTGCAAGGAACAGAAGTGTATGCGCTCCGGGAAGGGAGGCAAGCAAGATCCTGACGATTGGCGGGCCGTCGGGTCGCCATACGAAAGCGAAGACTCCTGAGATGAAGTAGTCGTATGTCCTGGTCTACAAGAATGCCGTCTTGGGACGGTTTGGCGTCCCATAGACTCGCACCAGTTCAGGTCATCTCTCATACAGCTCTTACGTGTTATGGTTGTGGCTCTCATATAGCTGTCTGGTTTCTGCAGCGAGGACCCTCAATCGCTGCGTTCCATCAACTATGGTCTGATCGAGCCGGTTCGCGATGAAATTCTGCTGTCGTATAGGACTAAGAAGCGATACCCTGAAGCGTCGTACACCTAGATAGCTGTACGTGAAGACTAGTAAAATCACATTTAGAATGTTCACCGTGAGAATCCCGCACTGCGTTTTGCAAGGCTTGGAGGAGAGCTGCGTAGTTCTGATGATTCTCAGCCGTTACTGACGGCGCCTCGGGAGATTCGTTTTCAACAAGGGGGAACTCCACGTCAACAGTGTCATCCCCTTCCGATCGGCTTGCCCAGAGCTTTGCGTCTTGGCGTGTATCCTCGGCTGACTTTCTCAGAAGGCTTATGTTTGAGGCGTGGAAGCGTAGGCGGGGAGAGAGTGTCGCCTCGTAGTTTGACCATATATGGGTAATATCGCCGTCTCGCCGCGAGAGGAAGTCTTCCTAAGGGACAAATAAGGCTAAATGCAGAACAGAATTGCTAAAGAGAAAGTTAAAGCTAGCTCGCAGTAAATCGTGTGGTTTTAAAGCCTACCGTTCAAGGTACACTGGATGTTCATCATGGTGATCGTCGCTGATGAATCCTTGAAAGATTGGCACGGCGTACTGGTGTGGCTGTCGGATTTTTTGGATCCAGTAATGATACTCGGGTGACGGGCCTTCGAGACAGATATGAGATTCATCATCGCCTCCCCCCTGCCGGCGCTGCAGACTTATCATGGACATATAGTCGTACAGACACAACTCTCTCAAAATAGAGCCTCTGAATACGTAGGCATCGAAATATAGGAGAGTTCGCCCACCCTCTCTGAGTGGAATGGTCTCGGGAGGTTCCTCGGCGTCAGTTAGTTGGCCAGCCAGACACCGAAGACGTGGCCATGGCCGAAAGATTGACTAATGTAGTGCTGTTAGGTTAAGGAATGACCAATCCGGCACGTTGGTGAAATCAGGGCCATAGCCAAGAAGGTGGTAACAGACCTCTACGGCTGAGAGCTGTCGTTCGGAGAAGATTCGATTTGCCACCCTCGTTAAGAATTGGCGGCTCTCGTTCAGCACCGCCGACCGACGGTCGTCGTGCTTGGCAGAATCCGAGACTTGATGCCTCAGCCCAGGTTGTTGGCGAAGCTGTCCGAAGAGAAGACATCGGCAGCGAGAGCAAGGCGTTTCCACATTGGTGTATCCAGCTTGGTGGCGTAGTTTGTGATATAATACAACATGGCCAGACCCTTGGTCCTTGTCACGATAATAGAGACGTCGTGGTTATGCCAGAGGCCGACTACCAGTGATTTGTCATATCGGTTAACAAGTGAGTGGTCCCGCCGGATCCTGAGCAGGCCCTCCTCCGTAAATCCCGTCTCCTCGACGATCTTCCAAGGTGCTTTAAACCGACAGGCCGTCCGCTTGTAATTCTCCGCACCCTGCTCGACGAGTCCCTTTAGCGAATACTTGAGACAGGTGTAGGTGTGTGAATGAACTTGACAGCAGAACGCGATGAAGTTGGATTCTTCATCGAAGACGGCAGTAAGAACCTAAATGCTATCCATCATTCCTTACATGGCATAGATTGGTTTCCTCTCTTGGTGGACGGCCCTTCCAGCATCTTCATCCAAGCACTCGTAAAAAACCGAGTCCACGTACCGAATTACTTGTGTACGGTATATGTCTTCTTTCGGATTAGCCATATCGTGCAGTAGGGATAGCAATTATATGTTCCTGTCTAGCCAAAGGAGCCCACGTAAATAGAGACTGCCTTGTTCATTTGTCTCCACCGTTGCATAGTTACGGCTAATCTTGCCAAAAACTGACTCCTCGCTTGCCCTGACGTATATGTCGAAGAAGAGGGACACTTCTCGGTGGAAGAAAATAGCAGCGCTGACTGGATCCATGAGTAAGAGCGATATATCGGGGTCACTTGTAGTCTTTGTCTCTCACATCTCTGCCTCTGCCTTCCTCAGCCAGTCCACCGTCAGGCTGAGGGTGCATTGAGATTGAGGCAAGTAGTTCATCGATACTTGTGAATCCGTTTTCTTCCAGGCCTCGGTCGCTATCCGAGACTATGTGGTCAAGTCCGTCTGTGTCTTCTGACCTACAGACGACTCCTCCCTCCGCATGCGGTCCATGATAACGCTTGGAACATCGGTGCTGTCAGCATACCGCCAGTTCTCCATCTCGGCCCGATCAATTTTGATATGTTCGTAAAGGGGGTCATTCTTTTGAAGCCATACGAGGGCGGCAGTGACCCGAGATTTGCGTACTTGAAGTACATGGTGCGGCACTCGAAGCACACGGAGGGTGTGGCTTGAATTGTACCAAAAAAGCAAAGGCAAAGGCACACCTGTGGCACGGCTAGTGGCGTAGTAGTGTAGAGCGCGGAAGGAAGAACCTTTCGTTCCTCAAGGCACTAGGCACCAGAGCGAAATCGGACAAATGCCGCAACGCGACCGATGCACACCACATGCAGTTGGAGTATGAAATCTCCAGCTGTGAGACATACCAATGGCGACTGCCTTCTCCTTCTCCCAACCCCTCCGACTCCGGACTCTGTCCTCAGCAACCCTCACAATGCCCGGCTTCGTCCTCACCAAAGACCACGTCCGCAAAGCATTCTCCCACCTAGGGGAAATCCAAGACCTCGAGCACCGCAAAAAGTTCCTCACAGAGTACACGGTCCCCAACGTCACATGGACCTGCACCGGCAGCGCGCACTCGCTGGCCGGGACGCGGCACAGCGTGCAGGCCCACGAGGACGCCACCTTTAAGCGGCTGGGGCGAAACCTCACGGGCCCCATCAAATTCACGGCAACAAGAGTCATTGTCGACGCGGAGCGCGAACAGGACGGCTGGTGGTGCACCGTCGAGACCAAGGGCGAGGCCACCCGGACCACGGGCCAGCCGTACAACAACGAGTACGCCTGGCTGATGCGCTGGAACGACGAGGGCAAGATTGTCGAGATACGAAGCTACTGGGACACCATGCTCTCTGAAAAGGTCCTCCTGGGACAAGAATGAGGAAGCAGCTCCGCGGGGGACTAGTCACGACGAGGTTACGCCACATACGGGAATATACAACAGGTTCTCGGCAATTTATAGACAATATATACACTTTTTCGCCAGCAGGAGTAATTCATGTTCGTGGTATCACAGGTCTCACCCCACAGCAAAGCCTGCCTTGCTGCACCAAGACTCTCCGCGCGTCCAGGTCCCTCCGTCTACGCCTTCTTGGGCGCCCAGCCAAGACGGTTGTTGCCCGCGTCAAAGACAACCAGCGCCGCCTTGAGGGCAATGTCGCCAAAGATGTTCTGGCCAAGCTGACCGCTGCTCTGGATGCCGCCGAAGCAGGTCGAGCTGCTCTCCTGGGCGGGCGCGTAGTTGATGATGCTGCCGGGGATGGTGATGGTGGCCCTGCCCACGCCGAAGCGAAAGTCGGGCAGCGTGGCGCCGCAGTCGAAGACGTAGCCGCCCATCTGCCGGTTGTTCTGGGCGCCCTGGACCTGGGCGTAGTAGGCTTCGACGATGCCATCGTCGATGAGGAGCAGCGTGGTGCCCGTGTCGGCGATGCCCTGGATCTGGGCGGGCTGGAGGTCGCCGTTGCCCACGGCGTATCCGGAGGCAGTGAAGCCCCAGAAGCCGCGGCTGCTGTCGAGCTCGGTGTAGGAAATCTCCCCGTCGTGCTCCTGCTCGTCAATGTAGCCAAAGTTGTAGGTGCCGTCTAGTTACTCCCCCGTTAGTATTCTGCTGCTTCTACCTTGGATGGTGCGAGTGCTTACCGGCAGCGTGCTTCAGGTTGGCCGTGAACAGAGGCGCCTTGAGGCTGTCCTTGATGTTGGAGAACCACGTCTTTTGCTGCGTCGGCTTGACCGTGTTGATCTCGTCAAAGGCAAGGCCGAGGAGGCCAGAGTTCTGGGACGGGCCCCTGGTGAACTGGGCAGAGACCGTCTTGGCAGATTCCACGGCCTGCTGCTTGACAGTCAACCCGCCGACGGTGACCTGGTCGAGGTAGACGTCACCTTGGCAGGTGCTTCCATCGCCGTACTGGATGGACCAGGACGCTCCTTCAAGCGGCTTGGCAGACGAGCTGGATTGGATGTCATAGATCTTCTGGCCGTTGACTTGGCTCTGCTGGGTCTCGCTGCTAAATACCCAGAGGTCACTTGAGCCGGTGTCAAAGTCGAGATATAGCTTCTGAGGAGGAGTACCGATGTCAACTTCGGCCAGATATTCCAGGTCACCAACCCCGGGGGGAGGCTTGGCAGGATCTGAACCAGTACCATCCTGGCGCTTCTGCAGTCCCAGGTCCTCTTCAATACGAGACACCAGGGAAGAAAGCTCTGTGGGCAAAGGGACGTTGTACTTGTTGTAAGCCTTGGCGAGGGCCAGAGGGCCGTTGGGCTTGAAGTTCTTGTTGTGAACGGCGTTGATGGAAAGAGTCTGGGTCTGACCAGCTGCGGGTAAAGCAGCGGCGAGGTTGCCAGCGATGGCGAGGGAGGCAAGAAAGGCTCCAAAGGTTTGCATCGTGATTTGTCTATATGATACGTGTTGCTTGGCCAAGAATGTTGAAAACCTGTGGTGATGAGAAGCCAGCCAGATTGCAGAGGAGGCGGTGGTGGCTTCAATTTATACCTTTTGCTCGAGATGCCATGGTTTGATCGTCATCTCAAACAATATTGTATCAAAGGAGCTCCCATCTTCCACGAAGCCCTTCCACGCCCTTGGAGGGCACCACTTTGCTACCTTGGCAAACCATGCACAAGCCGCATCACATAGGAGCCCATGATGGTACCGAAAGGGCAGTTCGGTTCTCAAATGACCAGGTTGCTTCAGACAAGAAGGGAAGTTGATCTCTCGAGATCGTCATATTGGCACCATCTGCCCCGGACCAGGAGCTCAAAACGCCTCATGGACCAGTTCACGAGGCCCAACATGGTGCGGCGGCGACTATACCTCATTGGAGCAGTGGCCGCCAAACAGCGCCCAAGGAACAAGAAAACAGGTACTGGTCAACAAAGAACCTTGGGATGAGCCTGCAATTTAGACGCGGGCCGAGCATGTTGGTGTCGGCGTAGCCACTCGGTATTCGCAGAGAGCCAGGCAGACGAAATGAAGGAGACGGTTGAGCTAAAAATGGAGACATGGACATGATACAGACCCAGGCACGCAACTTGCAACAAAGAGGTCAACTCGTATAGTTCTCTTGCGCCTAGCAACATGGCTTGCCGGGGGGGGCCAGATGGTGGTAGTTTGTCGTCTTCCAGAACCAGCCACTGAGGCGTGGCATGAGGGAAACGCGAAAAGCCACCGCCGATCACATGGAGCAAACTGATATTACGTGACTGTTTAGAGATGGTGCAATCGAGCTGGGAGCGCGTCAAGAGGCCGGCTCGACTAGTCAGCTGGGCAAGTAGGAAGTTCTCGCAGTAACAGCAAAGGTTGGGCAACCAGACATGTCAGTGGAATTCGATTCTCTATTCGACACAAACGCCGGCACTAAACTGACAGTCTCCCCACCATGTTGGTTCCGTCTTAGCCGATAGGGTCAGGGGGGCCCCCGGACTGTTCTTGTACATACAAGACTACGGAGTGCAATAGCAACTCACAAACGAGAACATGCGCCTTTGTTCATCGTCGTAGAATTAGATTGTCGTGGGGGAACCAGCCGGTTGAGGAAGGAGCCTGATCTACCATGACGAGTTGTGGAAACAACAGTAGACTCTAGAGTCTGTTGGAAGCTGGAACCCCGGATGGTCACGACGCACAATGCAGCGCCCGCAGCTTGTGCCACTTTGTGGAGAGGGCCTGGAGATTTCCGTCGTGTCTCTGATGCGCCGCACAGGCTTTGTCTCGGGTTAAGAAGCTTACTCGAGAGGTTGTCAACCATGCAGTTAGTTAGTTTAGGGTAGTGCTTGTCTCTAAAGTCTGAACCCAAGCGGATATTACTTTCGCGTCAACGACACGAAATAGAAAAAAACGTCGAAAAGTCTAATATACTAGAATCTAGATCACTCATGCCAAGTAGCGGCCCGTCCGTGAAAAAGTCTTGGCTGTGAGGCGTATACTGATTGACGGGTTATTTGCGGATCGGCAGCGACCGAACCAAAGTCGGGCTTGGGCATGCTGCAGCACCGCTCACTTGACCTAGAGATCAGCATAAGAGACGTCGAATAAGTCCACCGTCACGGCCGCCGAGAATGGATTCGTTGCAGTTGGGAGCCTGTTCCTACGGTAGCATCGGGTCCCAAGGAGGCACATCAGGCCACGGCCAACCCGGGGTAATGTCTCGTCGCTATTCGGAGCAAGGCGTCGCAAAGGTGCAGGGCACTTGTCGCATAGTCCCGACTCCCGAGTTGGAACATGCTGGGCGGCATTCCCTGCCGGAATCTCACCTACCCTTTTCAGATGGTTCCCGTCCCTCCTCTATCTTGGCGAAACATCCCTACAGGGCCAAGTTTTGACAGGAGTATGGAACATCTGGGCTGTTATTGGAAGGTTGGGATCCCTGTCAGAGGTCCTTCATCCGGAAGGGCCCTGGTATTTTCGGCAACGCCTATCCGAGCAGACGCCTCGCGAGGTTTCATGATTCACCGCAGGGCTGTGGTCTTGGGCAAGTAGCCTGTACTTACTTTCATCGGTTATTCTAGCATGAGAAATGCAATAATGATGAATGGTCGGGCAATGATCCTTTGGGGCCCTTCGGGATGATTCTCCACCGTCACGATTCACGATCCTGGCCAGCAGTCGCTTCGCTGTTCCTGTAGCCGACATCAGCATTCATATGCAATCGCAGGTTTCATATATATTGGTGCGTGTTGTGCTTTCAGTGACTGTGGATATTCTGTGGAATCACCTACCCGATGCGTCGAGACTCGTGATGAGTGCCTTGATACCCGAATGATATCCACGAGAATCCATGCATGTAATACTTGCTATTTCCGACGCGACAGGATCCGATGCAGATGAGTAGTTGGCGGTGCTTTTACAAACGGCCAAGTTGTCATGTCGATTTAATTCCCAATGACATGGGATTCTGATCAATGCATTCAGGCATCAAGCGATGCTCCGGGCCGGACTACGCTGCCAAGTAGTCTGTTTCAAATGGCGTCGTCACCCAACATCTGTTACAGGGAAAAACACAGGTAGCAGGAAATCAACAGTGTTTGCCGGCTATAAGTTGCCGGGTGCATAAAGAACAGAATCGCCCGTGTTTCAGCCCTTTGTGCTTGAACTTTGTGTCGGATGGATCATGGCGGCATGTTGAATCACTTACCAAATTATTCTTATGCGCCTGAAACATCAGAAACGTAGATTTCATGGAAATGGACCAATTCTACTATTCGCTTTCTGGCAACTCTGTGTCGGCGTTGGAAAAGGGATAGAGTACTGACAACATTCTTTTTTTACAACTATATAATAAAATAAAAAGCAAAACTGCAGGCTTTCAATCACTCTTTATTCAATGTATTACAAAATCCGGTCCTACTCTCCTTGCAAATTGGAAGGTTTCCATGGCGTAACATCGGCCTCGTTCAATACTTGGTCACTACGTGAGCTGCCTCATTTATATGTAGCAAATGCCCTTCCGTCTTCGCGGTTGTCTCAAACGATAGAAATGAAAACTCAAGAAGTGATTAGAGATGGATGTTCAATACATGGTCCAAGCAAGAAAGGCCAAGCAAGAAAGGCCGAGCAAGAAAGGCCGAGCATCATGCCAAGACGTCCATGTCAGAGACTCACTGCAATCCGTCTTACCCTGCAGCAAGTGAGTCTCAAGCTTGAACCATACATGAAGAGTCTAATTATCTATATTTATGTTCACCGCCCAGGTTACGCGTCTTTGGGGAATCGTGCCGCGAGAAGCATACTAACTGCGAAGGACTCTACTTGAACAGAAAAATTGAAACAACCCAGCATTGCGGTATGCCACAGTTCACGACAAGTGGCTACAACAGTAGCACACGATTTATACGCTTTGTTCCCGGAAAATAGGCAGACAAGAAGTTCACCGGGAGGGCCAAAGGCGAACAAAGATGAGGCTCAACTTGGCCCGTGCAAAAGCGCAACCAACCACAAAGAACAGCAACAAGGAATCACTGGGACAAGAGAGGCACAAGATATACTTAATAAATGGTATATTTGTTAAAGCCACTGTGTGTCGCATGTGTTCACTCTCTGTGGAGGGTAGAAGTGGAACACTCAAATGCCTCTGTACATCTTTGCTAAATCACAAGTGTAGATGGAATGCCAGTCGAACTTGCGTTGGTACGGCTAGCTATTCACTGTTCCAACAGCAGTGTGCTGCCATCGCTGTGTGAATGTCCATGTTCAATAAGACGCAGAACAGTATTTAACAAGCGTCTCGGCACTACCCAGCTATGCGGCCACGCAACTTCGCAAGTCTCTCCAACAGCCATGTCGGAATCAAAATCATGTCTCGAGTTTTTCAGTTTTGGGGTAGAGTTTTGTGCAACATGCTCATCGTCCCAGCTTTCCGAGGAGGCCTTCAACGAAAGGTTGGAAAACCATTACATCAATCCTCGCTGGGTTTTACTCCCTGGCACCCGCTGCCATGACACATACACACATGTTCCAGACACCAACGGATTCTCTCTGACGTACACTGACTTGAGCGCTCCATACGAAGCTGGATTCAAGTTGGGAGTTGAGATGTATTCTCCGCCATACTGCGACTTGACTCCCAAGCAAGCCGCGAAAAAAGCATCAGAGGCCATCCGGGATGTGGAAAGAGCCGCTAATATCCGCATCATGTCGCACGAGGGATACGGAATGACGATCCATGTTGCTGTCAAAGGCGGCATACGCTTAATGGTAGCCCGGAAGGCCGTCACCCTCGTCTTATTACTGGAAGACCAGCTCCTCAGCAGACTTTGCGCACCGAGCCGTCGAGACCCGAAGAATTACCACCCCATTGGAAGCAAGTCGGTCATTGCGAATCTTCAGCTGCCAGACGATCCATCTGCCCTACAACGCTATAGCGATGCAATGTTGGCGTATTTGCCTTGGGCGGGAGAGAGGCTCGAAAAAGCGCCGTGGAACGACCACCGAACCGAGCGCTTTCAGAACATCCTACGTGTGCTCTGGGACGCTCAGGATATTACGAATATTAGGGATATTGTGAGGTATTTGTGGACAGAGGACAGGGGAAGATGTGCGTTTACTTTTCACATCTGCGACCGCGTTCCTGTTGATAGGAGACAAGTTACGGAGAGGGTGTCGGCGCCGGACTACATTCGAGGACTGCCTTCGATGTTCGAGTTTCGATATCCAGAGTCGACTTTTGATCAAGATTTCATCAGCAACTGGATAGAGCTATCGAATAGGATCATTCAGATTGCCTGCTGTTCGCCCCCAGAGTTCAGGGGCATCACGGAGAGCATTTGGAAAACGCTCGAGGAGCAAGCTGCTCTCCATAGACCGGCGTGGCCAGCCCTATTGGAGTGCCTTGGGTTGGGGACTCAAATCGACTATTGGAAAGAGAAATTGGACAGTTATGGCCATCATCATTAAAACGGTCTTGTTCGGCGCTGGCAGTGTGTTATTGAAGGATGCAAGTCTTTCCGTTTATTACTCTCTTCAGCTGTTCTACAACGAAATAGCTTGGTCTACAAGACCGGATCCACGCAGCTGTGAAGGCAAAATATTGGGATAAGGGATTAGGACTTGGAAATGAGAAGTTGTGTTGGGTTCCCAATGCCTTAAAATACGTTTTTTTACCACCACAAAGAAGTCAACAGTTTGCTGATAAAAAATAGTAGCAAATTCTGGTGTCGGAAAAGTTAGTACAATCAGTTAGTTAGTTTCGCCTCGGATTTCAAATGCAGATACATTTTAGCCTGCGTGTCACATCTGTGCCTCATTAGCAACGGCATTTCCCATCCCTTGGCGTCAATGTTCTTGTTGAAAGTGTCGTGATTTCGAACCATGATTATTGTGCGCATTGCCAATTCTCCCTCGAAGGGAAAGGCAATCCGGCCCAGGCTTCGACTTCGATCTGCTCTAGACAGATACACATTCTGCAAAGTCTTGAAATACGACACTGGGATGCGTTGCTGTTGGTGGGCGTTGATCGAACCGTTGCATTCAGGCAGTTCAAATGCCGACATCCGAGGCTGCATCGTGCCTTCCCTCCATTTGTGTCCGAAATATTGACACAGCATTCCGCCCCTCCGATGAGCATCTGCATGCTTCTCCACGTTTCCATCTCATCGTCGGTCAAGGCCGACAGGCAGTCAAGGTCGAAAAGACTGGAACTTCAATGGCAGAAAGGCCCGGGTTCTCCAATCACATGCAGATGAACCACTCCCGCTCCCCAGGTAAAGGAAACTGCAATAATGACCCGCGACTACGCCGTCGACGACCGACTATCGACCCGGTCTAGGCACCCCGCGAGCCGACATGAATGGCTTCAACATGCCACGAGCATAGCAGCAGTTCCTGGCCCTCGAATTCATTTCCAATACCAAAAGGCTGTGCGTCTGCCAGCACCGCCAAATGGGCCCATGGGCCCCATGGGGTTGAAAGCCTGGCCGAGCGAGTTCTGTCGGCCCGACGATCCTTGCCTGCTGATGGGACCTTGTTCCTGGAAGAATATCGTCAACGCCGGCCAGTATGCCGAATTGGGAGACGTCGAGTGCAGAGGGGCGTCGTGGTTGGTTGTCGGCGTGTCGCACCAGCACAGACTTCATCGCCCGCATCGCCCGCATCGCCCACATCACCTCCTCCATGCAACGACGCTCTTGGAGTGGACTCGGAGCCTCCAAAGGCCCGATAAACTCGGAGCCAAGCAGGGAACAGCCCACGGCGCCCCGAGTCCTCGCTCAGCTCTCGTCGTCTTTACCCCAGAGTGAGCTGGGGAAAAGGACCGATCTCCCCAGCACGACTCTACAAGCGAACCGCAGAAGCGGGGCGACGGCATCATCGAGTCAAATGACCATACAGACTTGCACAGTTTTGAACAAGTCCAGCTTTGACTATTTAAGGGGCCTTGGAGCCATAGCAATCGGACGAAAGCTGCACATCAGACTCGGCTCGTGGGACGCACAGCCTGTTGAAAGTTGAAACCCAGGGCACAATGTACAAGAAGCTCGTCAGCGTGCTGGCGGTGGCTGGCCTGTGGCTGGATGGAGCCGTAGCTCGCAGCCGCATTTCTTGCCGAGACGACCTAAATGCCTTCATCACCAAACAGAACCACATTTCCCTTGATGGAGTTCTGGCCAATATTGGCTCTGATGGGTCACGGGCCCAGGGTGCCGCGGCTGGCGCTGTCGTGGCCAGCCCAAGCAAGTCGGATCCAGACTGTATGAAAACATTCCCCAGCTGGGAGACTTGAGACTAACTCTGCAATAGACTGGTATACTTGGAGCCGGGACTCTGCTTTGACCTTCAAGGTCTTGATCGAGCTCTTTATTGGCGGGAACAAGTCTCTGCAGCCCAAGATTGAGCAGTACATGACCGCCCAGGCACATCTACAAGGGGTGAGCAATCCTTCCGGCGGACCAGACACAGGCGGCTTGGGAGAGCCCAAGTTCCACGTCAATCTCACAGCCTTTACTGGTCCCTGGGGTAGGCCACAGCGCGATGGTCCTCCTTTGCGAGCCACTGCTCTCACCATTTATGCCAACTGGCTCATTGCCAACGGGGGCCAGGCTGAGGCTGCAAACACCGTCTGGCCAATTATTGCCAAAGACCTGGCATACACGGTTCAGTATTGGAACCGAACCGGCTTCGATTTGTGGGAGGAAATCAACGGCTCCTCCTTCTTTACTCTTTCCGCCTCATTTCGTGCTCTGGTCGAGGGCGCTACCCTCGCCAAGGCACTCGGCAAGCAGTGCCCAGATTGCGAAACCAACGCGCCTAGAATACTCTGCTTCCTTCAAAGCTTCTGGGCCAGTGGCTATATCGACTCCAACATCAACGTCAACGATGGTCGAACCGGCAAGGACGTCAACTCCATCATCTCGTCCATTCACACTTTTGATCCTGCAGCTGCCTGCACGGATGCCACCTTCCAGCCCTGTTCATCCAGGGCCCTGGCCAACCACAAGGCAGTTGTCGATTCCTTTCGTACGATTTATGCCGTGAACAAGGGCCGAACGCCTGGCAGGGCAGCTGCTGTAGGCCGCTACTCAGAAGACGTATACTACAACGGTAACCCTTGGTACTTGGCCACAATGGCAGCCGCCGAGCAGATGTACGCTGCGGTCTACCAGTGGCGGAAAATTGGTTCCATTACCGTGGACGCCACGTCTCTCCCTTTCTTCATTGACCTGATGCCAAATATTGCTGCAGGCACCTATGCTAAGGACTCTGACACCTTTACTTCCATTATCAAGGCAGTGACGGCTTATGGAGATGACTTTATCAATGTTGTGAAGCAATACACTCCCGCCGACGGCTCCCTGGCCGAACAGTTTGACCGAGAAACGGGGAGCCCCAAGTCTGCTGTTCACTTGACTTGGTCGTACGCATCATTCGTCGGAGCTGTCGAACGCAGATCTGGCGTTGTTCCACCCTCGTGGGGAGAGCCCAACGCCAATACCGTTCCCAAGATTTGCGAGGCTCCTCCTAGCTGTGACTCCACCATGACCTTCAACGTCAAGGTTACCACGGTCCCCGGAGAGAACATCTATGTCGTTGGCTCCATTACCGAGTTGAAAAACTGGTCACCGGCCGATGCCATTCCCTTGGATGCGTCACAATACACCCCCAGCAACCCGCTTTGGAGCGCAAAGGTCACGATGCCTGCCGGAACAAACTTTGAGTACAAGTATATCAAGAAGACGAGTGAGGGAAGTGTTGTATGGGAGAGTGACCCCAATCGTAGCGCGACATCCTCTACCGGATGCCGTAGCACGGGGACGCTCAATGATGAGTGGAGATGACGGGATAATAGACACGGGCTTGAGTAGACAGAGTAATGTATAAATGACTTGGTTCGCATTGTATGTTGTGGTTGTGCAAGTTTGTCATGGCAGCAGCTAGTCGCTGTTGGCATCCGCGATCTGCGTTCGACAGCCGGTCAAGCGACAATACGATATGCCTACAGTCCAGGGGTCTCGTGTCGAACTGCAGATTGGCTTTTTGCCTCGATCCAATCGGCCCAATCCTCGTGGAGACGTGCCTCGGTTCGAGTGGCTCTACCCCACAACCTGTCGCAATCCCCACGTCGATAAATACGGGGTCATTTGGACACAGCAGTGCAAGTGAAGAACAGAGTGATGTGAAGAATAGAGAAGGAAAAAAAAATGGCACAAACGCTCGAAACCCGTGATATCCAAAAGCTCATCGACCAGGTCACCCGAGACGGGTACGTGGTCATCCCGCACGCCTTCTCCGCCAGCCAAGTGTCCCAGGCCAAGGCGGAGGTGGCGCGGCTGTCGGGGACGGCGGAGGCGGGGCCGGCCGGGCAGGCGGGGCGGAACGCGTTCGAGGGCCTGCGCACGCAGCGCATCTATGCGCTGCTCAACAAGGCGCGCTGCTTCGACCAGTTCGCGCTGCACCCGGCGGTGCTCGCGCTCAACGACCACTTCCTCGACGACGGGTACTTGCTGAACGCGCTGCACAGCGTCAACATTGGGCCGGGGGAGGCGGCGCAGAGGCTGCACCACGACGACCAGTACGTGACGGTGCCGAGGCCGCACCGGCCGTTTGGCGCGGTGGGTGTTCTTCCTTTTTCTTTTCCTTTTTTTTTTCGCTGCTGAGAATGATGGCGTGTTTTGTTATTATTATTATTATTTTAATTTTTTACTGACAATACAAGGCCATCATGGTCGCGTTGGACGACTACACCCCGACCAACGGCGGCACCAACGTGGTCCCCCGGTCGCACACGTGGGCCGGCGACCGGGTGCCCGCGCGGTCCGAGGCTGTCGCCGTGGCCATGCCCGCCGGCAGCATCGTGTACTTTGTCGGGACGCTCTGGCACGGCGGGGGCCGCAACGCCTCGGGCGCGGGCAGGCTGGCGCTGACGGTGCAGTACTGCCAGCCGTGGATGCGGCCGCTGGAGAACCAGCTGCTGGCCGTCGACTGGGACAAGCTCGACGACCTGCCGCCGCGCCTCGTCGGCATGATGGGCTACAAGGTCGGCGCGCCGTTTATCGGCTACGTCGACGGCCGGAGCCCCCGGACCAGGGTGACGGAGCTGCTGGGGAGGTGGAGGGCGCGGAGTAAGCTGTGAGTGCGTCGTTGATGTGACGAGGCGTCGCAGGCTGGTGCTGTGGTCTGTGGCACTGGGTACTTGAGTTGACTGGTAACACGGGATATCTGGACATCTGGAGTTGGGCACCTGCAACATCAACGTCGATGGACCACATGCATGTACCCACGGTAGCACAACGTGTAGCAGCACTAATATATTTGCCCCCCAACAAGTACCTAGGTAGGCATACTTGACAGTACTGCCAACGCAAACAAGCAACATTGAATGTCAACATTCCATGTTGAATTACGCGCATCGCCCGGCCCCCCAAAGCGCCTCCAGCTCGGCCACCTCGCCCTCCACGCCAACACCAATGCCCGTCGCGGCCCTCAGCCCCGCGACGAGGCCGCCGCGCGCCCGGGGAGCCTCCGGTGCAGCAGCCGCGGCTTGTCGGCCAGCAGCAGCAGCGAGCACAGGTGGTACGCGGCGTTGGCATTCATGGCCAGCGCGTGCGTGTACAGCTGCACGGGGAGCGAGGCGTCGGCGTCGGCGTCGGCCTCGAGGCTGCCCATGTCCAGCGCCGGCCGCATCGTCGCCGGCCGCCGGTCCCGCCACGCCTGGCAGCTCGTCCACAAGGAGAGCCACTTTGCCGCCCAGGTGCCTGGGTTCGGCGACGTGCACATGGAGTCTTGGAGGAGCGGCTGCGGGAGCGGCAGAGATGCGTCGTGGACGAGGTGCAGGGCCACGGTGAGGTGGTGCATCGACCACAAGTACGCGGCGCCGGGGTACTCGGGATTCCACGCCGGCGGGAAGCCTTGCGGGGAGTAGAATGACCTCGGCGTCAGGGGCCGTTGGCGCAGAATGATGGACGATGCCAGGTCTTTCGTGTGCAAGTGCATGTTAGTCCCCGGGCCATTGACGGCGGTGCAGAGTCTGGAGCCCTGGACATGGACGTACCGAAGCGTGAATGGAGCTTGCAGAGAGTCCGCAGCGGCTCCTCGATCGAAAGCGCCGTCGCGTCCGGGCCTACGAGTCCCATCTCGCGCGCCGCGCGGCTCCTCCATTGCGACGGCCCTGATTGCAGATACTCGGTGATGCCTGAGAGTGAGTCTGCCATCCTTCTGGCAGGGCCCTCGAGGGCACGCATCCGCGTCTTCTGCGTTTGTCCGTCCGCCGCGTCTCTCTGTTGACGAATCAGAGCCACCTGGTTCGCAGATAATTCGAGAATCACGCTCTGGATCGGCGGGTGTTCCTGTGCAAGGCGCATAATGTCCGTTCCAAACGTCGACGACAAGTCCCCGGCCTCCATCCAGGGAACCGTGGTGTACCGGAAATGACGTAGCAGGGCGAGGTGCTTGCGCCCCGCGGATACATCTTTTGTAGCGAAATACCCGTCCCAATCTACGAGCGGCAATTCTCTTTTGCGGTCCTCGGTGAAAGGGGCGGTTGTGAGAAGAGAGTCGATGGTGATGCTGCTGGGGCGCGAGTCGCGAACGTCTAGCTGTTGAGAGTCTGAGTGTCTGCGGATATGTCTGCCGAAGCCGCCGCCGTTGTTATCTGTATTGGATGGTTCGGATACAGGTGACAGCGGTTCGTTCACAAACTGGACATGTTAGACGATGCACTCTGGCTTGCCGTGTTCGGCAATGGGACAGTCCAAAGCCGCCATAATACCTTGATGCGAGCATACCGACTGTTTCTCACCCTCACGGACTCAACAACATCCCCTGCAGTCGACTTGGGGATAAACTGCAATTCGGGATACGCGCACGTTACCCCTCTCGCCTCACAGCTCGTACACCTTGGCTTCCGCTCATCGCCTACAACACCAGACGTTAATTTCTCCCCTTCCTCTTGTAGATCTGGCGCCGATGCTGGGGCCCCTCGGGCATCATGCAGGATACCACCCGAAATAGCCCGGGGCACATGGCGAAATCAGGGGAATGGGATCGTAGCTACATTTTCTCCGTCTCTTTCGACAAGAGAGACATCCGGTGCGGACGCGGCGCTTGTTTTCTGGGATGGAGCGTATCACAGGCATATGGGGCCGTCTAAGAAGCCGCTGGTCATGGCCGGACTGGAAGCGTCTCGCGGGGAGAAGAGAGAGAGAGAGAGAGAGACGAATGAATGAGTGTTGGTTCTGCTGGCCTGCCGTTTTGTTTTTCTGGGGTGAGGTGTGGGATCAGGGACTGGCGGGCATGGATGGATCATGGATGCGAGCTTATGGTGGCTGCCATTATTGGCTTGAGGAGCTGGATCCATCATGGAGCATTTGCATCAATCCATGCCACACTCATGACAAAGCCGGGGGGAAAACGTGAGCGACTCCATCGGGTGGCGCCGACTCCCACGGGTCATCTGATGGTTTGCTCATGGTGAGCATTCTGGCTGCCATTCATTGTCGCACACGCCCTGGAACAAATCGCTTTGGCCATTCTCCTCACTGCGCATTCAGAGCAGAAATACTAGTCATACTACAGTGCTTCAATGTGCTTCTCAACGCCAGCCTTGGCCGTCCTGTCGACGCGGCCCTCCAGCAACGCCGTGAGCCCGACTTCTCTCTGCGCCTCGCGCAATAACTCTGCATCCCTCTCACCGGTATGGCTGCCAAACACACGGTCCATCTCTTCAAGAGTGGCGTTTTTTGTTTCCGGTAGGCAGAACCACACCCAGAAAATGCCGGCTGTGAGGAACACGGCAAAGAAGATGTAGGTGCCCCACGCCCATGCCTCCAGCATCGGCGGCACAAAGAAGGCAATGGCAAAGTTGTTCAACCAGTTGCTCATGGCACCGATTGATGCGCCCTTGGCCCTAATAGACAGGGGGAAGATTTCCGATATCAGTGTCCATGACACCGGGCCCCAGGTGGCACCGAAGCCGGCGATATACACCCAGATCAGGGCTTGCATTTCTGTTAGCTCGCAACCACAACACATGAGAGGGAGGGCTACAGAAGATAGAAGAGACTCACCAACTGCTGTCCAGCCAGCAGCCACGTGGTTAGGCCAGTCGTGTCTAAATTTGGCAACAATGATGCCCACAATGACCATGCTGACGCCCATGACGACCGAGCCAACTAGCAACATTGGTTTTCGGCCGACCCGGTCGATAATCAACTGGTTTCTGTTAGTCCTTTGCTTTCATAGACATGATCACTGCTCTTACCATTGCGGGCACCGTGCTTATTAAAAACACAACGCCAGTCACACCCGTCGCCAGGAGTGCGATGGTGCCTCCCGTAAGCCCCAGACTCTGGAATATGTTGGTGGCATAATAAATAACTGCAACAAGTTAGTTTGAAGCATGTTAATAAGAGAATAAGGCTACTTTCTCGCGTCGATCCCACTCCACTGTTGCCAAGTCATCGTTAGAAAACCTGTCATAATTCGTTTCATATTATCCTTGGTTCGAAAACAGTTGATGTATTGGGCGATTTGCTCGCGGAAAGCGCTCTTGCTCCCTTGCTCGGCCATGCGAGGGAAATCTCTAGCAAAAGCCTTCCTCTCAAATACGGCCTCTGCTTTTATTTCAAGAAATTCGACTTGCACAAGCTCGTGGTCAGCGGGAAGCTTTCGCATCCAGGCCAGGGTGGATTTGGCTTCGTCGTCACGGCCCACCTTGACGAGCCACCGAGGAGAGAAGGGCATGAACCAGATACCAATTGCCAGAGCCACGGCAGGAATACCTTGAACAATGGAGGGTATCCTCCACGCCAGATTGGACTGAGAATCACCAGTACCGCCAATGTAGTTGCTTCCATAGCCAACCCAGAAGGACAACATGATACCCAGGATAGTGGCGAATTGATAAAACGACACCAGCAGCCCTCTCATTTCCGGAGCCGACAACTCGGCATTGTACAAAGGTCCAACGCCGCTAAACAGTCCTACGCCGACACCTGTAAAGAATCTCCCGGCATATAGCAGGGATGGTAGGCCGTCACGAGCACCAATGTACAAGTAGCTCCCCAGAATGACCCAGCAGCAAGCAATAAACATGGTATACTTTCGGGAAATAAGTTCTCCGAGTACACCCGCCGACAGAGAGCCCACGATACCACCAAGCTGCAGAACTGAAGTGAGCCAGCCCGTTGCAGAGGACGATTCAACCACCGATGGGAAGTTTTTCATAAAGCGTGTCATGACAAGGGATTGGCCAAGAACACCTTGTTGGTAGCCATATTCAAACCCGCCCAATCTACAGATACAAAGGTTAGTTTCAACGTGAGCCAAATGTCAAGAGGCGGGAGGGCATACGAGGCAAAGAAGGCAATGAAGATCACCTTGGGGTTGGATCGGATAGACTCCCACAACGACTTCTTTCCCGCCAGAACCCTTTGCGCCGGTTCCAAGGGAACACTTGTCGTGGCAGCCTCGGTATCCGAGGGCATATTGGACATGATTGCAGATTCAAGGCCAAACGGCAAAGGGGTGTATAGGGGGGAAAAGACAAATCTTGACCAACTCTTCTCCTACTCAAGATGAATATCGAGGAGCGTGTTCCCCCATCTTTATATATTAGACCAAAGTTCATGTATGTTGCTGCCCCGGAAAGTCACCCCGTATCCCCCGTCTTTGAGTCAGTCACCCCATGGGTCACCGCAGTCGGTGATGCTGCAGCGCAACCCTCAACGGTCCTTGCCGCGGTTCTTGGCCGGGATATTGAAGAGGTGCATAGGCTACGCCCCCCGTTTTGGGACATGCCAAAGCAGAAGCGGATACTCAATCGCCGCGTCAATTGGTCCGCGGCTGGGGCAAAGGCGAGGGCTAAGTTGCCCCTTTCAGGCGCGCTACAGGACGCCATGGTTTTGCGGTTTTGGTTACGCGAAGCTGCGATGGGTTCAGGCAGGTTTTGCCATGGCAGCTGACTTTCGCAGACTTGGGTCTTGACCCATTCGTGGTATGATGCGGTGGTCGACACGAAGCTAATTCGGATGGGTGATGATGCCAGAGGTTTGTGATGGCGGTGCTCGCAGGGCGGGGGCAGCCAAAGGTTGCGTGCACATGTGGTGTTGGTCCAGACCGGGGCCTACTGGCGTACATGCAGAAATATTGATGCTGATACAACAATGAAGAATTCAATGACTGGAATTCCCGTCCGAGTATGCAGACGTATCGTTGTGTTGTACATACGGCTCCCTTTGCAGTCTGAAATTTCTCAATGCCGCGTTACCAGGCAGGCAAAGGAAATCTTTGCGCGGCAGGGGCGAATCCTTGAGCCTGGTCGAAGCTTCTTTAACCATCCGACATCCACGAGGCAGGTGCGATTGTGTGGGCCTCGCCTTGGGGAGGTGCATGGTCTGTGTGGTCTGTGGGGTCCCTGTGGGGTCGACGGTTGATGAAATCCGTGTCACATCTTCTTTACTGCCTTGCTCCAGCTTCATCTCTATGCTCATCTAGAGAGTGTATTCGCTGATCATGATTGTTCTGTGATTTTAAGTCGCCTGGTGCCCAACAACACCTTCCATCGCGCCATGGCCGACCCCTACGAGCCACAATTCCTGTCGCCAGCATCCTCGGCCACTCCTGATGAATACTCGGCCAACCCCCGTTTCATCGAACTCCAAGAAGAGCTTCGGTGCGTCCTCTTTGCAGGCGTAAGCTCCCATGATCCCAGCAAGACTACTACTCCCGAGCACGTTTCAGATCAACAGCGACCGCCCGATGAACTCCCAGTCCAGCAGTCCAAGTTTGACTTCTCCAGGGTCCCGGGTATTCCCAAGATCAAGCTTATTCACTACTTCAAGAACTGGATCGTCGAGTGTGCGCCGTATCTTGACAAGTTTGACCATGAGCGACACTTTGGTATCCATGTGCCCATCATGGCTGAGCGGTCGCCGCCATTATTCTACGCCGTTTTAGCCTTTTCCGCCCGTCAGATAGAGCGAAAAGCACTCTTGGAGAAGAGCTACGACAGCTTGGAATTGTATCAGGAGTCCATCAGGCTCCTTGCCCCTAGCTTGCAAGCCAAGGACTCCAACATGCTGGTGACGGCTTGTATACTCGCCGTCTTGGAGCTCATGTCCGGCAGCCCTCGCAACTGGCGTCGCCACATCGAAGGCTGCGCGGCCTTGTTTGAATTCTTCGAGATTACCGGCTTCTCGGGCGGCCTGCTGCAGGCAGTCTTCTGGTGCTATGCACGCATGGAACTTTGCGGAGCCATCATATCCGGTGGTGCAGAGAGTACAGTCCTCCCGCTGAATAAATGGATTCCTCCGTTGCCAGCAGGCGTCTCAACCAATGATGAAATTGACGAATTCGCGCGGACAACGTTCTATCAGAGCGGGCGGGATAATACCGGTATGCATGCCAACTGGGCCGTGTATCTGTGTGCAAAGACATGCGACCTGACGTACCGGAGGACGAGGGTTCTAGAGCTGCAAGAACCAGACGAGTTGGATACCAGACCGTTCGTCGAGCAATGGACTAGACTATGGGGCGACTTGCAACTCTGGCTGGAATCAAGGCCGTGGTCAATGCTGCCAACTACTACCACGCCGCCGCCGGAGCCGTTCCAAGAGCAAGTCTTTCCCGCCATTTTGTTTTCCAATTACCCGGCCATCTCATCTAACCAGATGTACCACGCGGCATGTATTCTAATGTTGGAAACACGGCCTCCAGAGGTACAATTGCCGTCTCCACAAAGCTCGCCCATCTGGCATGCAAGACGAGTCTGCGGAATATCATGGACGAACCCGCACAAGGCGAGCCTCATTAATGCTATTCAGCCGCTCTATCTGGCGGGGCGGCTACTCACCCATCCGAGCGAACAGGTTCAAGTCGCAAGGCTATTCCGTATCATTGATCGGACTACAGGGTGGGGAGCATTATGGCGATTGCGGGATCTAGAGGCAGAGTGGGGATACAAGCCCGGCGAGATACTGGGCAGAGCAAATGTATGATGACCTACAAGGCCGGGTTTTTACATGAAGACAAAATGAGGCGGATTAAGCTTAATTGAAGGTCACGCCCTGCCCGACGATGAATCATGGCTGGTCCCAGAGGGCTGGTCAGCTGAAGCTCAGGCGTGAATCTAGTCTCCTTTGGGGATTCGGCCTCGGCGCACCAAGCTGCATAGCGCGGTGATTTAGCAAGAAATTCGCCGTGTCATGCTTGCGAATGATGGTCATTTTTTGCCAGCCCGAGGTATTCAACTATTTAACAGCAGTTATGCCCGTGCAGTTCGTCGAACCATCAGAGCCTATGTACCCAAGCTCAGATCAGACAACTGCAAGCATTCAGTCATTTATGCGGGCTGCTCGCGACCCTATTCTTTTTATACACTAGCTAAAGGATACATTCGGCCGAAAAACACCACTGACAATTGTCCTCCAATTTACCAATTTCCCCAGCAGTCGCAACATGTGCTGGCCCTCACGACAAGACAGGAGCCAACAGCTGGATCGCAAGACGCAGCACTACAATGCGCGTCCCGTGCCCGTGGCCCAACCCAGTGTCAAAAGCCAACCGCTAGATGTCAACACGCAGCACTGCAATGCGCGTCCCGTGCCCATAGCCCAATCCAGTGTCAAAAGCCAACAGCTGGATGTCAGCACGCAGCACTGCATTGCGTGTCCCATGCCCGTGGCCCAACCCAGTGTCAAAAACCAACAGCTGGATGTCAACACGCAGCACTACAATGCGCGTCCCGTGCCCATGGCCCAATCCAGTGACAGGAGCCTGAAGCGCAAGACGCCGACGCCGAAACCGCGAAAGAAACACAACCATGGGTATTCGTCCAGTTACGGGGGTAGGGGCAGTTCGTATGGCGGTGGTTCATATGATGGTGGTTCATATAGTGGTTATTCGTATAGTTGTGATGGTGGTGGTTCGTATGGCGGTGATAGTGGTGGTTGCGGAGGCGGCGACAGTGGTGGTGGTGGAGGAGGAGATGGAGGTTACTACTAGCCATGGTGGATATGGATTATTATGATGTATATTCCTCGAGTTGCGTGTATGCGTTGGTATTAAATGGCATTCAAGACTGCTTGTGCTGGGACAAGAGCGTATTTGAAGGCACAGCTCTGGGAAGCTATTGCTTGTTGCTGCACAATTGCGAGGAGAATCAGGAACATTGATGATACTGCGTTTATTCTTGGCTGAGATGAAGTAAGTAGGAAATATTACGAGCAGAGAAGAATAAGTAAACATGTCCCATTCTGGGAACCACGATGGCCACCACCGAGGAGAATGCTGTTGTAGCCGGTTTCCCGCAAGAGGCAACGCCACGCACGCAACGGACTTTATGGCCTCCTTCGGGGAAAAAAAAAGAAGTAGAAGAAAAGAAGAAAGGAGTCAAAAAGCTGCCAAATCCCCCGCCTCATCTGCATCATTTTCTCCCAAGGCGCTACCCGTTCCATGTTCCCACGCATCGCCGGGTCATCCACGCCCCACAACGATCGGCTACCCGAATCAGCTGGCCCTCCGGAATCCACACCTCGGCGGCTCAGCCCGGGCCATACATCCGCGCATCCAGGGATAGGAACAGATGCCAACTCTAAGAGTCCATGTGCAACTCAAGCCCGTCTCCATCTCCCCTCTGTGGCGAAAATATAAATTAGGCCGAGTCGCTGCCTCAGATTATATCCTTACTGATTGCCGGCCAGGCAGTAAATAAGTCGGCCAACACCGCAATAATATTCCCACTTACACCTTACATACTTATATCCCACCCCGAAAGAAAGAATATAAAATAAAATAGAATAAAAATGCCCTTCCCCTATAACGCGTGCTCCTCGTGGGCGCAAATATCGGTATAAGCGCCACCAGTAGTACAGAGTATGTAAATTCTTTTTAAAAAAAAAAAAGGTTTCCCTGTAAGCCGGCTTGCTGATTTCGCGGGGCGGCGCGTTTATTTCCAGATGAATTACACGATTACATAGATGACGGCGGGCGTAAGCTGGGCATGCTGGTGGAAAAACTTGTCAACTTGCCGTATCCGCTGCTGGAGAGCGGGAGCGAGCATGTGCGTATCGGACAGCCGCTGGACGCGTCGGCCGAGTCGTATGCCGAGTTTGTGGCCGCCAGGGAGGCCATGTCTGAGATGATTGCGGATGCTACGCTCCCTCATTTCGAGCTTTGAGGCATTGCTTTGCGGAGGTGTCATTTGGTTTGGACGATTTAGTCCTTTCCTTCCCTGTGAGAGACGGAGAGGGAGAACTCAGCAGCGGATCCAAATCTTCTGTCCTCATCCGGCCAGTATTCACTTGTGTGGTTTGTTGTGTTGTACGCTGTCGTATCGTGGGAGAGTTCACAGTGCAATACATGGCCTCGCACAAAAGTCAACCTAGCGTGTGGCATGTGCAATACTCGTTACCTGCCTTGTCTGATCGCATCAGTCTCATAACGTCAACTGGTGTCTTATTCCCCGTCGCACGATACAAGCACTCGCGTCGTGGGTTTTGGGTGTAATCTTACATTGGCAAATCGTAACGTCACACCTGGCGCAGAACAGACATATACAGTCATAGATTCATTTCAATTGATTGGAGTACGTTACAAGTTATACTAGAGTCACACAGGATATTGCGGTCTTCCTACACCGTCGTGGCCCACTACCAATCCCTTCCTTTCGGGATGATACACTTGCAGACCACGATTCAATCGCCGACACGTTCTGCCGGCATGAGCATGTTAGACGTCGAGACCGTCGACGACTACGCCCTTGTTCCAGGTCCACTGAATCAACCTGGCAGCCTCCACCGCACATTCTTCATCAACCAGAGCGCTGACAAGATACAAAGCTGCATCAACGCCAGCGCTTACTCCTCCAGCAGTGATGACGCGAAGACCACCGAGGCGCATCGCGGCACGGCGCGCAATGGACTCGCGGCGAGAGTTGGAGCCCTTGAAAGACATGCTGCCCTTTCTGCGAGCCTGTTAGCAACGTCACACTCACTCACGTACACACACAAAAGCAGCATCCGCCTTGAGGTTGAATCTTACCGAGCATTCGAGGGACGACGCCCAGCGTCTGACTTGCGGCGAATGTATGGATTCTCATCCTCGTCTCCAAGGTCGAAGCGGAGGTTGTTGACGACGTATCGGGCGTCTTCAACGACGTCGCAACGCTCAGTCATGTTGCGAGTAGCAGCATCGCTGCAAACATTCTCGAACTTGGTCAAGTAGTCGGGGTGAGTGGTGGCAGAGAGGCCAGAGAGAATGTTCTCTCTGGCAAGGAAAAGAGATCCCGTGCACACAGAGAGGATGGTGCGTTCACGGGCAGGATCCTTCTTCTGGAGCTCAGCAAAGTTATTGATGAGGCCAAGTGGCTCGGTGTCTGCCTTGAGGATCTCATCGGAATTGCCACCAAGAATGACGAGGATATCAAAGTCCTCGAGGCGTTCGTGGGCTTCCTTGAAGGAGATTTGAGAGCCAACAATGGCACCCTGCTCGGAAAGGACCTTGGGCTCAGCCCCGGCAAGAGTCACTTCAAAAGCCTTGGAGGCTGGTGGAAGTTAGCAACAATTTAGTTTACGTGAAAGAATAAGAAATGGTCAGGCAACTCAGCTTACTCTCGTCCTTAGGGTCGTGTTGGGCCGTGGTGAAAACCTCCATTGGCCCCGCAAGGTCGAGAAGGTCGAACTTGTTGTGCAGGGCAATGAGGACTTCAATGGGTTCGTCCGACACTGCGGACGTCTTATGTGCAGCCATCTTGCCGGTATTGAAGTGTAGATGTTTGGATTGGGGGAAGTGAGGTTGGTCGTGTCAGTGAGTCACAGGAAAGGGGGGTGACTTTGTGGTGTGTTGGGCTGAGCAGCGTGGTGGTGTGGTGTGTTGAAGCCGTCTAAAGGCGTGTAAAGCGACCAGAAAATAGAAATGGTCGGGCTAGGGTCCTTGGGCAGAGCCTTTGATGAGGCTGATGAGGGTCAATGGGTAGTAAAAGACGGCACGTTGTAAGTCGATGAGTAGAGGAGAAGGAGGGGGAAGAGGGGGAAGAGAACAAGGTGAGGAGGATGTGAAGTATATATGCGTGGTGGCATGGATGGATGATGGATACTCCCTACCGAACACAGTACGACATGGTATCCGGTACATGTATACATGTTCAAACGCGGGGAAGGAAGACAGAGAGCGCCTCAGCAAGACGATCAACTCTGGAAAGAGGGGTCCACGACTCCAAGCCAGACGTGGAGCTTGAGCTTAAGAGCTTCGGGCAGCTGGCGGTCATTCTAGACTCTGGGAAGCGGCATCGTTTCTGGAGCTCACGCAAGGACGAGGCGCCGCCTCCGGAAGTCCCAAGACACATCGTGACCACCTGCTTGCCTTTCCAACTCACCGCCGCGGAGTGGGCAGACTACAAAGTACAGAATGGTTCTGTCCATGGATAGATAGCATTGTCGATTGGACAGCACTGAACCCATTTCCTGGGCCATTGACCGTCAATTGACCAGAACGCAATCATGTCGAACCACGAGTCATCAATCTGCCGTTTCGACGTACCAGGGCTGCGTCCATCAAAGAGGGGCCAGCGTGGCTCGATGCGGCAATCATTACCTCGGGCGTCGCGTTAGATGTGACGCACCCGCCCTGGAGTCATTCCATCGAATCGCGCTGGGCAGGCATTTAGAAGTCTCCTGGGGCTCGGTCAGGTAGTTCACCGAGGAGCTCGAGTCCTTGAGCGGAGTCCATGGTCATTGCAAGACTGTTGGCCAAAGTGAGGCCACTCGGATACCGTCTCGGATACCGTCCAACACCTCAGCATCAGCTGTCCAACACCTCCCATCGTCCCACCTCGCATCACTTCATTCCGTCACCTTATGGATCCATGCAGTTCCAAACCATGCCAGCTTAGTTCGTGGGGTCGGGCCACGGGTCATGCGGTCAAGTGTCTTCGATTTGCGGGGTTTTAGGGGCGAAAGAGGGTCCTCCGATCAATTGATGTGTCCTTTTGGCTGCAGAGCTGTCAGGTCAGAAGTGGGGTCGCATGTTGTCGATGCCGTGATGAGCAGTTGAGCACGTTTCCCATTGTTTGCCCATGTTTGACGATGTTTGACGGCAGTGGTACCTGACAGAAGAGGCTGCCTTCATTATCATCTTTGCACTCAGGACCCGAGGTTCAATTACCCCTTCACTGCCTGACAAAGTGAGCGCCTTGCATCTGAGGCTCCGGACCTTCCAAAGCAGACGGCTGGCAACCTCGTACTGGCACAGACTGCCCTCAAGTGCTCTGACCACTGACCACTCCTGTGTCCGCCTGGCGCAAATATGCCCCACATGTGCCCTGCACTCTGCCTGCCCCACCTCTCCCCTCCAAGTGGCTGGCTGCCGACCTGGTGCTTGCTCACTCTCCAGCCTTGCAACAAGCTCCCATGTCATCATCGTTTCGGCGCAAGCTCTCGAGTCTACAACCACAGCACCACCATCCAATCCACTCAGGCCCATGCATCAATAGCCTCCTCCATCATCCGGCATCCGTTTGATCGAGCTCCGGCACCATCTACAGCTCCGGGTCCGGCTGCAAGCAGTCCAAACTCCATCTCGAGCCAACTCAAACCCTTCTCAGGCAGTCGACAGAAGCCGACAGATATCCCTATCTTCTGCGCCTCATGCCAGCGGCGCGGGAGCCTTGACGATGGCTTCCACAACGTATGTCATTGCTACCTTCTCTGATACATCTTGGCCCCTGCTCACACGCTTTGTCTGACCGAATCAAATAACTGCAGCTCGTTAAAGGAGCTCGTCAAGACCATCAATACCTTCCTCGTCGACCCGTCTCTCCCACTTCCAGATACCTTCGTCGACACCCTCACCACCTTCACCCAAAAGCAAGAAGAAGATGACAATTCCGCTGCCGACCTCCTCCAAGATAGCCTGCTCTCTGTCTTCGATAAGCGAGTCAAGGGCAATGCCAAGGCTGTAGGCCCATGGATCGCCATCCTTCGACGATTGCTGCCGGTTCTGCAGACTCCAGAAAGAATTTTGCCGTGGTTTGATGCATGCAAGGGCATCTTGGACAGGGCCGATCTAGACAAATATGTCGTTGATGAGACCGTGGCCTCCCTCATGGATCTGATAACTCTTATCGACGAGTTTCAAATCTCATTTGCAGCCAACTCGGCTGCTAACCGCATCATAGACCGCCTGTTTCAAGTATGGATGGATCGCTTCTACCCAGCTCTTCTGGATGGTAACACTTCGTCCGAGTACAATGAGAGGCTAATCCGCCACGCCTTGTGCAATTTCGGGAAGAAGCGACCCAAGGAGCTCTTCACCGCCATGGATGGGTATTTTGTTCAAAGCAAGTATCGCAAGTCGGCACTGAGATTTCTTTGTGACTTTATTCAGATTCAACCACCGCATCTACACCAAGTTCTGCATACGTCGCTATTTGGCAATCTTATGACTTGTTTGCAGCATGACACGTCAACAACCATTGTGTCCGCTGCGTTGACGACTCTCATCATGCTTCTGCCACACATGCCGAGCTCTTTGGTACCGCATTTGCCTGCATTGTTCAACATTTACGGCCGCCTTCTGTTTTGGGACAGAGAACACTCGAGACCGGCCGAGTGGCCCGATAGTGACGGGGCTGGTCCTGAACCCGCTCCTGGATGGGAGGTGGCAACATTTGATCCGGATGTCGACGACCAATCCATCGCTCACCTTCCCAATTACTATACCATTTTGTACGGTCTATATCCCATCAACTTTATGGACTATATTCGCAAACCACAGAGATACTTGCGCCATGCCAATGCAGCCAATGCAGATGAAGTAGAGGTCCAGCCAACTGAGATGCGCCATCGGTCTGAAACCTTCCGGCGAAACCATCTGTTGCATCCCAATTTCTACTCTCTCACCATTGATTCTGAAAAGACCGATTTTGGCCGCTGGATAAAGAGCGAGGCTGCCGAGGTCGTGGCTGAGTGTATGGGCTTATGTCTGGAGACGGACTTGTACAACTTTGCTGATCTGAGTTCTGCGGAAATCCCTGGCTCCAGCCCGGGGGTTGTCAACACCACTGCAGCTCTCGGTAATGATGTGTTGGAAAAGTCCAAGGCCGATGCCGCCTTATTGAGCGGCCCGGGTGGAAAGCATGATAGCTGGCGCAACTCACACCTGACGGCTTCAGACTCCGCCTCAAGCAACCAGACACCAGTCACTGCAATGCGTCGTGGCTCACAGTCAAGCGTACCATCACATCGGGATTCTACTGGCGACGGGCGGTCAAGAACGGGTGGGACAGATAGCCCGACTTTGACACTATCGCCATCCCACCCCCAGTTGCAAGATTTAATTCAGTCTAACAAGGTCATCAAATCAGGTTTGCACCAATCGTTGGCCAACGACAGCGTCGCATCGCTTGCTCTGAGCCATCAGGACTCGGTCACAGAGAAAGCCCCTCCTGGTGCTCCAACAGCATCAGCAGCAACGGCGCCGCTTCCGCTTACATCGCACTCACCCTTCCCAACCTCAGAAATGTCTACCCAAGTTGTACACTTACAAAAGCAAATCTTGCTTTTGCAAAATGACTTGAGTTTTGAGCGCTACCTGAAGCAACAGCACATGGCACATATTGGCGACCTTCGACGCAAGCAGATGGCTGAAGCAGCAACAGAAGCCGAGACACAAAATTTGATTATGATGAACCGAAATCTCAAGAGCCGGTTTGAGGATGCTAAAAACTCCGAGATGCAGGTCAAAAAGGAGTCAGAGAAGAGTCGCGCCATGGCGAAGAAATGGGAGGCCGATTTGGCCAACAAGTTGAAAGACTTGCGACACAAGTCCAAGAAGATGCAGGCCGAAATGGAAGCATTGCAACGGGAATTGGAGGAATCCAAACAAGAAGGCGACAAACTCCGCAAGCTGCTTTGCGCCGCTGAAGTCAAGGAACTAAACTGGAAACAAAACATGCAGTCTATTGAAATACATGGCGCCGAGATCGACCGCCTGAAGGCTGAAGTGGAACGGCTGACGAGGTCTGAGAGAGACCATCAAGCCAAGGAGTTGGAACGTCAGCAGATGATAAACTCTGCGACAAAGACGGAGAGCCGGGCTGAGGCTCTGAAGATGAGGCTAGATGCACAGGAAAATGAGGTTCAGCGCGTGAAGAAATTGTTCCAGTCGCAAGTTGCGGCTCTTCAAACACAACTTTCTGAAGCGCAGGAGGAGCGCGAACGGCCTGGGTCCAACTCGAATCTCGCTGTAGAAAGTGCTTTGGCGGCCAGTCGGGCCAAGCAAGCGGAACTGCAGAAACAGCATGCTCTGCTGATGCGCAAGTATACAGCACTTCAGTCGTCACTGCTGGATATGCAGTCAGAACAGCCACCAGAGCAAACGCGGGCAACGGCGTCTCAGCACCAACCAACGGACGCAGATTATCTGTCATTGTCAACCAGCCCGGTTGTTGTCAAGGCCCGGTCACATCGAGCATTGTCTAATGCAGAAGCAACAGGCCACAACATGAAGTCGGCCGGGGGTTCGCAATCCGGCGGGACTACGACAGGCAGTACACTTACGAAAGAGGGCAGTGGTTCCCAGGCCGAAGCGTCGGGAAGCCCCATTTCTCCTGACCAGAGAACTTTTAGTAAGTTCCCAATACAAGATGCGGAGGGTAGTTTTGACTAACGGTATTTAGGCGGCCTACAGAGTCGACTGCGTCGGGACTCGAGAGATAAGAGCAAGGATGATGGCAGCAGTGCTTCAGGGAAGCCAAAGAAGGAAAAGAAGTCTTCTGGCTTAAGAGGCATCAGGGGATTTGTATAGAAGTGTAATGATGAATGAGAACGCAATTGCTGGTCGTGTTGCGGCGCGGTGTTACTGCGTGGCATTTGACACAACAGTGGTATCAATGAAAGGCGTTGCACATGCCCTCGACTGGTAATGGCATATATCTTGCTGTGCCCATCTCCATGCCTAGTCCCTGATTACTTGGCAGGTTGGATAACTCAAACTACGCAGTCTAACTGTGACGTGGCCCAGCAGCTTGCTAGATGTATGTATAGAGTTGGCAAATTGTACCGCGTGTCATATGACGACTCTGCTACCACTCAGGCACAGTGCTCATCGGACAAAACGGCAGGCGTTTGCTTGGTGCGTCATGCAGTGTCACCCCAGAAACTGCATATATAGTAAACAACACGACCAGATCACATGTCGTTCCCCCCCTCATGCCCGGCAAGACAAGACACACACACGAAGACACAACCAGACACATCCAGGTTTCCTCTCTCAGCCATGGAAAAACAACAAAAGTGCTTCGCCACGGGCCACGGCATCATATGCGCGGCGCTCCCCCGATCCGGCACGGGATCCCTCGCGGCGGCCCTCACGGCGCTCGGCCTCGGCCCCGTGCACCACGCGCTCTACATCACGGACCGCCGAGAGTACTACGCCTGGGGCCAGGCCGCGTGGAGCAACATGCCCTACTTCCGGACGGCGAGCCTGCGCGCGGCCAGGACGCTGCCGTTCTACATCAGCGCCGTGGACGCCCTGCTCCCGTGGACGCGAGGGGACTGGGACAGGCTGATTGGGGGCCAGAGGACCGTCACCGACGTGGCGAGCCTCTTCACCGAGCAGCTGATCCGTGCGTACCCCGAGGCAAAGGTCATCTTGGTCGAGCGGCCTGTCGATGCGTGGAAGGCCAGTTTCGGGGAGGTTGTCCTGGACAATTTCTGCTGCGGTGCTCGGGGATTCTTGCTGGGCAGGCTGGGGCCCTGGGCCGGCCTGCCGGAGTTGTGCATTCTGCGGGATATCGTCATGGGCTGGTTGGGCGCCGAGACGGGGAGGGAGGCGTGGGCAAAGATGGATGCTGCGCACGCCGAGTACTACGCCATGGTGAGGAGGGAGGTTCCGCGGGGGCAGGTGCTCGAGTTCAAGCCCGAGGACGGTTGGGGCCCGCTGTGCGAGTTTCTGGGTGTTCCTGTGCCTGATGGTCCGTTTCCGAGGACGAACGACAGGGCTGAGATGCTGGGCCTGCTGGATCAGGCGTGGAGGAAGGTTGTGGTGACGGCGGCTGCGCGCTTGCGGCGGGGTGTGCTCTACTTGGGATTGGTTGTTTTGGCTCTCGTCTTCTTCTGGCAATGGGCTTGGGGGGGTGCTTGCGTCGGTGGTTGGGCTGGGTGTTGGAGAGAAGAGCTTTGAGGGCTTTTGCCCTTGGGTTGGCAAAGGACCAAACGCTGGTGATGGTGTATGCATACTACCTTGGGTGCGGTGTCGGAACAGCATCGATTCTGCGGCTTGGAGAGTATGATGACGGCTGTGGACGGAAGTCGAGCTGCCGCTTTTGCTTTTCATGGCATTTTATTGCACTTGTTATATCTCGCTGGGCATCTTCTCCCTTCAAGGCATCGAGCCCGTCTGTATGAACTGGTGAGGGGTTCCTTCATGGCGGGAGTGCCTGATGTAGCCATGGTCAGACTGTATTACTCTGGGCTCAATTCACGAAAACCTGCATTTGATTCCCAGTTACTCCGTTCCCTCTGTGTGTATCTTGAGAATGTTGACAAGGGCGCGGCGGAACACGGGAAAATATCAGCAGTGATTGTGCCAGGCCATGCACCAGTCAAACTCAATTGGCCTCCAGGGCGTCAATCACTAATCATGCGACAGTAATGAATGAGACGGCACGCGGCATCCAGATGACTGGCATGTGGAAAGGCCGGCATTGAGCAGACGACCGCCGAGCACTCCGCAGAGTCGCATCTGGCTTGGCCGGTCCTAGGCTAAGCCGTGGGTACAGCCATAGCACCAGTCCAGTCCATTACTCGACTCGTGCCTGACAGGGAGGGCGTCAAAGTTTTTTCATTCTTTGTTTGGGGTGGAGGCTTGACGCCGCCTGGACGACGAAGACGTGTTCCTGGATGGTTAACGCCTCTCCAATGGTGCAACCGCCGCACTTGTGGCGGTTTGCTCGATTTGCAGAGAACAAGAGAAGCTACAAAGGGGATTGCAATGGTGGCAGTTCACTCATCAGGCCCCGATCCCTCGATTGCTGCTGTCGAGAACAGGATTTTCTTGCGTGAAAGAGGTGGAGCTTTGCCCACGTATGACGTGATGCCAGATGGTGGCTTCGTATTCTCAGAATAGCCCGGTGCGTCGTGGTATTCTGGCCGCAGCAAAAAGAGAAGAGAAGCGACAAGTCTCGTATTGTTCCACGTGGGTTGACTGACTTGTGCGTCTGCTGTTTGTCGAGAGAGGTCCGGTAAAATTAAATGTGCGGCTTCGTCATGCGCAACCTCGCGTCACTCTGCGTTATTGTTCAATCCACCCGCGCCGGCCGTCGCAGTGTTTCTCGTCTTGCCGCAGGTCTCACTCCAGCTCAGGCACAGCGCATTTTCACCCGGAGCAAATTAATTAATTGGCCGCTTGTTCATTGTTTCTCCCTTTTCTGCCCGACTTGGCCTGCACGACTCGGGCCTGCACGCCTGACCCCGGGCCTGGCCCCCACTTCTCTCGCCACGATCTAGCCTCGACCCCACCAGCCACGACCCATCCATCGGCTGTGAATCAGCCATGCACGACGAATCCGTCCACAACCGTCCACAACCATCCAACCATCCGCAGCCAACATCCAAACATGCAACGGCATCCACCCAACCTGCGCTCCATCGTGCGCTTCAGCCACTAACGGCCCAACGATGGCCTCCAGGGGTCCCAGTTCTGTGCCATTTTGGTCGCCTTCTCGTCCTGTGCTTCTCTCCGCTCGTGGCCAAGCGTGAAATGCCCCGTCCGCGCGGCCCCTGGCCAGCCAGCTCCCGATAGGTCCGTCTGGCAAAACCAAACATGGAAACAAGGACCCCCTGCGTGGTCCCACGGCCATTGATTGTTTTGACCATTTCTGCTATTACCTCTGGTATTCGTCTCTTCTGTTCTCTTTTCTTCGTCTTTCGTTTCTACCTCTCCTCATACCTGTCCTGGATTGTCCTTCGTTTTGACCAGTGTAGGAACCTAGTCTTTCGTTACTCAACACCAGCAAGGGAAAGGGTGTCTCTTACATCAGCATACACAGTTATAATATTGGCATTTGCTTACCATGCCTTCTCGCCTCTTCGCCTTGGCTACCGCCGTTTCTGGCGCTGCCGCCGCCTTCCAGGGCTTCAACTACGGCTCTACCTTCACAGACGGCAGACCCAAGGCACAGACCGACTTTGAGAATGAGTTCAAGACGGCTGCCGGTCTTGAAGGCACCAACGGCGGCTTCACCTCTGCTCGTCTGTACACCATGGTTCAGGCCGGCACCGGAAACGATGTCATCTCTGCTATTCCTGCCGCCATCAGCACCAAGACGAGCCTGCTTCTTGGTCTCTGGGCCTCTGCCGGCCAGGCTTCCTTCGACAACGAACTGGCAGCTTTGAAGAAGACCATCGACCAGTACTGCAGCCAGCTCGACGGTCTTATTGCCGGCATCTCGGTCGGCTCTGAAGATTTGTACCGCATCTCACCCACCGGCCAGGCTGCCTCTCCTGACCCCGGTGCTTCGCCCACGCAGCTGGTCAACTACATCAAGGAAGTCCGCACCACCATCAAGGGCTCATGCCTGGAAACGGCCCCCATTGGCCACGTCGATACCTGGACTGCCTATGTCAACGAGACCAACAAGCCCGTCATTGACGCCATTGACTGGGTCGGCATGGACGCCTACCCTTACTATGAAAACACCAAGCCCAATGGCATTGAGAACGCCGCCAAGCTCTTCCAGGCCGCCATCGACAACACTCAGAGCGCCTCCGGTGGCAAGCCCATCTGGATCACGGAGACGGGCTGGCCTGTCAGCGGTCCCAAGGAAGCCTCTGCAGTGCCCGGTGTCGAGGAAGCTCAGACTTTCTGGCGTGAAGTCGGCTGCCCCAGGTTTGGCAACGTCAACGTCTGGTGGTTCACGCTGCAAGACGGTGCTCCTACCATCCCCAGCCCTGCCTTTGGTGTCATTGGCTCCACGCTCACTACCAAGCCTTTGTACGACCTGTCTTGCGACAAGAAGCAGCCCACTAGCAGCAAGGCCGCCCAGAGCTCCCAGACTTCTGCTCAGTCCCAGGCGCCAACTGCCACTGGACCTGCCGGAACTTCTGTCCAGGGAAGCACTGTTCAGCAGACTACAGTCCCAGCCGCCGGTACCACCCAGCAGGGTGGTCAGTCCAACACGGTGGTTCCTCCTCCGGCAAGCACCCTGACCACCGGCAACGGTGGCAATGGTGGCAATGGCAGCAACGGAGGTAATGGCGGTAACGGCAGTAATGGCAGTAACGGAGGCAATGGAAGCAACGGAGGCAATGGCAGCAATGGCAGCAACGGTAGCAACGGAGGCAATGGCAGTAACGGAGGCAACGGCAGCAACGGAGGCAATGGCAGCAACGGAGGCAATGGAAACAATGGCAGCAACGGTAGCAACGGCAGCAATGGCGGTAATGGCATCAACGGCGGTGGTGCTGTCAACGGCAGCACTACCTACATTGTTCCTGGCCAGGGCACCGCTACCGGTACCGGTGGTCTGCCTGGTGTCACGGTTCCTCCCAACGCTGGCAGCAAGCTGAGTGCCTTTGCGGGTGTTGCCGTCGGTGCTGTCATGGCTGTCGCTGCTTTGTAAGCATGGCCTGGTGGAAAATGCAAATCGAATTATGCGTTTTAATGAATAGACCAAAATCCATGTGGTCTTGTCTTTGTACATTTGTGGTTATCACGGGTATTGGTCGGTACGGTCTGCGTTGGAAATGTATAGAAATAGACCGTATAATATGAAACACGAATATATGTAGCATTAATTTATGGCGTAGAAGCGTGCGAGGTTGGTGTGAATATTTAATCATTAACTACTAGTCTCATCTTAGGTGGACATGGCGAGTTGTCGTGAGCTTCGCTTTTCTAGTGGTGCCAATTGCTCTGTCTCTTATCAATCGCAACCAACATTGAAAGTGACATGGCACCACCCCCTGCCTTCCAAGGTTGTTGGGCAAGGTTGTCAGTCGTGTCCCGGATCCTACCCTTGAGCTCGGGCCAAGGGTCCAATGCAGCGGGCGGAGCTAACGGAGCTCCGCGGCGCGACGCTCTGATTGGCGGCGGCTTCGCCCCATGAAGATTGGCCAGATGAGCAACTCGTGGCAATTTCTTGCATATCAATTGCCATATTGCAACGCCAATTTTCGCCCCCGATAGCCTCGTTGTCTTCGTTATCGAGCCCTCTCACATCCATACGAACCAATTGCCAGACCATGGCGCGCCCAGCAGTCTTATGGCTGCTCCTCGCCCTGACAGCCTGCGCGCTCGCGGCACCCCAAAACGAGGTCAGCAAGCATGCCCTCGAGAGCTTGAGCCTCGACGACCTCGACCATGAACTCCAGGTATGTGAACATTCGCCTTGCTCCGCTCCACGATCTATTTTAACAAGCGCAATAACAGACGTGCCCAATTGTCCAAGAGCTGTCGGCCATCAAGCACGCCCATCACGCCGCGGCGCCCTCGTCCCTCACGACGCGCCTCTTCGCCGTCCTCTTCCCCGGGTCTCCCGCCGTCAACGCCCTCCTCGCGACGCTGTACATCTCTGGCCCGCCCAACTTTCTGCTCGCGCTATGCCCGACAAACATTGACCCGTCGTCACTGAGCGTCATGGTCGCTTTTGCCGTGGGCGGCCTGCTGGGCGACACGCTGTTCCACCTGCTGCCCGAGATTTTCTTGGGCGAGGACGAGCCCGACAGGGCCAGGTTTGTGCTTGTCGAGCCCAACAGGAACTTGGTCCTGGGGCTAGCCATCCTCGTTGGGTTCATGACGTTTGTCGCCATGGACAAGGGGCTGCGCATCGCGACCGGCGGCGCGGGCCACGACCACCACTCGCACGCCCACGCCCACGAGGCTGATGCCCAGACGACCACGGCGGCTGCGAGCGGCGCCGACACTGGCACTGGAAACGGGCAGGTCAAGTCGCGCAGGAAGGGCAAGGGCAAGAAGGAACATGCCGACGAGGACCATCACAAGGAGGTGAATCCCAGCGTGAAACTAGGGGGGTACCTCAACTTGATGTCAGTAGCTGAATTTCCACACCCGAGTCACAAAAGAGAGAGAGAGGAGTAGAGGAAAAGGAAGTTGTGCTAACGAAACAAACTCTGCAGCGCCGACTTTACGCACAACATCACCGACGGCCTCGCCATGTCTGCCAGTTTCTATGCGTCGCCAACCATTGGCGCCACCACCACGGTCGCCGTCTTCTTCCACGAAATCCCCCACGAGGTCGGCGACTTTGCGCTCCTCGTGCAGTCGGGCTTCTCCAAGCGGGCGGCCATGGCGTCGCAGTTTGTCACGGCCATTGGCGCGCTGATGGGCACCCTGATCGGCATTGCCATTCAGGAATTCGGCGGCGGGAACACGGACGGCGAGGCTTCCATGCCGCGCAATGCCGGGCTCTGGGGCACAAGCCTGGTACGTCGTCACTATTTTTTTTTTTAATTTCCCGCTTCTCTATACCAGATGCTAACCTGGCAACCAGACCTGGGGTGACATGTTGCTGCCCTTTACTGCCGGCACGTTCCTCTACGTCGGCACCGTGGCGGTCATCCCGGAGCTCCTGGAGACGGGACCCAACAAGATGCAGGAGCTTCGAAAGACGCTGGTGCAGTTCTCTGCCGTGGCGGTCGGCGCGGGCATCATGCTGTACATTTCGTGGCACGACTAGCGTTTTTTACTCGTCGTTTGCATTTGGGAGGGGGGAGGGGGAGAGAACAGGATTTAGAACAGGGCCGGCCCATCTGCTTGCTGGGAAATAAATGCACTCGGGGAACAAACATGTCGGTATGACGGCGCGGAACCAGGTAACCAGCTCCCTTTGTAGGATTTGTCATTGAAGGTGGCAGCATATACTCGAGTACCTACTGGGTAAGTAGGTATAATGGGAGTGTCGGCAGAGGGCATTGAACATGGCATTGAACATGGCATTGAACATGGCATTGAACATGGCATACAGACTTCAGACATCTCTGGCCAATACCGAGACGTACGTACCTGAGCTTCAACATTTGACTCTGACAGTTCAACCTCACATTTGCTGCGGGTTTGTGCCCCTGGTTGTGCAGGCCAAAGCAGCATTCAGCCATTATAATACCCGTTCGATGAACGTTATGCGTTGATTGATTCTTGTGTTCAGCCCAGACCACACGGTCATGTTAAGCCTGTCGCCTGCCAACCCTAGAGTCAAGCGAAACAAACCAGAATATGCTCTGCTACGTTTATGTTTTAATACCCTACTTAGATTCCCAACACAAACAATCAATAAACTTGGCGTCATAACGACCAAGGCAGACAAAGAAGCGCCTTTGGTTGCACTTGAAACCCGAATTTTTATTTCCATTATTACCCTACCCAGTACTTAGATAGTCCCGGATGATTGGACCGGCAGAGACAGAGAGACACGGGAATGAGGCCGGGTATGTCGATGGCGGTGCACACGCGTCTTCTTTTGAATAATAGTTGCCAACTATTGTTCAGGCGGTCACAGTTGGTCCGAGCGTTCAGGGTCCTTTGACGACCTGCATCAAGCACAACCATCAGCGGTGGGAGGATTGAGGCTTGCGGCAACACCGTCCAGACTCCAAGGCATGCATGTGACATGGGACATTGATGGGACATGGGCCACGATGCACGGGAACAAGCCTGAGCCTGCGAGTGGCCCGGCCAACGGGTTTCGTGCCGCAACATCCGCAACATCTAGAAACTTCGCAGTCTGAGGGATTCGAGCAACATCTGGAGCTTGAGTCAAGGACCCAATAAGAATACTGCGCTAATCCCGAGACGGCGATCGGCGGGCATATTATGCATGGAAATGATGGAGACAATCTAGCGAGGGCTGAAGAAGACATCTGGTCCTCGTTTGAGAGCATCATCAGGCCTTTCAGTACCACCCATGTATGGCCTTGTCGATATCGACCATCAGTTTGCGCATGATTTTCTACCCCGAAGTAAACACAAACCAGGATGGAAGCTACCGAGTATCTTGATGAGTTTGCGTGATGAGCTAATATTTCGCATGACTGCGAGGCTGCTCGGGATGCGACCTAGTTTCGCAAGCCACGGCACCAAAAAAAAGCATATTGGCTTCTTGATGGTGGGAGGGTGCCTGCACACCCGTCCATCCCACACATCGTGTGTGTGTGTATGTACATACATACAAAGTGCAGCCCTCGGAGCGCCGACGCGCGCATTGCGGGCGTAAGATCGGAAAAAAAAAAGGAGACGCTCCGAGGTGAGAAAGAAAGTACCGGTACTAACATGGATGGTTAGCTTTATGGATGAATATTCAGGTTCGTTCCTTGGAGCGGGCTGGGCGGTGGATGCTTTTTCTGGCCATGGTGGTTCACGATAGTTGAGGGGGTGATGGTAAAAGTTTTTTCTGACTAGTACTGTAGTAATACTACAGCTCATCGACGGCGCAACAGGCGATATCGGAACGTGGCGGGCACCAATCTGCCATATCCAGGCACACAATCATGCTCACACGTAAAATCCCAGAGTGTTGTGTGAATGCAGAACAAGATGTTCCCCGGGGCAAATTAAGCCGAAGGTGGTAGCCGGCAAAAATTTTGCATTGACGTTGGCCATGTGCATGTGCATGTGCATGTGCGGCACGCGAGAACCGACGAGGGAGACGAAACGCCTAATGGCATTGTACATTATGGCGTGCAGTGATGTGATGCTTCGTAGGAAGATCAATTGACGCAGCAAGTCGACGTCGCATTGGTGCCTTGTGAGTTGCTGCTTCTGGCCAAAGAGCTCATCCCCATCCCCGCATTCTTAAAAAACAAGCTCACGAGTGGCCAGTTAGTACAAATCCCCAGATTCTTTGTCTCTGCAGCGTGTTTTACAAAAAGTAGCTGGGATCTCCGAGTGGATAAGGCTGTCCCCGTTGGTAGAAGGATGGCGCGGACTTTGGTGTTGTTTGGTTGCCGGCTCGGCTGCTCTCTGCCCGTGACGGCTCTTTGATTGACAGGCCGCCCTGGTACTACTCTGGTATTACCCTATTCGGGGGGGTGTGCGGTGCTGGCTTCTTTCCGATTCATTCGCCGAATGCGCCCACTTCGTGAGGCTTCCAAGCCCACCCATTAAGGTCCAGACCGAAGTCCACGACAGGCTTCCAAATATTCCAAGTGTTCCCGTGAACACTTGTCCCTCTTTTTTTTCCCTTCCGTGCCCTTTGCTACCGGAAAGACGCGGTGCTGTAAAAATTAAAGACTTGGAAAAACATTGTCGAGTTCCTGCCACACGCGGTTATGCACCCCCAGGTAAGGGGGTCCATGGCAGGAGACATCATTTATGACTAACAAGCAATAAGAATTTGGTCATGTGGACGACGTGGAGTTGAATCGTGGTCAAGCTTGCCATGATTGAAGCCCGACCGTGGTCGAGGCCAATGAGCTGATTTTGCGGTGTGTGCTCCGCGGTGATGCTGTTGATAATGCTGCAAACCTACCAGTCAACTGGGGCTGGCCGTGTCAACGCGATAGTCGCACGTATGTAGGAATGTTTAGAGCTCACAATGTTGTTAGCCAGGAACCAGTATGCCAGGAGTGAGATAGTGCGAACGGCACTGGGAGGCTCCGTCGGAAGAAATGGAGACTGTGGACAAGGTCAGCCAATCTGGCAGAGCGATGAAATATCGAGAGCCCATCCCTTTGGGTGTTCGAAGGTGCCGATTGCGTACCGGGCCCGCTTTGCCTGAGATACCTAGTAGATACCTGGTTTAGTGCGTATAGATATGTACCTTTTTGTATATAGGAAGATAAATGTACTTATATCTCTATATAATATCCTAGTATATTAATGTATCTCTTGTATTGAGATTTTTAATTGGTTGACATCCTTGTTCGGTTCAAAATCGGCACCTTTGAACACCCAAAGGCATGGATCGTAGCGGGATAACAAGTTCATGCCAGGGATGTTGTTGCAGAGTGTAACATAGACTGCTTGATGAGACGTTGAGATCGTGATCGCGGTGGGCACCGAGATGATGCATTGCATCTAGGATCTGGTGATCAGCAGCTCCTATCGCTTCTCCGCCAATGACGGTCCGATCGAAGCAGTTTCGGCGTCCAGTCGGTCAACACTCAATATTAAACGTGATGTAACACGTATTGTCAGTGGTGTGAATACTATATCTTTGTTGGGGTAGCTCGACTACTAGGCACTACCTAGGTACCTACTGTCGTTGGTGCATGCTTAGCTGGTACTTATAAATCACGCCTTGGTGTTGACTCATTGCCTGTGCGGCTCACAAGTTCCGTGGATGCAAGGGACTTGACCTTGATTGTCCATGTTGCTGGCGGCGGCGCATGAAAATGCAACCGAAATCTGTCTGGTTGAACAATCCGCAAACCCTTCCAAAGTTGGCAGCACTTTAGTACTTGAGCTGCTGAGGCACCAAGTGAAGGTATAGGTACCCAGGTAAGTACCCAGTATTACGTCCAGCATTTTGAAATATGCTTCCACTAGGCGGAAGGGGCAAAGCATGGTTGGAGAATTGTGCAGAAGCAGTTTCAATGTTGGCAAAAGATCAATCAATGCATGTCGTGTTCAGCGGGACAGCTGCCAATGAGCTTCCACAATTCGCCGTTGCCCGCGTTGACGGAGCTGTTCTCGGAACAACTTGCTCCATACTTTCTTTACAACAGACCAAAGGCAAGAGCGACAGGCACATTGCACGGAATAGTGGGAGCGAGAAACGCGGGAAGGAGCTACCGCATGCGAGTGGCGTTTGGGCAAAATTTCAAGAAAGAAAAAAATACTAATAGTAATAATAATTATAGCCCATTTTGCACCACGCCTCCCGGATGGAGCGACAGCATCTAAGCGGCACGCCCCGTGAACATGGCGAGATGCCATGATGCGCGCGAAAAGGAAAGCCTCAAGCCTGCCTATTGCGTGCTCCAAGCTCCTTCCATGCAGCAAAGATGGTGGGAGGAGCCAATGGAGCCTGACGGGGCCAAGTAGGTGGAGGGTGGTGACTCGAGAGTGGCGTGCACTTGCAAAGTGTAAAGTACCGGTACTGCGTAGCACTGGTAGTACCAAGTCTAGGCTCGTTGCCAGGTCATGGCTGTCCGCTCGCTCCTTCCTCCACCGCCGCAAAGGGGACGTTTGGATCTGTGCTGGAGCCAGCGAAGCTCTAGAATGGTCGACTCTCCTCTTCGCTTGCATTGTCTCCATGGACCACGGCGTGTCCCAAGTGACACGAGATAAAAAAGAATGCATCTCCCGCTCCCTTCACGATGCTATCATGTGTCGTTAGAGTCCTGCCACTTTCTACTCTCCCCTTGCCAGAGACCAACACGAGGCTCATTGTGCTTTTTCTTCTGTTGCGCTTTCGTCTGTTTGTCCTATTACAATATCAACGCCTTGGTTCTTCTTTTTGCACTGTCTTGGTTTATTCTTTGTGTCACGCCACTCACGACTTATACCACCACCACCTTCCACCCGCCACCTGGGTCAAAAACCAGCTTAATTCTGCCACACATACATACACACACGCTTTAATTCTCAACCAATAATCCTCATTAAAACCCTGCTATTGCATCATTCTCGGAAACCACTGCTGTCGCAGTTATCATCGATTGGCTGATCTTCGCCCGCTCCAATCGGCAATATTTCCAAGCAAAATACTTGCTTACAAACCGCTCCAGCTTATATAAACGACAAGCCAAAGGGCGTCATTCAAGACTCCGCGTCTTGGTACATTTCAGGAGACGTCCTAGGCCGATAGTGTAAAAAAGACGTTCAGAATTGGCTAATTCTACGTTTTTACTTTTACACTCGCAAGCAGAGTCCTGCAATTAGCCAAAGCAAGCTACAAGAGATCCCGCCATTTTACAGACAACATCAATATTGGCCACACAATGGTTGTAGGAACTGGAGCTGCGGCTCTAGCAGGAGCTCGTACGACCAAAAATGTTGTCAATCAGAAGCCCAATATTCAAATCAAGATTGAGAAACACTTTAATTCCAAGGTCTACACATCGGGGTCCACCATCTCCGGCCAAGCGCTTGTCAAAACTCAGAAGGACACTCGATTCGATGATTTTGACATCATTTTCTCTGGTATTGCTGCCACCCGTCTGGATTTTGTTCAGCAGTATCCTTCGCACTCGTTCCGACCTTTCATGAAGCTTCGAATGCCCATCGACAGATCCACTCTGCCAGAGAGTCACGTTTTTGAAGCTGGAAAGACGTACACGATCCCCTTCAACTTTGTTGTTCCTCACCATCTCACCATTGGAGCTTGCAACCACTACTGCTCTTCACCGGCCGTGCAAGAGCAGCATTTGCGTTTGCCACCTACTGTTGGTTTCTGGGAACGCGACGATCAAGCCCCAGACATGGTCCAGATTGAATACTCAATCAAGGCCAGAGCTTATCGCAGAGCATCCGAAGCAGGAGGAATCCCCCAAAAGATTATGGACGGGTACCACATCCTCAAGGTACTTCCAGCTCTTCCCGAAGATGCGCCTCTCGACATTACCTTCAGAGATGAGCGATACAGCTTGTCCAAGACCAAGACCATTCGCAAGAACCTCTTCTCTGTCAAGGCAGGAAAACTTACCGTCTCCGCGGCTCAGCCAAGTGCTGTGATGCTATCCGCAGACGGACGTCATGCATTGGGCTCCGTTGCTCGGATCAGCCTGGAGTTTGCGCCTACCTCGACCGAGAGTGTGCCTCCCAAAATCAACTCTATTTCTGGCAAGATTGTCTCTTCGACATTTTTCGGTGCAGCTCCCTCTGACCTTCTCCCTAATTTGGGAAGTCGAGCCACCTACACTGCCAATCCATCTCTCAGCTACACCGTGTCGAACAACATCTTCAACAACAAGCCTGTGGAGAAAGTAGCCTGGCAGGTGCACAATGTATCTGGACGCCGGGACTCTGGATATTCTAGTTTGGGTAATGCTGACGAGGAACAGTCAGAGATGGAATGCTCTGATGACGCCTCGAAGACGAGCAAGAAATGTCCAATTCGACACAACGCTGTCGTTGACATCCCATTCAGCATTCCCATGACCAAGAAACTTTTCTTGCCCACTTTCCACTCGTGCCTAATCTCTCGCACGTACACCTTGCACCTCAACCTGTCTGTCGGCGCAACTAACACGACCATGTCGCTGGCGATCCCGCTGCAGATTGGTGTTGAGACCATTTACGAGCCCCAGAACGCCGGTCTACCAAGTTTCGAGAGCGTCATGGCCGAAAATGAACAGGCCGCCGTGGGTGGTCAACTTGATGTGCATAACGCGCAGTTTCCCGAGCTGATGGAGCACACGAACGGCATGCTTCCGGGGTACGACGAAATCAGCCGTCGAGCAGTTCGGGTTGCGTGACCATTGATCACATTTTCGACACTACATTAATACTTTCTCTCTTCTCATGATATTTTTTCTTGAGTGTTTCTTATCTCTTTTTCGGAGTCCATTTGGATAGACTGTTGAATTCCGCTGTTACATGTTCAACCTTGTCTTTAACATTCACCAACCCGCTTTCTTCTGCTTTCGGCGTGTTTACTTTACTTGATGGCATGGTCTTTAGACAGCTTGTTTTAGGAAATTTTGGAAAGACAAAAGCATAATGAGTGGTTTCTTTTATTACGGAGTTTAGCATTCTGACTAGAGATTGGGGGAACACATAGAGATTCATTCGAGTTTGGGGACTGTCGCATTTGTTACTATTGACGTTGTGGTGAGCAAACGTGACATGGAATGCATGGGTTTGTTTAGGAAAATCGGGACATGATGATGAATGATTGCGCGTGTTGCTTTTTCTACATGACGACGACGATGACAATACAGCCGCGAGGTGAGCCTTGCAAATGGCGGAAATAATTAATATAATGACTTGAAATCTATGCCTTTGCCCTGCCCGGATCCAGCCAACCCGGACTACCAAGTACGACCCGTATAACAATGATAAGAATAATGAAATGCATGCGCCAGAGAAGTGAATATCGATGATATCATTTTACAATTATAAAAAAAAATTTTTTTTCATAATAATTTAAAAAAGAAAGAAAAAAAATTAAAAGAAAAAGTGAATAATTGAACAACAGCAGTATTTCTCCGAGACACATCGACCGCCAGCCTCCTCAAGTGTGGCATGGAGAATCTGGCATTATGTAGAGTGTGTTGGGACGCCGAGGGTGGTTGGAGTTTGAGTTTGATATTCGATTTGAGACGATAACGAAACGTGGGTAGCCATCAATGACTACACTTGGATATTAAGGCTTCACCGCAATAGAGGCAACGCGACAGAGCAGGCCAGAAAGTCGGGCGGTCGTGCTCGATATGCTTAATTTAATAACGATGTGACATGATTTCTACTAGAACTAGTACTACTCCGTGTTGTTTAGTAAAGGCGAACGAATTATGGTAATGGCACGGAGTAGCATGGGGTACTAATGAGAAAAAAGGGACAAAAATAACTTTTCCCCCATGCCGTTTTGCAATACGGACTAGGACCGGCGGGGGCCAATGGGCATCCAGCTCAAATTTGGATTCTCTGGCCAAGCAAGGCAGTGCTTGTCACCTTGAAAATGCAGGAAGGTTCGCGCAAGAAGAGAGTGGACCTGATTGGCGGCAGCATTGTATGCTGGGGAGCCGGCCCCACTTGCTTGCGATGGAAGGAGCGGCATGACAGATGGCTGTTTTCGAACCCGGAAGCGGGAGAGTGGCATTAAGGGAGACACGAAGGTGAAGGTGAAGATGAGGCTTGAGGTACAGGCAGGCGCGCTGCAGATGGCGACTGACGATGCTTCGCTGCCCTGGCTGCCCTAGCACCTACCTCATATATGCAGGTTTGAACAGGTCACCACGCGAGACAAAAGGAAGAAGGGAGCAGTTGGGCCAGCAAGATATCATTAAGTCAATGTACAGTGACTGACGGTAATTGAACCCCGCTGCAGCCAGACATGGACAGCTCAACTGCCTCGAACTGCATGCATATCGCGCCACACAGAGGCCCGCCGATCCCACTCGCTCGCCTGATTTTGCTACAGGCAACGTGCTTCCACGCGTTGAACATGATGAATTCCCCAATTCCCCCATGTATTAACAAGTACATACAAGTACATATGTACGCACAATATCCTGATTTGATGATTGTATGTATGTTATGTATGTACATACCCGTGCGTCAGTCAAGCAGCAAGGTGCCCGCTCTCCCCAATTGCCCCCTTTAGCGTGGCTCCACACCCCGGCCTGCAGGCCAAGGCGTTCTTATCTCTGCAAGGTTTCCCGCTCGCTGCGCCGGATGGGACTCGAGCATCAGCTTGTCGGCATTGACTTTGGAACAGCCACCTCATTGTGCATCCTTTTCCTGCCTCGTTTCATATCATTCTCTGTCGATTTGCAACGGCTGGGCACCAAGGAGCCAGCATTCGCATCGCATACCCCGTATCGACTGCTGCGACGGCCGACGTCGAGTCTTCACCAAAACCGGACCCCTGCTTGTCCACTTTGTCATCTCCCTAGGAGTTCGCAGTGAACCCAACGTTAAATCCATTCCGATCGCTTGGCATCTGCCCTCGTTTTGTCTCTCCCAACTCGCGTAACCTGGCGCTCGCACAGGTCCATCGCGATTAAGCTTAGATTTACGGTACTCGGTGCCGATTTCACTCGTTTTTCTGTTTTTCTACAGCCATTCGCCCCCAGGACACCAGCGAGTACGGAAGCTCGCTGCCTCGATTTCACAACAGATATTACATGAGCATTCATTGTGGCGTTGCCGTTGGATTCGCACTGCCCATTGCCCATTGTTCGATCCCGCCGTCCCGACTCCCACGCTCGTCATAATCTTGCCGAGTCCGTGGCTTCATTGCTGGTAGGCCACGGGGAATACAAGGCGAGACTGTATTGGATGCAGAGCACAGATATCCACAATGTTCTGGATATCAAGATATATCGGCCTCGGCACCTTGCTTAACTTGGCATTGCTTTGCCACGTAAATGCATTTTATATTCCTGGTAAGCTTCCACGTTGGTGGCCGCTTGTCTACCATCTCGCTAACTGGAAGAAAACAGGGTGGTCAATCAAGAGCTACAAGGAAGACCAGCAGATCCCACTCATGGTCAACAAGGTCTACTCCGACAACACCCAACTCCAGTATGCCTATTACGATCTGCCTTTTGTCTGCCCGCCGACCGGGCAGCACAAGTCTGCTGCGGGCCTTCTCAGCGGACAGAGCATCCCACTTAATCTAGGCGAGGTACTTCGTGGAGATCGCATCATGGCCTCCGACATGGAACTTGCCATGAAAAAGGACACGTCGTGCAACGTCCTCTGCACCAGGGAAATTTCGCGCAGCGATCTCAGACGCGCCAAAGAATTGGTCCACGATGGCTACGTCACTGAATGGATTGTTGATAACTTGCCTGGAGCTACAAGTTTTGTTACGGTGGATAAGACCAAAAAGTACTACGCCGCCGGATTCAAGCTTGGATACACGGAATTTTCCCCGAGCACAGGCAAGGCGCGCTACTACCTGCATAACCACCACACTATTGTCATACGCTACCGCCAAGCTGCTGGACGAGCTGGTGCCCGAGGCGAAAAGATTGTTGTCGGATTCGAAGTCTATCCCAAGAGTATTGGCAACGGGAACAGGCGAGACACCAAAGGATGCCCTGTCGATTTGCAGAACATCAACCAGCCTCTTGAGCTCTACATGGCCCCCAACAAGACACTCGATGCAGCTGCGCCCATATATACCGATTCATCATACCAGCCTGCTGCTACCGAAGTTGACGATGACAGCGCTGGTGGTACAATCAGCATCCCCTACACCTATTCGGTCTATTTCCGAGAAGATGATACTATTGAATGGTCTCACCGTTGGGACCTGTATTTTGTAAACCAGGAAGAGGGCTCGCGTATTCATTGGCTTGCTATTGTTAACTCCCTCATTATTTGTGGCTTGCTGACGGGCATTGTCATGATAATCCTGGCCAAGACGATTCGCACCGATATTCAAGGATACAAGGATGCCAAGGCCGAAGATGGAAAACTTCGATCAAAGCGCAAGAGCCGATCCGGTAACCGAACGCCGAAGGAGAAGCCTGGTTTGCTCGATCAGGGTGACGATGCCGAAAATGATGCAGACATCTCATCCGACGACGAGGCTCTCGAGGAAGTGACTGGGTGGAAGCTTCTGCACGCCGACGTGTTTAGAACTCCACGGTCCGGCAATCTTTTGGCACCGCTTGTGGGCTCTGGTATGCAGCTCATGTTCATGGCCATGGGTTTAGTCCTGTTGAGCGCAATCGGCGTGTTGAACCCCAGCTTCCGCGGCGGCTTCGTCAGTGTGGGTGTCGGCCTGTTCATTTTTGCAGGCCTCTTTTCTGGCTACTTTTCCGCTCGCGTGTTCAAGAGCTTCGACGGCAGGGACTACAGAGCAAACGCATTGGTCACGGCCTTCTTGTTCCCCGGCCTTGCCTTTGCGCTTGTGTTCGTCCTCAACCTGTTTGTGTGGGCACAGGCATCCAGCACGGCTATCCCCTTTGGAACCTTGATTGCCATTGTATTCTTGTGGCTGTGTGTCCAGGTCCCTCTGGTGTTGGCAGGGTCGTACTACGGCTATCTCAAGGCGGGCGCATGGGCGCATCCTACCAGAACGACAGCCATTCCTCGCCAAGTGCCGCGGCAGGCTTGGTACATCAAGTCTCTGCAGTCGATACTGCTGGCTGGGCTTATCCCGTTTGCCGTCATCTTTATTGAGCTTTTGTTTGTCTTCCAGTCTTTGTGGCAGGACAAGAGCGGGTACTATTATGTATTCGGATTCCTGGCGGTTGTTTCCATGATCCTGGTGGTGACTATTGCCGAAGTGACTATTGTCACGATTTACATCCAGCTATGCTCCGAAAACTACCATTGGTGGTGGCAGTCATTCTTTGTGGGCGGCGGCAGCGCGTTGTGGGTGTTTGCCTACAGCATTTGGTATTACTTTTTCAAGCTGCACATTACGGGACTTGTAAGCAGTCTCCTCTTCTTCAGCTACAGCTTTATGGCCTGCTGTGTATATGGACTTTTGACCGGAACTATTGGATTCCTAAGCGCCTATGCATTTGTCCGGAGAATATATAGGTAAGTTGGGTTTGGAGTGGTGCCTGGGATGGCGAGATGCTAACGCTTTTGTCTAGTGCAATTAAAGTTGATTAGAGATGTGAGAATTTTGACAACACAGGTCCATTGTCCAGCTTCTTTTTTTTTTTCTTGTTCTATTTTGGGTCGCTCCTTCATATTGACATGTCGAATGTGTTGGTTTCTTTTTGGGTATACTTCAAGGTCGAGGCTTAAACAGGCCCGATTAGGCGTCTGGGCCTAGCATACGTGTTTGGGATCAAAGACTGGCGTTTTGTACATTCACTCCCTCTAGAAGAGCATTTTGCGGTGACGAGAGGCCGGGTATTTGAGGAATAGGGTAATGGGCAAGTCAACGGGTCACTGGCGAGTTGACTGGTGCCGCGGGACGAGGACAATAATATATTACGACACATTTTTATTTTGGTTGCTTTCACTACTCATGGGAGGCGGAACGTAACAGGGTGGCATAATGTCATTGATGTCTTTAAAGGGCGCGAACAAGTTTGACATGTACATGATGACATAGCGGGGGCATCAATCCTCTCAGGCTTGCGACATTTTTCAGGTAGAGAGAGACTCGGAAATCTGTGCCGAGTTCCGAGTTGCTTCGAAGTGGACTGCGAACTGCAAACAGCGATGATGCGAAGGGCTAATGAAGAGATGAATGATAGAAATGAATGAAGCAGCAATGGCTGACAGTGTGTCAAGACAAGCAGCGACACTGGGCGAGGTCGGCCAAAGGAGGCTTTAATCCCATGGTCCCGGCAATCGAGCGCGGAAGCAGGCCCGTCCACATGAATCGATGGACGCACCGGACGCCGCCCACCGGTCCCGGCCCAGGGTCGGGGATAGTTGACTGATGGAGCAGTTCGTGGTCGGGCGCCAGCCATCAGGGACCACGCAACCACGGTTTGGCTCAACGACTCATGGGGCTGCTTGAAACAAGGTGGGCGGTCGGGTCTAGTGGGATGCTTAAATACATGCCTACGACGACAACTGCTCCGAGAGAAGAACCAAATCCTGCGGTTACCCTCCTACGCCTCTGCATCACCGGCGAGCATCATGGACACCAACGAGTTTAGAACGGCGGCCAAGGCGGCTATTGACGAGAGTATGTTTGCTTCTTCTCGCTCGCAGCGGCTGAGCGGCTGAGCGGCTGTTGCGGTTATTGAATTTGCTAATACCCCTCCTCTCCTCTCCTCCCCTCGCCTCCTCCTTCGACCGCCTTTCTCACCGTTTGAAAAACAGCATGCGTTCATTCATTCATTCATTCATTGCCCTGCCGCCCGCCCGCATCTTGACACGACTGGCTGACAACCACAGTTGCCGACTACCATGACAATGTCTCCTCCAAGCGTGTCGTCTCCGACGTCCAGCCCGGCTACCTACGCCGCTTGCTCCCTTCGTCGGCGCCGCTAGACCCGGAGCCGTTCGACGCCATCCGCGCCGACATCCAGGACAAGATCATGCCGGGCATCACGCACTGGAACAGTCCCGGCTTCATGGCCTTCTTCCCCTGCTCGAGCAGCTACCCGTCCGCCATTGCCGAGATGTACTCCAACGCCTTCAGCGGCGCCCACTTCAACTGGATCTGCAGCCCTGCCGTCACGGAGCTCGAGACCATTGTGCTCGACTGGATCGCCCAGGCCCTCGGCCTCCCGGAGTGCTACACTTCCAGCGGGAGCACCCACGGCGGCGGCGTCCTGCATGGCTCGGCCAGCGAGGCCATCCTCACCGTCATGGTTGGCGCGCGAGACAAGTACATTGCCGCCAAGACGGCACACCTCCCCGACGGCGAGGACAAGGAGGAGGAGGTATGGCGCCTGCGGAGCAAGCTCGTCGCCCTGGGCAGCGCCGGCGCGCACTCGAGCACCAAGAAGGCCGCCCAGGTGCTCGGCGTGCGCTTCGCCACCGTCCCCATCTACGAGGAGGACGGGCTGGCCATGAAGGGCGAGTCCCTGGCCAAGACGCTCGACGAGCTCGCCGCCAAGGGCCTGGAGCCCTTCTACCTCACCACCACCATGGGCACCACCGACGTCTGCGCCGTCGACGACTTTGCCGGCATCGCGAGCGTCCTCCAGGGCCGGATCGCTGCCGGCAAGACGGAGCTGTTCGTCCACGTCGACGCCGCCTACGCCGGCTCGGCGCTCCTCCTCCCGGAGAACCAGCACATCGCCGCGCCGCTCGTGCACTTCCACTCGTTCAACTTCAACCCGCACAAGTGGATGCTCACCACGTTTGACTGCAGCGCGACGTTTGTGCGCTCCCGCGCCGACCTCATCACCGCGCTGAGCATCAAGCCGCCGTACCTGCGCAACCAGTTCTCCGACAACGAGCTCGTCACCGACTACAGGGACTGGCAGATCCCCCTGGGCCGGCGCTTCCGCTCGCTCAAGCTGTGGTTCGTCCTGCGCAGCTACGGCATAAGCGGCCTGCAGGCGCACATTCGCAACGGCGTGGCCATGGGCGAGAAGCTCGAGGAGAGGCTGCGCCGCAGAAGGGACCTGTTTACCGTCTTTACCGCCTCGAGGTTCGGCCTGGTCTCGCTGCGCGTCGCCGGTAAGGACGAGGACGAGGTGAATGCGCGCACGGAGAAGGTGTACGAGGCTGTGAATGCCGGCGGCAGCTTCTACCTGACGAGCACCGTTGTCGGCGGCAAGTTTGCCATTAGGGTGTGCTTGGGGGTGCCCACCGTGCGGGAGGAGCATGTGCAGGGCGTGTTTGAGGCCTTGGTCAAGGAGGCCGAGACGGTCTGTGGCGACTTGCCGAATTAGAACGGGATTGTTTGAAAAGGTCGGTTCCTCATGCTGCCGCGTGTCTGGCCGTGCCGTGTAGGCTGCTCTCTGGTGTTTGGGCGGTAAGCTCTGCCTGACCCAGGTGCATATCAATCAGCTCGATAGTGGTTACTGCTTTGGAAGGAGGAGTCTATAGACAAGAGTATATGTATATGTATATAGAGATAAATGTATACATATATATACGACACTATGCTTCAACTACAACTGTCATTGCAGCTCTCAAAACTATTCTTTACGCAACACTCCCGTCCCCCCTTCTCCTCAGTGTCTTGCCAGCCCTCACGCCGCGCAACTCGCCCTCATCCAGCGCAACAACTCCATTGACAAGCACATACCTCACGCCCTCACTTGCCAACTTGGGCTCGTCAAACGTGGCCCTGTCCCTGACGCGCGCGGCGTCGAACAGGACCAGATCGGCCGCCGAGCCGACCCTCACGACGCCCCTCGCCGGGTACACGCCCAGCCTCTTGGCCGGCCGACTGGTCAGATGGGCCACCATTTCGGGGAGCGAGACGAGCCCCAGCTCGCGCGCGTAGTGGCCCAGGTAGCGCGTGAAGGTGCCGTACGCGCGCGGGTGCGTCGTCTTGCCGTGCAGGATGGCGTCGCTGCCCGACATGTGCACGCGGTGCTGCATGATGGCGCGGACGTTGGGCTCGTTGCCGACGTGCATCAGGCACGAGGTGGCCAGCCGATCTTTGACCAGGACCTCGAAGAATATCTCGTGCGGCCGCGTCCTCAGGCTACTTGCTATCTCGGATATGCGGCGGCCCGAGTAGCCCGCTATCGAGGGGTGGTTTGTCGTTCCAACCTGGATCTCTTCCCAGTTTGTAGGAATCCCATGTCCCCCGTCGCACCCCGTCTCCTCAACCGCAACCCGGATCCTCTCCCTCGTCTCCGGATCCTGCAACCGCTTCAACGTCTCGGTCGGCCCCCCAGACGAGGCCCAGCTGGGAATCAGCGCCGCGAGCGTCGTACACCCCGGCAGATAGGGGTATGTGTCGAGTGTGACGTCGACGCCCCGCGCGAGCTTCTCATCAATCATGGACAGCAGCAGCGGCGCTTTCCCCCTATTCTCGGAGAAGTTGAGCGTTGCGTGGGTCAAATCTGGTCCCCAAAAAACAAAGCCATTCATTAGTCACGGTCGCCCAAACGCTAGGGGTTGCCAAAGGTGATGAACAGCATGTACGCACGAACAGGGCAGCCAGTCGAGCTTCCGAGGTCCAACATCTCGGCATAGCTCTCAATCGCCTTGAAGCCATAGCTCCTATGATGGGGCGCGTAGAAAGCACCGGGGTACTCGTCTGCCAGCGCCTTGCACAGGACGCCCAGCTCCGAGGTGGACGCATACATGCCGGGCGTGTACGTCAAGCCGCTTCCAACTGCCATTAGCTTGCGTTCCACAAGACACTAGCAGAGCCAGGGGCATAGAAATAGAGGAAGAGGAAGAACATACCTCGACATACCAATGGCTCCCTGGTCCATGGCCTCCCTCAACAGCTGGACCTGGTCCTGAATCTCCTCGGGCGTGGCCACGCTGTCGTCGGGACCGCACGCCAGGAGTCGCAAATTGCCCTGCGGCACCAGCATGGCCACATTCGTCGCCGTCTCATTCCTCTCCAAGCAGTCCAGGTACTCGCCCACTGTGCGCCATTCAAACATGCCCACGCCCCGGTGCAGAGTTGCGCACTCCTCGTCGGTAGGGTTGCCGTTCCAGCCGGCGATTTGCTCCCGGATGGCTTGTAGCTGGCTTCTATTGCGGACGGGGGCGTAGGATATGCCGTCCTGGCCTACGACCTCTGTCTACTGCCGTCAGTAGCCCCAATATCACGTCGGCTCAGCAAGGCATGGTTGAGGTTGGCTTACAGTACACCCCTGTGAGATCTTGGCCTCATGCTCCGGGTTAGTGAGCAGATACAAGTCCGAATGGGCATGCATGTCGATGAACCCCGGCGAGAGTACATACCCCTTGGCATCAATTACCCTCGCCAAAGGGGCATGTATGCTTCCCGGTTCGCCCATTTGTGCGATCAAGCCATTAGAGACCAGAACGTCGGCCACAAACGGGATCGCTGACTCTTCGCCCGTCACGACGGTGGGTGAGGAGAAGAGAATATCTGCTGCCATCATGGCCTTTTGTCTGCAGCAAATGTTAAGCAATGACCATGTTGGAAATTAATCTAAAATAAAAATAAATAAATAGGATAAATGGCAAGGTCAGGGTAATAAGAGGTTGATATCAAGAACCCCACACTTAAAAAGGCGTGGAGTAACTACAATCCCGTTGCAGGTGGGGGTAGAGGGGGGCAGAGAGGGGGGGCTTCCATGGTGCAGACCATCGTGGGGGTCACACGAGCTTCATCTGCTTTGGGTTTCGTATTGTCGCTCACTTGCGGCGAACATCGGAGACAAAATAACCATGTTGTGTTCTGGCTCCCTGAATATCAGGCATTTGTTCTAGTCCAATCGATAGGCAACAGGGCTCTAATCTCTTGAAGCTCAAATACAGTCGCTCGCTCTCTTTGCAAGGCAACAACACCATTTATGACTGGCATTAACTGAACCATAGGAAAAGTCCATATCCCCTATCTTGATAGTTGAACCACGTACAAATAAACTTATATGCCAAATGATCGCCTTCGTGGCGTTAATCGCTGATCCGTATATCCCAAAGGACAGAGAAAAAAACAATGCAATGTAATGTAATCAAAATACAACCCGCTACGGCAGGTAATCTCGGTAAGGACCATAACGCCATCGCTTGCTATTGTCTTCAACCCACCATCGAGAGATGAAAGCAGCTTCTTCTACCCATTTCGCGATTTCTATGCCGTGCGTCTGCTCAACGCTATGCAAAAACGAAATAAACTCAAAGCCCTGCACAGGTACTTGCTCAGTTGGGTCGGAACTGAGATCTGTGAATCGCCATTCGATGTTGTCGATCACAGGGACCACTAGTCGCAGGTGTGGCTTGCGGGCATCACGAACGCTCACCATGGCTCGTCCTGGATTAATTACGGTAAATTGCCAGTCTCCTTGACCAGTTTTCGATGATTTTCGCAGTTCTCGAATCATTGTCTGTCCTTCGTAACTCTTGGCTGTCAGACTTTTCACAACTCGACTATGCTCCGGCGCAAGTGAACCTGTCTCAACAAGCAAGTCCATAATCGTGGGAAGAATCTGTAAAGAGGTGACGGCATCGTCAATATCGATTACGGGTAGCTTCGGATGCGATATAACCAAGGGCACGTGCAAGTTGCCAACATTCGGATTATAATATGCTGAAACCAGTCCATTCTCGGGCATAGATAGGCCGTGATCGCCAACCATGACAACCAGGGTCTCGTCTGCCACTCCTTGCTCATCCAGCATGCCCAATATCTTGCCCAGCCACTTATCATCGTACCCAAGGCTGTTAATGTACTTTGAAAAGTCTTCCATGCCGTGTGACATAGGCACGTATGTCTCATTCTCAGGAAGCCCAAAAGGATGGTGGCTTGTGCTCGTAAGGTGTGTGAGAAATACTCGCTCGTTTTTCTCTTTGGCCGAGGCAAATGTATCTCGAATATAATCCTCTAATGGGCTTTCGGGAATACCAAAATAATTAACGTCCGGTAAATGAGATATTCCAAACTTGGGAATATTTCCCTTCTCTCCTTTCAAATACTCCTTAGAGATGAGATTTTCCCGTGGATATCCCATGTTTTCCAGCAATCCCTTTTCGCTATCAAAATCCATCGTGACGGATTGCATAAATGACGAAGTCCATTTATCTGAAAGGAATGCTCTGCTGGCTTTCTCGTCGCGCTCGCTTTTTGCGAAGTGAATATGATTTAGGACATCAAAAATATGTGGCATACAAGGTGCGGGAAGTTTGTGGACAACCTCAAGATTGAAATCTGCAACCAGTGGTGATGCGCCACAAAGTGTTCCGACGAGGCTCTTCAACGTGTAGGTTGCAGGCGTAAACGCATTGTTAAAATTGATGCCACCGCGTCTTTTGACCTTGTCCTTGGGGTGTGGAAATCCGTCGTTATAATCTCCAGTAATGAAATTTGCGTTTGGTGTCAAGGAGGCCAGCTTCTCCTGTGCATCCTCGGGCAGGGTCCCATTCTCGAATGACTGCGCGAGTTTTCTCCATACAAGGCCGTCCTTTTTCACGGGAAAAACATCCTTTCGGGTACTCTCGAGAAATAAAAGCACAACATGACGGATAGGCACCTGTGACAGCTTGTCTCGGAGGTCGGCTAAAACATTATCCTTCAAGTTCGATATTTTGAGCGGGTCGTTGGCAGCACTGTAGTGTCTTTCGGCAACATATTGGTGCCAGAAGTCCATGGTACGGGCCAATGACGACGGGATTCCGGCTAGGGACGATACGTTGTGGACAGCAGTGAGATTATCCCAAGAACGGCCGATGCCAGAGCCATAGAAAGGCTGCATGTTGTCAAGGTTCGGAGAGGAATTGGAAAAGTCTACAAATGGTAGCAGAGCAGATGTCCAAGACATGAAAATTAGAGAGCTTTCGTGGGGTCGGATAAAGAAGAGAATAATTTGGGCTGTCAAGGCCGCAAATATAAACAAGTATAGAAGTGGTTTAATCCACCGCCGCCAATTGGGGGTCTTCAATTCCGCTTTCGCTGCGGACATGCTAAACATGAGTTCTCCGTCGCTGTCGTCGAACTTTTCGCCATATTCAACGTCTTGCTGGGGGACTATGTCGTAGTTGCTAGCTTGACGTGAGAGGCGATTGATACCAGGAATCCCTTGCAGGATGGCAGCTGCAGGCCACTTGACCAAATCGGTGCCGACACCGAATAGATCAAAGAAGGCATCCTGCAGCACCCAGCCGGCCACAAAGGCAACGCACACGACCAGCGCTAGCGAAAATAACCCAGAGAGAAACATTGACCAGGAGGAAGAGTCGCTGGCCAAGGCAATGTTGCGCCAGTGGATTTCCGAACCCGAAACGACGAAAAAGGAAACGTTGATGATGCCCAATGCAATAACGAATGAGAGCAAGATGCTGGCGACAAAAGTGGCTAGTGCCCGCAATGGCCGCACGACGGAGAAGACCCAATTGTCCAGCAACAGTCGTATTATCAGGAGAAGAGCCAAGTCTTGGGCAAAGAACGAATAGCCCCAGCGCAACAGATGCACCCTCGACAATGCCGTGATGTGAGTGTGAATATGCACTGCCTTGGCGCCAAGCACTGACACAACCGCTAGCGCAAAGGCAAATCGTCTATTCGTAAATCGAGAAGCGATGGCGACGACAACTCGACGGCTTGTTAGCCGGGCAGCGATTGCCCGTAGGCATTGCCGTGGGCAACACAATGCGGCAGGCTGGCTGGGAGAATCATGGCGATGGTGCTGGCCGCGAACCATTGCGTATATATCCTGGGTAGTTCACGCTGCTAATTTCTGTCGACTGTCGGTGGCTTCAGGCGCTCCGTCGGTTCGGTGATGGACACCGGCAGTCGAAGGGTGTCGTGGGCCAGTCGTGTGACTTTTTGAGGCTCGAAAATATACCATGAGTTACATCACATTGGTATAGTGTAGTGAAGGAGAAATGGGTGCTTGGAGCGGCAGGCAAACTGTCAAGCAAACGAAAAAAAATTAATAAGAATGAAGGAGCATGCAGGGAGCTGGGGCAAGGAGATTTACCAGGCTGATCTTTTGGTCCCCAGCAATACTTATTGATAAGGCAGTCCTCCGTACAAGTGGAGTTGAACAAGGTCCACCGAAGTTGAACGTTTGAGTAGGAATACCCCCAATTCTCCACCTTGGAGGAGGATAAGGCCAAAGGCGTCAGGGGAAGTGGCGCACTTTTATCAGTGTGTATGTGGGCGTAGGCTCCTACTCCTGGACATGACTTTGTGCACAGTCTATGTTGTGAGCAATGGAGCCGTACTTTTGCTGCGGAAAACCACGGCGAATGGGGGCAATGCGAGGCTAGACAAGACTGGCGTAATGCGTCAGGATCGCCAGCCGTTGGCGGTGCTTGTGGGAGCTGTTGCTGATCCGTAGTGGGGGGTTTAGCCTGGTGGGAGACGACGAGCGTGGCTGATGCGGAAGAGATGTCGATCCACGAGGGAAGTCGAGAAGGGGCAATGGGTGTACGGAGAACAAATAAGTGAAGAGATGTACCGGCGCGGCTGTGGGAGCTGAGCTGGGCTGAATGAGCTGAGCTGGGCCGAGAGACAAGTGGCAAGCGAGCGAGACGCGATGACATGGGGACGACGAGAACTCCTGAGGTGTACGGAACGGAGCATAGAGAGTGCTAGAAAGAGCCGCAGGACCGATCAGAAGGAGGAACGAGTCACGGCTTCGAGATGAGAGTCCGTACATCTGCGGAGCACGGGGGAATTGGCCGTGCAACGATACCAGGTTGCTGTATTGATTCACACATAACTACCTACTTTGGGCGCCCAGGTAGTCCCTAGTATTGATATACATACGGAGTCCTCCGTGTGTCTGTACAAGTAGTATTACCAGCAAATATTGCAGCACCAAGTAGTACCTCCTAGCAATTACCAGACTGTCAGATGAACTCTATTGTTGCACAAATACAACGCCGTACGTGGCGCCCCATACAAGGGTCCTCTGCACTCCTAATTTCAATCTTGTCGCGGCTGCGGCAGGAAGTGGGCGCCACTGCTTGACACTGGTCGACCCCTGGGCTGCACCTTCCGTCCCCAGGCACCCCGAAGCGGCAGCCTCACTAGCTCCTTCCCTCCTCCCGACCGAGTCGCCGTGCCCCTGCCGTTGTCGGCGACTGGCCGTGACCACTTTCCCGTTTGTCCTTTGGGCACACGACACGCACGACAACACGACAACATGGCACCTCGACTCCGCTCAGCTTCTCCCACGGGCCCCCATGTCCCCATTGCCTTGATTATGTACGTCGACGGTGGACTGCTCCGTGCCCCCCGTGCGCTTCAACGATCAACCGGGTCTTGCCAATTAGTACACCCAACGGCGTAGTCAATCAATTCGAGTACGGAGTACTACTAGTATGTACTCTCTCCCGACGGCCAATGTTGGCAAAACGACGGCACAGGGGCAAAGGGGTAGCGGCAAATCCACCTTTGGCGTAATAGTAGTACTAGTACCTTTGACTGCTTGAGTTGGAGGCCAATGAACATTGAATACTCCACTACGTCCAAAGTGGCCGTTCGATGGGCACAACATGATTGGGGCTGTACATACTTCGAGAACCCTTCGGTAGGTCTCCGGGAGAGAGGGTTGCATCGTGCCAATGCTTGTCGCGTGCTCCACGGTCCAGAAGGTTTCCAGTTTATCCCTCACACCAGAACAATTACGAGGAGCAACTCGACTGACTGCCTATTGTAAAGTACCTAGGTATGTACAGTGGGTGTACATACCCACTCGGCCGTTGGCACTTGTGTTAACTGTGCGGTATGCTGGACCAGACGGTGCAAATGAATAATGGAAAAAAGAGGGAAAAGAAGACACATGACATTCAGCGGCTGCCATCCCGAGGGCGTCACCGGACACCTCCCGTCGGAGGCCCTTAATCGACGATTCCCTGCGGCGATGCATTGAACTCGTGGGCAATGCTAGCACCTAAACAAGGCTGTGTTATTGCGGTACGTACTAGTACGGAGTATTAACCATCTTATTTTAACACCATGAGGTGGCTTGCGGGGCTGACACGGGCTTGAATGTCTCGCTTGTAAAGGCTCCATTCTGCTAAGATTGTGCTGACGGGGAAGCCACAGTTCTAAACCGAACAAGGACAACGGCGTGCATGTATGTACAACGTACGCAGCTGTCCAGACACATTGCCGATACTCTGCATTCTTTCCTGTGCAGTGTCCAATACCTACCTAAGTAGACTGCAAATGCCGTGTTCTATATGGCGGTCGGCTGTGCAATTGCTGTAGCCCGGAGCATCTACATCGTGCAGCCTACTCAAGTACGCACCGTGGCTGCTCAACTACTTTCAGCAGCATCACACTACGACCACTAGCACCATGCATTCTTAATGCAGTCGCCCACGTGCCCCTCGCGGGGCTGTGTTTTGACAGAATTCCTCATGGCTTGATTCCAGTTTATTCTCCTAGGTGGATGGTCAAGTATCGTCGAGAATGCCATGTTGTTACTCAATCGCTTCCTCAATCATAAATACCCATGTCGGCAGACCTCAAACCGCGCACTAGCATCAAATAGTAATGAAACCCCTTCTGGTTGGCAAGTCCTTTTTGACTCGCTGCTTTCAATGCAGGTACTACCAAGCTTGTGAGACTCGATGCCCGCTGCAGATTGGGCTAAGAAAGTGTCTGGTGTGTTTGTCTCACTTGAATGTACAATGCAAGACAAATCGACCTACATACCCTATTGGCCAACAAGGACGGGCAGAGGCAACTAGGCAAGTCAAGTGAGCACCGCATTTGCCATGCATCGCATGTACACTTCCCATCTCTCTTGTGCCGTCCATACGCGCTAGACACGACGCCAAGTTCAAGAAGAAAAGCCGATCAACATGGAAGCTGCGTGCTTCCTTACTGTGCGCTTTGCATGTTGGATTCAAAAAGCTAGAGGACATTTAGGCCTGGCCACAACGAGGCAATCTAGCCATCCATTGCCTCTACAAACAGAACATGGACCCCGACATTGAATCCAGGGTTGGACAGGCTATCCAGAGCTACATGCAGCCCTTCTGTGATGGCAGTATCTCTCCATGAAGAGTACACAGTTTGCTGGCCATAGTGCCATTAATCAGAATCCAGATATCCAACGAGTGTGGGGATCAAGTCGTCCAACGCCATGAACGCAAAGAAAAGTACTCGCGGTGATGAAATAGAAGAAAGGGCAGGTTGCGAAGAAGGTCAGGATTGATAGGGAAAAGACATGAAGTGAGAGGGTGAAGGGGGAGAACCGGTGATAGGGACATTGCTCTACTAGTACTCTGCAACTGGGTTCTGGGATGCTAATTTGGTTCATGACGTCGCTTCATGAGGACGTGGAAGTTGATAGTCATTTGCCATTCTGGGTTGCCATTGCATGGACATGACAGACAGCGGCACGACGCAGTGAGGTATAGTATGCGCAATGCGAAGGAAGTCATCCAAAGCTCCAGCGTACGATATGATTTGGGATGGCAAGTCAGGTCGTTTCTCATTTTCTATATGCTCGCTCTACGAGGTGCCTTTGTTCGTCGCATTGCTTCTTTAGCCTCGGCTTCTTCCATCCAGGGGAACCCTCCCTCGTCTTTCAGTTTTTGTAAAAACTCTTTGCCGAATTTATATCCCGTCTGGTATACTTCGTCGAATTTGATAAAATCCAGTGTGCCATAGTCATCAACAGGCGGGCGCATGTAAATGCACCCTGGCATAGTCTTTGCTCGCTCCAATGCATCTACGCTCGACACATAAGCCAAACGCCCCTGGATCTCTGCTAACGTAGGGGGGTTGGGATGTGCTGACAATGGGTTCCATCTGTTGAAGAAAGCCCACATACCCGACAGCGAGTCACCATACGTTTGTGGCGTGTCATCGTCAAGGGCTCCGACATCGACAGCAAAGATGATATCAACACCAAGCGCCTTCATATGCGAAACTGTTAAATTGTCCACATAGCCACCGTCCAATAGCATGCTCCCTTCGTCGCAGAGAGGTGGCAGCAAGCCAGCAAGCGACATGGATGCTCGGATATACCTCCATGCATATCCACTCGTGTGAAATTCCACTCTGCTCTTACTGATATTGGTCGTGTTGCAGTAATACTCGAGCCAAAAATCTTCAATCTGTGTGTTGCCAAACGTCTTGAAGATGCCTCGATTGAATTCATGGCCAGTTGTGTATGATGCCGATGGGTACGTCAAGTCGAGAGCGAATCGCCACAAACTTGCCATGCGGCCAAAGAACTTCTTTGCAAAACCAAACATGGGGACTATATCTGCATGGCGAGCATATAAAGCTCCAACGAAGGCGCCAATAGAAGTGCCACCGATCACGTCAATGGGAATGCCGGCCTCTTCCATAGCCCTAATCACACCAATCTGGCTCATACCTCTAGCCCCGCCGCCACCGAGCACCAACCCAATAGACTTGCCACAGAGGCGACGGGCAAGACGATGAAAGTCGCTCTTGTACGGGGTGTCAGGAGAGTAATACGGTGTGTGGTGGACTTTCCTTGACGTGTATTTTTGAATCTCTGCTTGAAGCACCTGCACTCGTTCTTTGAGAGCTTTTCCAAGTCTCTTAGACGGGGGAAGGTGTACAGGTATGGTATTTGTACTATATGGCATCTGAATATGGTAGTGACCACCGTTGATCCACATTCTGTTGCGCAGCCAGGATCGAGTCAAGCCTGGTCGTGAGAAGCGCTCATTGTGCACTAGGACGAGCATCTTCCTGGCAGTCGACTTCATCCCAAGCATGAATCGTTCATACTCGCCGGTGGCCGAGGAACCATCAGCAAGACCGACAAGCAGAATGCTGTCAGCTTGTGTAATACAGGTTTGCGTCCACGGTGAGTTGACACTGGTATCTGACAGACATCTGCGTTAGCGAGCTGCGCAAGAATCATAACGTCAAGGTGGAAGGCGAATGAACGAGGTTGGGGTTCAGGAAAAAATTAGAGTTAAAAATACCATCAGCGGCATTGCCTTTGGGTTAAAATTTTTCATCATGAAAAGTTACGAGACGAAAGGAATGAGTGAGTGGCGGCTGCCTTACCTGCGACGTATACCACGAGACCGTACTTCTCCTCGAGATCGGCAAGATATTGAGTGAGACGCAATTTACCCATCTTGTTGAACGCATGCTTGCCAAGGTGGTTCAAGATGGCGGATTGGTTGAGAGACGTGGCGCCGTTGGGCGGTCCAACCTGCGCCAGAGCATTCATCAGGCGATTACCAAACTCGACAACTGGAACGCCTGCTGTAACTGGGAGAATGGCAACCGTTCGAAGATTCATGGTAGATTTCCTTTGATTGTTGATGGCTCCAGATCCGGACTCCTCAGCACCATTCTTTGGAGGATCCTCTACCGCAGCTCTCATGCGAGAGGCAATGATCTTGGATATCTTGATAGTAATGTTGGGATGCTCTTGTGCCAAACTGTTGAATAAAGTGCGAGGAAATTTGACAAGCTCGGTATCACGAATAGCATGCAAGGTTCCAGGTCGGACGGTCTCAGTGAGAACCTCCAGTTCTCCCACACTTTCGCCTTGACCAAACTCAGCAAGTGCGGACATGCCCCCGTCCTTCCTATCTGCTACCAAACGAAGGCGGCCATTCAGGACAATGTAAATGGCCTCCGATTCATCACCTCTGTGGAAAATTACTTGCCCAGCATTCACCTGCACCCATTCAAGAGCAAAATCAATGTGGAGGATCAGGCGTGGTAAAACATGCGTCAACCTCTTGGCCATGGTGAGGAGCACGATAGGGTATTTATCCACAATTCTTTCCAGCGCTGCTCCGGGGAGGAAACCAACGTAAACGTCCGTCTTGGCAACAACATCGATAAAGGATCGATACGACGACACGCTGCCGATGTAGCCAGCTAATCCGCCGGGCTTCACCAATGACACGCTGCGACGGGTACGCCCATTGTCCTTGTTGGAATCAGTCCGACGAGTGGCATTGTTTCTTGCGTCAATATTAAATGATGCGGTGCCAGATGTCTGTAGAATGTTGTGTGGGCGTTGTTCCGTTGTGTATGTACCAATATCGAGAAATCCGTCAACAACATAGTACAGGCCAGGATTTCGTTCACCTTGCTCGACTAGTACAGAGCCCTTGGGAAAGAAGACAATCTCCACCTCGTCTTTGATCTCGTGAGATAATATGTGCGCACTTGGAGGCGTGTGAACCGTTAAGCCACTCGATGTGATTGACTCAGTTTCGCCATCTCCAGAAGTTTCGAACGGCCCCATAAACCCAAATGCATTATTTGTTCCAAAGGTCTTGCGTCTGTGATCTGCGGACAGTAGCCTTGGGGAGCCATCGACTGATTCTGGTTCACGTGACGACGAACCACTTCCATTCAGACCAAGAGACTTGAACATGCATTCGAGAATGGATGATCGGAACAAATTATCTTCATCAAGGGACTCTCTTGAATCCACGGATATTCTTGCATGCCGTTGAGAGTCGAATGGGTTGAAAGACCTGTGGGCAAGCGGACTAGTCACATCCTTTGCACTAGCTCCTGGTGTGATGGGAGAACGACCAGCATTTCGGCTAGCGTGAATATTCGCCAAATCACCGGGGTGGCTTGAAGTATGCTGGCGATTTTGAGGAGATTCCTCCACGGACAAATTAGATCCCAAAACTGAGGATGGTCGATGCTTGGTCATTGAGGACAGCATTGCTTCCCTGCGCAGCGTAGTGCTACTAGAGCGGCGACGTCTGGTAGCCGCTGCATTATGCAAGGCGATGCCGTTTCTCTCATCATCACCAGCAATGCGTGCTCGCTCATGCTTGAACTTTTCCTTCAACCTTGACAAGGCATCGCCTCTGAGAATGTTGGGAAGTTGGCACACGGTGTATTTGGTCATGCTCTTCTCCGTTTGCAACACCTCTCCAGTCAAGCCGAGGTAATCGAAAGCATGAGCCAGGGTAACGCGTTGAAAACGAGATAGAATGACATGGACGATGTGCGAAGTAGCTTTCGGGTAGATCCTGATGAGACGGCGGAACGCACTCGCGGGAATGATGGCAATTGTTGTGTCCACAGTGGCCCGAGCAATAATGTCAGGGTGTGCTGAGTGAGAAGCCACTCTTCCCGGAAGCTTGGGTCTCTGGGGTTGCGTCGGAGACGAAGGGTCCAAAGAAATGGGAGGGATGTTGGAGCCAGACTCGTGGAGATCACCCACAGGGAGCAGCTGGCTTTTACCTTCCGCCGATACACTCTTGTCGTCTGGCTGGCCGCCCTTCCCATCCAGATGAGGCGTATTAGGCATAGAAGCTGGAGCAGGTGTAAAGCTTTGTGTCTCGGATTCGCCGACTGAGAGATGCCTGCGGTAGTCACTCTCCCCATTTGGAGGCACTGGAGAGGCTTCATCGTTTAGGCGAAGCCTCACATCCTCAGTGAAGAGCGACATGATGGAAAAGAGCGAGGACATAGGAGCTCCATTACGCACTTCCGTCAAGAGCTGATATCTCTGTTGGTCCGGAGCCACTTCCTCGTCACTGGATGTGTCGAGGTCATGGGCAGCCAAAGGTTCACGGGCGGTCTTGTGTCTGCCAGATTTGACGAAAATCTCAACCAAACCATCAACGACAATACAAAATCCCTTTTCCTCTTCCAGGTTGATTGTCTCACCAGCAATCAGTTTCCTGGTCTGCATGCTGCGCGTCAATTCGTGAAAGACTGGACGCTCAAGGTAGCCGAAAATCTTGATAGCGCTCAGGAACTCATCGAGGTAGCTCGCTAGTCCTCCTTTATTGCCCTCCTCGTGACTATCTGGGAAAAGATCTATTTCAGGTTCTTTCCGTTGGGGCTCAGGCGGGAGCCTGGAGTACATGTTCAGGATGCGATATCTCACAACCCAACTGACAGCAGAAACAACACCGACCAGGATGAACATACTAATCAACATGTAAGCCAAGAAAAAAACAACCGTGGACTTGACAAAGGAAAGGCAAACATACAGCGTAGTAGCGTTCATAGTCACCGTCCAGCTACTGGAAAACAAGGCATAGAGCAGCCTGGGGATAGAAATGGTTGCTAAACGCACGACCCAGTATAACACGGTAGAGGTCAGATTGAAGACGACATACAGCAGCCACCCAAAGAATCCGAGCCAGCCTGTAGGCTCATGAGCAGCTGCTACCTTTGCTGATGCAGTAATCATGGCGTCGGTAAGTGGCTGGGCTGCTGAAGGGTCCCATGGGGCAGCAAGCGACGAGGCGACGCTGCTGGCCACTTGCGCGGCATTCGACAAGTCAGATGCCATGGCTGCGAGTGTTGTAGCAAGTTATGGCCCAGCATGATGTGAGGGCGGCACAGAGGAGGCCGGGTAGTGCCAAAAGGATGCAACAGCAGGACGAAGCAAATATTGTGGGAAGTGAAAGGGTGTAGGGAGGCTAGAAAAAAAGACGAGAATAAATACGGCCCCAGTTTCATGGGTTCCCAGCCGGCTGTCAGAAGCTCTGTCTGTCTGCACTGGAGCTTCGATTTGCCCCACTTTGTCCGACATTTGGCCGGGCGGTCACTGGCCAGGATGAGGCGGACGAGCCCCGCCGACCACTCCTGCCGCCGTCATAGAATTTCTTGTCAATCCAAGCTCTGGAGGGAGGGGCAGACAGGACGTGGATAGCGAAATAATCACATGCCGCCGTCTGCCAACACTTCACACCACCATCGCCACGAAAACTGCACCTGACTAGAATCAGGGAGCTCCGGAAGGATCCACGTCAGCTTCCGTAGCTGAAATAGCCATGGGCTACTGAGCACTTCGACATCGATCTGTCCCGCGATGCCTTTTGCGCAGCTTGTTCTTGGCAGCCCTGGCTCTGGCAAGAGCACTTATTGCGATGGCAGTACGTCCTCTTGCCTCGATATGTCTCAGGTCAAGTGAGGAGAAGCTAAAAACTGTTTTGTAGTGCACCAATTCATGGGCGCCATCGGCCGGGCATGCTCTGTCGTGAACCTCGACCCTGCCAACGACCACACCAATTACCCATGTGCACTAGACATTCGAAGTCTGATAAAATTAGAAGATATTATGAAGGAGGATCGACTTGGGCCGAATGGCGGCATACTGTATGCCCTTGAGGAGCTGGAGCACAACTTTGAGTGGCTAGAGGAAGGGTTGAAAGAGCTTGGCGACGACTATATCCTGTTTGATTGCCCTGGTCAAGTTGAGCTCTACACACATCACACTTCTCTGCGAAACATTTTTTACAAGCTTCAGAAGTCTAAGTTTAGGGTACGTCATACTATTAGCCTACCGGATGTGGGTGCCGCAACTAACCCCTTACAGTTTGTCTGCGTGCACTTATCCGACTCCATCTGCGTAACGCAACCGTCATTATATGTCTCCAATGTGCTCCTGTCCCTTCGAGCCATGATCCAGATGGACATGCCGCATGTCAACGTCCTGTCCAAGATTGACAAGGTGTCAGCATACGACGAGTTGCCGTTCAACCTGGAATTTTATACTGATGTCGATGACCTGAACTATCTTACACCATATCTTGAATCCGAGTCGCCAGCTCTGCGGAGTGAAAGGTTTGCTGGACTTAACGAAGCCATTGCCAATATGATAGAAAGTTATGGGCTAGTGCGATATGAGGTCCTTGCTGTTGAGAATAAGAAAAGCATGATGCACCTGCTTCGTGTTATTGATAGGGCAGGCGGCTATGTCTTTGGCGGCGCCGAAGGTGCGAATGATACCATCTGGGCTGTGACCATGCGGAGTGAGTCGTCCATGCTAGACGTTCAGAACATACAAGAACGCTGGATCGACCAGAAAGAGGAGTATGATAAGATGGAAAGGGACGCGGAGGAGGAACAAGCGCGGCTTGCCGAAGAGCAGGCCATGGAGTTGGACGATGCAACGCCGCCAGCACCAGCCGCTGCATATCCCTCAACGCAAATGGATCCCGACTTTGGTGACATGTCATTGCCGTCAGATAGTGGGATCAAAGTGGTTAGGAAAAAATGATACCCTGTTGCAAGCTCACACTTCATCCTCATTCGTGGCATTGTCCAAGTCTGAGCCATCGTCCACAACGTCCAGCATGGATTCATCCTGCTCAAACCGTAGAGTCTGGGAAATTTGCGACCCCGACGACGCTTGCTCCTTAGCCGCGAGAATAAGCCGCCGTGCCTGGCGAATGGCCTCTTCTTCCGCCTTGCGAATAGTACCACTCACTCGCACCACGCGAAAAATGCATGGCCGTCCATCCTTAGCGGGAACATGGTCCATGAACGTCAAAGCCGACCAGAGTATCTGGTAGTGAGCTCTGTGGCAACGCAGAATGAATGTAGATGTGGCCAGGGACAAATATTTCACTATCAAATGCATCAGCAATCACCAAATAGCACAAAGCCCTCGCACAAAGCGCGCCGCAAGATGCTAAGGTTCTCTTACCCGATAAGTTTCCTTCCAACGCGCCCAGTCCTGAATCGCCAAATAAAAGCCCAACTTGGGTTCTAATCGCCTCGAGCAAAGCTCGCGGCGTCACTCTCTCGAGGGTGGGTTGATGCTGGACCACGAAACCAGGGACTTTGGCAGCAGAGGATTTTGTGGCGTCGGGGGGGTAAATGATGTTGACGAGCAGATATCGCTCCTTTATTCGAACCATTTTTGCTATATTCCAGCCGTTGTAACGGGTCGCGTGAAACGGACGAGTGAGAGCTGGTTTCCAGAGTTTGCGAATGCAAAAAGATGAATAAGGAATGAGGCGTCGTTCGCTGTTACCCGTCAAGTGGGGCCGATCCATGGCCCGCGGCTGACAGCTCTCCCTCCTCTTTTGAATGCAGCTTCACAACTTGGACTCAAATGTTTCCCAGTGTAGCCGCAGACTGATAAATTGCTTGTTGTATCAGCCATAATTGTTAGAATATCAACCGTATTTTGTTTGCCACTGCTGAATCCATCGGCTTCCAAATGGACAACCTCACGGCAGCTATCCTGGTTGTCTCCACGACGGCTGCCCAGGATCCCTCCACTGATGCATCCGCTTCTGTTCTGCGCAATGTGCTGGCAGAAGACGGAGGTGGGAAATGGCAGGTGATGGCGGAGAGTATAGTATCCGATGATGTGCTTGCTATTCAAAGACGGATTATACAATGGGCTGATGGGGCAGATGCGCCGCATCTGATTATCACAACGGGAGGAACAGGATTCGCTGTGTCGGACGGGACGCCGGAGGTGAGTTTTGAATTTGAATGAGTCAATCTGAAGAATCTTTATTAATTGATTCAAGGCAATTAATCCACTGCTTCATAAACAAGCCCCCGGACTGGTACATGCCATGCTCTCTACCTCCCTGGCTGTCACCCCCTGTAAATGGTCCTCTCCGAACCTCAAGGTATACCTAGCTAACATGATCAGTTGCCATGATGTCCAGGCCAGCGGCTGGCGTAAGAAACAAATCACTAATTGTCACTCTCCCCGGATCTCCCAAAGGCGCCAAGGAGAATCTCCAGGCCATCATCAAAACGCTTCCCCATGCCTGTCTACAAGCAGCCGGCGCCAATTCGCGGGCCCTTCACGCCGGAGGGGTCAAGAAACTCGAGGCAGACGCAGGGATCAGCAGTTCAAAAAGCAAGCAAGGCCATTCGCACGACCATCGTCATCACCATCGTCACCACGGGCATGGCCACGGCCACGGCAATCTCGTCAGACACAGCAACCCGGAAGCGACAGCCTTATCAAACGATCCAGCTCTTGGCCCAACTCGTCGGCATCGTGAATCCCCTTACCCCATGATCTCGGTAGGAGATGCACTCGCACTAATCTCCGAGCACACTCCTGATCCCGACATTCACGAACACCCCGTAACCGACAAGATCATCGGCTCCGTGCTGGCGGAGGACGTAAGTGCTCGCGAAAATGTACCCGCGTTTCGCGCCAGCATTGTAGATGGATACGCCGTCGTGGCGCCTAAAGATGGCACCATGAAGGGAGTCTTCCCCGTGACAGCCGTGTCACATGCTGCCCCCGGCGAAACTAAGGCCCTCACAGAGGGAGAAATCGCACGAATTACCACCGGGGCTCCCTTGCCACCGGGTGCTACATCCGTCATCATGGTGGAGGATACGATATTGAAAACCATGACGGACGACGGCAAAGAGGAAAAGGAAGTAGAAATTCAAGCCGAGGGTGTCAAGGAAGGTGAAAACATTCGCGAAGTAGGAAGCGATGTCTCCCAGGGCACCGTGATCCTTAACAAGGGCGAGCAAATCTCTGGGGTCGGAGGCGAAATCGGCCTTCTTGCGTCTGTTGGAGTCGCCGCCATCAGGGTTTACAAAAAGCCTGTTATCGGAATTTTATCCACTGGTGACGAAATCATTGAACATGATCGAGCTGGGCCTCTTCGTCTAGGTGAAGTCCGAGACACGAACAGAATCACGCTCATTTCCGCCGTCAAAGAATGGGGGTTTGAAGTCGTTGATCTGGGCATCTCAAAGGACAAGCCGGCCTCATTAGAAGAGACGCTTCGAAATGGTCTGCGACAGGCAGACGTGCTCATCACCACTGGCGGCGTGTCCATGGGCGAGCTTGATCTGTTGAAACCCACCATTGAGCGGTCCCTCGGGGGCACGATTCATTTTGGACGAGTGGCGATGAAACCTGGCAAGCCCACGACGTTTGCTACCGTCCCCGTCAAGGATAACAACGGCCAGCGCAGGTCAAAGGTCATCTTCTCGCTCCCTGGAAATCCCGCGTCAGCACTGGTAACATTCCACTTGTTTGTCCTGCCCTCGTTGCATAAACAAGCCGGTGTGTCGCCAGTGGGATTGCCAAAGGTCTCTGTATTTTTAGGCCATGAATTTCCCATGGACCCTAGACCAGAGTATCACCGTGCCGTGGTTACGGTGGGCCAGGACGGCGTGTTGACGGCGAGCAGTACCGGTGGCCAGAGAAGCTCCAAGGTGGGGAGCTTGAGGTCAGCGAATGCATTGGTCTGTATGCCTTCTGGTACGGGAAAGTTGAAGAAAGGCTCTACAGTAGATGCATTGTTGATAGGTGCTCTGCGGACGTCCTAAATACTTGTGGAATATGTAAACGTATTTATTACAAACTGAAATTCCATCACTTCCTATATTACAGTGGGTAGCTAATCAGCAAGTCCGTGTGTCGCGCGGGACACCTTTTGTTATTTGGCGGTCTGCTATCACAAACAACTTAAGCTCGAGCTCTAGTTTAAAGCAAATCTATGGATCTCATCTGCCAGTGAATGCCTGGTGTACAATTCCGAATGTAGGGGGATGGTGGTACAGCTATGAAAAACACGGGTTCCCCCCAGCTCAGCTTCCAACGCCTTGCCAAATATTGCATTCGGCATAATGCATGCAGGACTTTACCATCCCAGCGGTATCCCTACCACATCAAATTATGCAGAGACAAGATGCCCCTGTAGTGCTTTCCGTCGTCGTCTCCCATTCGAATGTCATCTAGCTAGTTGCGCCGAAGTTGGGTGCCTTTCCAGAAACCAACAGGCCAATAATCAGCCCAAACAGGCCGAGGACGGAGCTGAAAATCTCAATGACGAGAATCTTGACGAACCTATCGAAACGAGTCAGTATGGTCATCCCGAGTAACCGATATAGAGGAGGGAGGGCGCACAATGACGGGTCAGCAGCATCAGCTAAAGCAGCCCCAGACCCGTTAATGCCCACGGCGATGCCGCAGACGAGATTGCAAAGTCCAACCGTCAGACCGGACCAGAATAGCGCAAACCCAGTATAGTATGATTCGGCGGACGCGGCAGCCACGACGTCAGTCTTGTCGACCTTGGAAGAGAAGACGATTGCCATGATGACGCCGTAAATGGCGACGACTTCGCAGAAGATGATGGAGATGAGGTTCTTGGTTCGAATTCGGGGAGCCTTGACGCCAGCGCCGAGAATTGAAGATCCGGTGATGAAGATGCCCCTGGCGAAATTCGTTAGCACTGAAGTAGTCGTAAGTGAAGCAAGTAAATCGTAGATGGCGGCAGGGGCGAACGCACCATGCAGCGCCAACGACAGATAATCCAATACACAGAGCAATGCCCAAATCGGCCCACGCATAGGGGGACACAGATTCGAGGAAGGCTCCGACATTGAAGGCTTCACCGCTCCCGGTAAAGAGCATATCTTGAACAGCGTCAGCGAACCTCCAAATCAAGCCACAACGACTGGGGACAACACACAAGCTCCCACCACTGTCAGAAACGACGCAACGCCGCCCACGCCATATGTGAGACTCATTATAGCAACAAGGTTGTGGAAATACCGACGACGAAAAAGAAAACAAGGGGGAAAACTCTTGACTGATACCGCGTCGACAGTCGCGAGGTAACAAGCTTGCTTCGGCGATATGGTTTCCCTTACGGCCCCGACTTGAAGCTCTGCTAGGCCAGCGACACCAGGGGCCAGCCAGCGACGTCACATGATGTGTCTAACCCGCGGTTGTGTGCTTAGTCAGACCAGGCAGATACACCCCTCCCTGCACGGCGCCGCATCGGAGCTCTTTGAACATTACAACACCAGGGCCTTTGCTGCAAACATCAAAAACATCCCACATAGAAAAAGAACGAAAGAAGGCCAGGACAGCGCAATCATGGCGTCAGGAGCGCAGTCGTTCTACGAGCTGTACCGCCGAAGCAGGTACCTCATGTCCAACAGTGCGATGGCAGAAGGGAGACGGCCGAACACGGGCTAACACGGGCGGTGACAGCATCGGGCTCGCTTTGACAGATACCCTCGACGACCTGATCAGCGAAGAGCGCATCAACCCGCAGCTGGCGATGAAAATCCTCGGCAACTTTGACCAGGCCATCACAGAAGCGCTGCAGAAGAACGTCAAGAGCAGGCTGCAATTTAAGGTTGGTTGCAAACCGGGCCAGCGCGCGGCGTCGGGATTTGATTTGCAGAATACGCAATGATGCTGACACGGAGGATGACGGTAGGGGAGCCTCGATACCTACAGATTCTGCGACGAGGTGTGGACCTTCTTGATCAAGAACGTCACCTTCAAGATGGACAACGGCAGCCAATCCGTCCAAGCGGACAAGGTCAAGATTGTAAGCTGCAACGCCAAGAAACCTGGCGAGGGGGCGTAGATTGGAAATAACTGTTCCTGGGAGATTCGTTGTATAATGGGTGGGTTATCAACTAGAGTGACGGATGATGCTACGACCATTCAAGATACAGCTCGCGGCTTGCATTTGACGGCGTTTTAGGCGTGGGCAGAAGTTCGGAGTTTTCGGCACGGTAGAACATGAATTTATTGCCTGTTATTATTTTTATTTTTCAACTGCTGCATGCCGCGTACAGTCGCGTCTAGTTGTACTACTCCGTAGACTGTGGTGACTTGCCGTATCCGCGAGAAGCGATTCAAGTCGTCATGGCCGTTCGAACACCGGCCCCCAGGTACTGACTGGACCGACCTCCAAGTTCTCCACAGCACATGCAGCCGTCCCGTCCCCTGGGTTCCGGACTTGGCACCTCGAAGTGTCCAAGCCACGCCATCGCCAGCCAACTTACAACGAAGGCCATCCGCCCCGATCCAGCACTCATCCCACACCCTCCACGATCCCAAGATCATGGTCCGCCAGCGTCGCGGCAGGAAATCCAGCGCCGCAGCCCAACCCGCACCCACCATGGTCTCCGGCCCCCAGACTCCCGCATCCACCCGCACGCAATGGATCGTCTACGCCGTTGCGAGCGGCGCCTGCGCGGCATTCAACGGCGTCTTTGCAAAGCTGTACGTCCATCCGCGTACACGAACCACACGTCTCCTCGCGCAAAAAAAGGTACTAACAGGACAGTACAACCACGGAACTCACGTCCACCCTGGCCCATAAGCTGGCCACCGTCTTGTCGCTCTCCTCGCACGAGAACATTGTAGAAGTTGCTGTCCGCGCCGTACGTGAAACCTCTCTGCCAACGGTACAGTGTGTCCTGAAACTGACGAGGATAGATCTTCTTCGGTCTGAACCTCGCATTCAACGGCATTGTAAGTCCTTTCCCGCTCTCCTTCTCGTAGATGACCACCGGGCGCGGGGGAGAAACGCTGACTGCGGCAAACAGATGTGGACGCTCTTCACCCAGGCCCTTGCAAAGGGGACGTCCACCACACAAGTCAGCATCATCAACACGTCTACCAACTTCATGCTCACTGCGCTGCTGGGGCTGTTTATTTTCGCAGAGGCCTTGCCCCCGCTCTGGTGGGCGGGCGCGTCGCTGCTGGTCGCTGGGAACGTGATTGTCGGCAGGAAGGACGAGGACAGGGGCGAGGACACGCCCGGCGAGGTTGGGCCGGAGGAGCGGAGCGACGAGGCGATTCCGCTTTTGAAAGAGGACGGCGATGAGGATGAGGACGTGGCTGATTTGGGGGACTTGTCTAGGTAGAACTTGGGTTGTTGGACGGGTACACTAGTTTCGCACAGCCGCATCATCATTGTAGATAGATATAGATAGGTACATAGACAAGATATCAAGGCAAATTAATAATAAGAGACGCCCAACGCCGATGTTGTCACTTCTTCTTGTCATCTTCGACTTTCCAGCTCGACGCCTTCGTCGCCTACATCCTCATCCCCGTCTAGAATGGGACCGCGGGCTCGTGCCCGATCCTCGTCACTGCTGAGGCGAATCCTGCCCCTCGACATGGTCGATATGTGACCTGATATCCAATAGCCCGCTTTTTGGAGCGCATCCCACAGCTGCTCCTGGCCTTGGTTGATGCGATGGTCGTCTTTGGGATTCTCGGCAGCCTCCACTTTGAACTGATACTTGAGACAGTCCTTCACTGTGACTAGGCCCGTTAGTTTGCCGTGGTATTCGATGAGAATAACACGCGGGCCAATCTTGCGGAAGAGTTCCATGACGGTCTCGAGGGGAAGCCTGGGGTGGGCCGTGACAGGTGTGGCATCGATGTAGCGACTGAAATCGAGGCATGTGGAAGACGCGAAATCCGTGCTTATTGTGACGCTGGGTGTGACGGGCGTCACGGCGTTCAACGCAGGCGGAGGCGCGAATATACATTTCGCGTTGGGGTCGATTCGCCCTTCGCGGCGGATGCGGTCGACTGCGTAGCGGAGCTCAGTTCGTCCAATATACCCTACTAGGATCCTGGACGACCTGTCCTCCACGATGGGGAAGCCTTGATATTCGTCCTCGGAGAGAAGGGCTTCCAGCTCGGCCAGAGTCATTCCGTTGACAGGTACGGACACCACTGATGTCCTCATGACCTGTGACACTGGGACGCCAAAGTTGTGTTCCTCCTTCTGGTCCAGATACGGGAACCCGTTGAACCATATCATTCGGTCGGCGATGCCACCCTTGCCGAACATGTCGCCAACAGCTTTGGTGACGCCGACCACAATCATGGTTGGTAAAATATACGTCAGCGCGCCCGTCAGCTCAAACATGATAACAACGACCGAAACTGTGATGTGCATGATGCCACTGAGCGCGGCACCAGCTCCCAGAAACGCATATGTTCCGGGGGTAATGCAGGGCTCGTCAGGTTTGCAAGCGGCGAAGAATATGCTCTTGGGGTTTGCTTCGTGAATGGCCTGTACGATGATGCCGACAGTGCGCCCAAAGGACGCTCCAATGGCCATTGACGGCACGAAAATGCCCGCAGGCACTTTGCAGCCATACGAAATGACGACGAGGAATATGCGCAAAACAGTAGCAATGGTCAAGGAAGCAATGTTCCGGAACCGCTTATCCGGCTCGCAAAGTCCGTGATAATCCTCGGCGCCTTCACACTCGAGGAACAAGATCTCCATGCTCTCCGTCATGTCGATTTGCAAGAAGGCATTGGGGTAGCAAATAATGGCTGTTCCAGCAGCCAACAAGGTAGCCTCGAGGACCGCATACTTGGCGAGGTACTTTTTGCGAAAGGCCTGAGCTCGCAGATTCCATTTCATGACAAACGCGCCATAGAGACCACCAAAGATGCCTAAAATGATGTAGAAGATGATTTCAAAAAAGTGCCAATCCCGGTCATACTTGACCTGGAACATGACGAGCTGTCCTGTACGGAAGGGGTTCATGGCCGAGAGGACAGCCGTGGCCACCAACGCACAGAAATAGCTTCGCCACATGGTTTTGAGCGGGAAGTGGTTCGACATTTCTTCCAAAGAGAACAAAACGCCTCCGATGGGACTGCCAAATGCGACTGCGACTCCGGCTGCTGCACAGGCACTCAGAATCTCCCGTGTCTTGGACGCATTGCGCCGATATTTAGCAAAACATCGTGAAATGACGTTGCCGGTACAGACGGCATAGTGAACGCTGGGCCCTTCTTTGCCGACAGACAGACCAGACGCAATGGTCAGCGGAAGAGCTACAGATTTGATGACCAGAGTCCAGAGGCCCAGAAATCCCTTCATGACGAAACCCGCAATGATGCATTTGATTTCGGAAATTCCAGACCCGGCGGCATATGGCGCGAAGGATTTGACGAGAATAGCGGCTGCGAATGCAAAGCAAGTCTAGCAAATGTCAGTTGCCATCCGCAACAAAAGACTGGCCAATACGTACCCCAAATATGATATATAAAGAGTAGTTCAACGGCCCAAAGCCCGTCCACCGATGCCAATTGGGACATCCTTAGCGCTCGGGTCAGCAAACAAGGTGTACGGCAAGGCACTCCCACATACTCACCATTATCTTCCCCCCAGCAGCAGAAGTTCTCATTCAGGTAAAAGGCCGTTGTGCAGTACCCCAGCTTGATATCAGACAGCCACTCGGTAGCAATGTTCAGAAACGCGGCATTCAAGCCAATGGCTGCGCCAATAATAGTGACGACGATCCAGCCCTGCGCAGCGTCATAGGAGGCCCAGAGGCGATATCGCCAGCCCTGCTGTCCACGGTCGTACAAGCCCGCTGCTCGCTTCTGTCTCGTTTTTCGCCGTGCCTGTTCGCGCGAGGCATCTTGGACCCAGTCTGGGCACAAAAGGTCAGTCACGACATGCGCTGCAAGCTGCAACAACGGTCTCGGGTACCTATTGTTGTAAAGTCCTGTTGGGCACGGGTCAGCAAAATGGTGTGCTTGGCCGCCTTGCAATGGCGTCGCATACCTCATATCTCTTGATTTCCGCAATCTCCTCCTCAATCTGCCCCTCTGCTGGTGGCGGGATGCTGGCAACGCCTTGTTCAGCTGTCGACACGGCAAAGGAGAGACGAGAGCCGATTGAGGGACGTCGCACGGGGCCAGGGTTCCGGCTGTAGGATGAAGACTGCGCGCTCATGATTCTGGGGCGTAAACCATGGCGGCCACCTACGGCATGGGTGTTTGTTGGCAGCGGGAGGAGGAATCAAGAACTTGAAGGTTTGAGGGTTTGAGGGTTCGAGGGTCGGCGGTGATGTCGTAGATGCCGTCGGTGGTCGGCCTCGACATGGACCAGACGTCTCAGAATCGCTGTTCAGAAGCTCCAGCGCACTGTTGCGGCGTACTCTGGCCCAGAGCCGGCCCTCGCCAAGTGTGGCGCTCCAAGTAACATTTAACTCAGTGCTGCTTTCAAGCCACACCAGGGCCCTCAGAGAGCCTTGCCTCGTCGCGCTGACTTTAAGTGCATGCATTCAAGGGTATCCACGCCGCATCGCGCTTCCACTTTCAAGTCACGTCAAGTACAATTCACCCTCACGAGACCGTATTCAAAAAGTGAAATATTCAGCACGTGTATACAAAATCCTATCCGAAACACCGCAACTCGCTACCAGCCCATCAGCAGTGGGATTGCTTCTGGCCCGTATGCCTTTCACCTTCTATCTTCATCCCATGCTTGGCTAACGTTCCTCGAACAGCCAAATCAAGGCATTTCTCCAAAAGAGTGAAAACTGTATGCCCGCATCTCATCTTTCCCATCATCACGAAATTGTCTTCATTTCCCTCAGCACATGGCACTAATCCGTCCACTGCAGACAGACCATATCGCCTCTCACCGGCAATGCCGTACAACACCAGTGCTATTCCTCCGCGCAAGGAGCCCACGGGACAAACCCAACTCCCATGTAAGTTCTCCGTTCCCCGTCCTCATCCCCAATCGCTCAACTAACATGCCCCAGTATCGCGCGTCAAGAAAATCATCAACCAGGACTCCGACATAGCCATGTGTTCCAACAATGCCGCCTTTGTCATCACTCTCGCAGCGGTACTTCAGTCATGCCCTCCAGCCCGACCCGTCTCGACTAACGCGTCACCCAGGAAATGTTCATTCAGCATCTCGCAGAGGAAGCCAACACGCAGGCAAAACTGGAGCGGAAGCCTCGCCGCAACATCCAATACAAGGACGTCGGTAGGTTTTCACACCAGCACCCAAATGCTACCCCAGGGCTGACACCCCACAGCCAACGCCGTGTCAACCCACGACAGGCTTGAATTCCTGGAAGACGTGGTCCCCAAAACAGCCCCCTATAAGAAGGTCAAGGTCACCGCGTTGGCAACGCAGGCCCGTCTAAGGGGAGATCTCAAAATCCCCGAGGAGCGGCCAGAGTCCTCCCCGCAAGTCTCCGCCACAACCAACGGGGGAGGAGGGAATCCGATTGTCAACGGCAGTGTCTCGTCGGGGGGTGCTTTTACAGTCCCTCTGAGGAATGACGACAGACAAAGTGGTGACGATCCGAATGAGCAGTTGGAGATGGAAATGAGACAGGCTACAGGGAGAGATGGGGATGTACGCATGACGGGTTAACGGTCCGGGTGTTGGTGAGCAATGGGTTCCTGTGTCATGCCAACGTGCCCAAGAGGATGCTGTTCGCAGATCATGAGTACTATTGAATGGAGGGTATTCGGATTGGGTTGTATTTCTCTGAATAGCAGGTCCAGATGGAACTATTAATCTACGTCAACCTAGTACCGAGTTTCTTCTCCACAATGAACCCGATAATTATGCCATTTTAAGAAACTGAATTGTCGGTATACCTGAAACGCCTATTCCTCCATGGCATCGGCGTGAATGCCAGCCGGCAACCGCCCCTCGTTCAACTCCTTTTCCAAAGCAATGATTTCCTGCAAACTCGTAGCCTTTTTTATCTTTTCCTGTAGCCTCTTCTTCTCATCGTCTGTGAGTTTTATCCTCGACAGTCTGGACGGTTGCGCTGCGCCATTAGCCGCCACGTCAAACATCGTGGACTTGTTGCCCAGAATCTGTGATCATCTCGTTAGCAGAGTCAACGCCATAGCAAATCAACTACCAGCTCTCACCTCCAACGCCAAGGCCGTGGGCTCTGCTTCAGTCCCAAACAACTCCCGTCCCCGCTCCCTCTCGGCTTCCTTTACTTTGGCGTAGTCCAAAAAGCGGACGGTGGGACATCTCCAGAGGATCCAGTAACGGTAGTGCTAAGCAAAAGGTCAGCATAGTCATCTCCAACACGACCGCAACCGGGGGAAGACGGCTGTGAAACATACCTCCTTCTTCGTCACCGGGTTGTCCGCCAAGACCAAGTGCGTCAGCCTCTCGAACCCCTTGAGCGTATCCAAATCCGCCAATTGTGCAAAATTGTTCGACGCCAGCACCAGATTTGTCAGGTTCGGCACGGCATTCGGTAGACTAGCCTGGATGCTGGCGATGCGATTCCTCGCCAGGAGAAGGGTCGTTATGCGCGGTGACAGGGGGAAGTTGCCTAGGATTTGTATATCATTGTCTGTAAAGTCGATGGAATCATGTGGCTGTTGCTCCTGTTAGTAACTGCTTGGTCTTTGCATCCAGAAGGTGCAAGGCTCGGCCAGTGCACAGCAGAATCAACAGATGAAGAGTACTTACGCCCGCCACACCAAGGTTCTCAATCGCAGGGATCCTATGTCCTGTAGACCAACGACATTCGCATTAACTAGCTCTTCATGATCAAGATTTTCCTTTTTTTCACAGCAAAAAGAAAAAAGGACGTAGCATCTGCTCTTTTCATAAACGCACCTCGAAGGTCCAGTTCGCGCTCCTTGAGCGGGTTGAGATAGGACAGGGAATCGTGGATGAGCTCGCTGGTGAGCCGCATCGCGCAAAATTGATTTTGCCTCGTGGGCGTCTCGCTGTTCGGGGGACCACTCGCGATTTTCGGCGCGTTATTGAGGGATGAAGAGCTTCCGTCTTATTAACATAGCCAAGGCTGAGGTTGACGAGGCGGAGGGGAAATTTTGGTTTCTCAGGCTGGCTTGGACGCCCCACATGATGTCTTGCCGCTTTGGGCTCGCCCATCTTCAGCTGCCAAATGGCTCGTGGGGCCTCCTCTGCCATACAATTTTCTTAGGTAAGCGAGTCTCCACGAGCCATTTGGCAGCTAAAGAGATATGCAGGCGAACCCATGGATGGTGGTTCTTGTACAGCAATAATAACAGGGAGTATTATTTCGCTCTATTATCAAGTGAAATTATAAGCAGGATATAAGTATCATGTAAGCATAAAATCTAATAATATAATATTAGGTTATACTAGGCTAAGGATAATAAGAGATTAAAAAGATAAATCATTTACGTATCGTGACGCGTCAGACATACCAGCATAATTAATACCACGCCGCGGCCTGCTAGCTAAGGCCATCTCACGATAGCCTCAGCCACAGTCATCATGGAATTAAACTGACTTTACGCCCGTGACTCGCGCCGAGTCACGCCGAAAACATAAAATGCCAGAAGGGATGCCTGCCTCAAGGCCAAAAATCCCGATTTTAAGGAAATCAAGGAGGTCAACCAGATGATCAGGGACCTGGGGAAGAAGGCTTCCTTGAACGCAGAGCCAAAACGCAGCAGCAAGGAAGCTTCTAAACTGGTCACAGAAGGGGCCAACGAGGCTAGCAAGGCCAAAAAGGCCAAGGCTGCCAAGTAAATCTGTATTGGTGGTTTTACCTCTTCCGGAGGGGGTTCTACAGTAACAACGAGTGACCATCAGCACTAATTGAAGCGTCCTGCCGGATTGTGGCCAGTACCAGATTTATATAGGTTTTGGGTTTTATTATCAACTATCTTTACCATCGATCCCATGAACATCTATTGGAACACAAACACCACGCCCGACCGATCCACACTCACACTCATCGTGTAAGGATACTCCAACAGCATTACATCCAAAATGGCATCCAGATGAGACTGCAAAAGCTGCTGCTGCTGCATAGATATTACCGTCGACCTCGCTGGCCTTTTGCTCGAGCTCTTGCCCCTTGGCCTCTCTCCTGCAGCCGTCGTATTTCCCGAGGCCCCATGTCTATGTGCTTTTTCTATATTCAATGTGACAGCAGTGGCTGGGTGTGTTGCAATAAACGTAGGTTGTTGCTCATCGGATGGGTGGCCGCTGTATATGCAGGAGTTTTCGATGCGAGAGATGTCCCAGAATCGAAGCTTTTTGTCTGATCCACCCGTGAGCAGGAATGCATGGCGGATATCCCGAGAGTCCTCGGCGGCTCCTGTGCCGGCTATCATGGCTCGTACGCCCCGATCAGCACTCGCTGCTTCGCTATTCTCCAGGTTCGTTGCAAACCGGTCCAGCATTCCTTCTGGCTTGTCTTCGTCAACGTCCCAAGCGCTGTAGCCCTTGGGACCATCCTTGGTTCCGCTTGTTCGGTATATCTCCCTGCAGAGCGTTTTTTCTAGATCCCACACAGTTATCTCTCCTTGTGATGTGCCCCCAGAGATGCATACCCATTTGCCACGGCCCTTGGTAGGGTGAATACAAATTCTATATATCGACCCTTTGCCCGGTACACCCCAGCCACGAAGCCTCATCTTGAACCGCAAGTCCCAAAGGTCGACAACACCATGTGACGTACCCAAACAAAGCCAATTGCGTTTTCGATCCACGCAGAAGCAAGTAGGTGCCCCATGGTGGACGGGGTTCTCTAGAACATACAAGACCGACATGGTCCGCAAATCGATTCCGAGAATCCGAGACCGGTTTGTGGCGAGAACCAAGACAGAGTTCGATTCCTGTCTGAAGTGTTCGCACCAGACGGCAAATTCTCCCTCGGGTAGTTGGTATTCTCGTACAACTCGCAGTTTGCCATATCGAATAACGCCACTTGCAGATATTGTGTCAACCTTGACGACATGCATGCTGCCGTCGCTGGCACAGCTGACGAAGCAATGTGAGTTTTCTACAAAACACATTGCTAGCACATGAGCACCATCGGCGTGTTTATGTGTTTGTCTAGATCGGTGTGTAATATTCCTCTCCAATCTTGCTGCATCCCACACTCGAACACAGCCGTCGTTGCCTCCAGTAATGAAGAAGACGTGGTCGGGAGATGCAACAATTCTATTAATTGGACCCTTGTGCTCCCCAAACGTGGCAACTAGATGACCCTCTGGTTTCCAGTAATCATCTCCGGTCTGTATGCCGACAGCCCTTGCCTTGGTTCTCGAAATAGGTTGGACCATGGGCCCAAACTCCAAGACATCTCGGGGAAAGTTGTCGATATACATCTGGTCCAGCATTCGTTGAATGTTGGGATCTGTCCCTTCGTAGGTATGCCTGGCTTGGCTTAAAACTAGTTTGCCACCTTCGTGCTGTCGAGTTGGTGTAGGAGAGGTTGACGCACTCCCCTGAGCAAAAGGTCCCTCTACCTCGCCAAAGGCATTGGCGTCGCTTGTACTAGTTTCTGCAGCAGACTTGTTGCCATCCCTTCTATCCAGAAGGCTCAATGCACTGGACTGGTGGCGCATTGCTCTTCTTGATGCGTACGGCCCATCCCTAATGAAGACATCGTCATCCCTGGAGCCACCTGGTCTGCCGTCAGACGACTCCCGGCGAGAATGTTGTGAACTAGTTCGAGTGCTTCCCTCTGGTGACAGAAAACGCCTCTTTGACGATGGACGAGGGCCCACGCTCTGCACACGGTTCACACGGGTATGCAGCACAGCCTTTCTCCTCTTACTTAGGGTATCATCAATGGTCATCGACGCGTCCAATAGTGCGTCAGCAATAGTATATGGCCCAGCGGGCGTGTCAAGGTCGGGGGTAATGCTCGAATCGCGAAGAGGCGTGTCGTTGAAAAAGACGGTTTGAGGAGTAATACCTAATTCCTTGAGGGATACAAGTCCAGTATGTAGGCTTGGTTCTCCTGCAGAATCGCGTAATTTACTTCTGCTCAGTCGCCAGATAAATTCTCGTAGTGCCAATAACTTCGGTTCATCATCTGGTTTGAGGCCCAAATTTCTCAATCTGGAAAGCCACTGTTCATCTTCGTCGTTACGCACAATCTTGGTCATGGAATTTGCGCTCAAATCGCTGAATGGCCTAGCACTTGACGATCCAAACGCCCGGGATTGTATCTTTTGCAGCGGTTTCCAGAAAACGCCTCGTTCAGACTGTGTCGCCCACGTGATAGCTTGTTCAAACACAGCCCTCGTCAGGGGTCTTTTGAGCGAATCTAATATGCTCAATTCACCTAGATCAGCCATCGTGTCGATCTTCATATATGGCACGACAAGTGGCAGGAGGATACATCGCACATCTGCCACGTTGAGAAATTTGGCAGACTGTGATAAAAACTCGGCGGCGGCTTCTCGAATCCATATGTTAGGGTGCATAGTAAACCGTCCAACAAGGTCTACAAGTTCCCAAGTTTTTGGCCTTGACAGAAGGCCAAGGCCAGCGAGCTGTGCAAGGGAATGTAGGGCCGCCTGAACCACGTACTCTTCAGTGTCAGCCAAAGCCTGCACCATAAGCGGTAGCATGAATTCTTCCAGGCTTGTGCTGCCAATGAAAGCAGCAATTCCGACGATAGTGTCGAAAAATGAGCATTTGAGTGTCCAGTCATGGTCGTTGAGATAAGTGTTGAGGTGGGTGAGTAATATATCGTTGGAGTGTTCTTGGAAGAACATGCACAGCTCAGCCACAGATGCCAAAAACGCTCTTCGAACATGGACATCGGGGTCTTCTACAAGCTGCTTGGTATGACTCTCCAAAATTTCAAAAAGCTCTCGTCCAGCATTGTCAAACACGCTTTCGAAATTAGCTTCTGCCTCTGCGCCTGGCTCAACTTCGGGGTCAGTAATGGGCATGGACCCGTCCGCCCGTAAGCTAGACGCGATTTCGAGGAAACGTTGGGCTGTAGAGGCCAGACTTCCTATGCAGGAAGCATAAGTAGCTCTTACCAGAGAGCTAGCGACACGCGACCGTGATCCCAATGCAATCTCCAGACGAGGAAGTACATACTCGACTAGTACATGGGAGTTGATGGGTGTCGGCATACGTACAAGCTGGAGCAGCTGGGTGATTGTTCGAATGGCCGCCACAATGACGGAATCTGTTTCCTCCTTCTTAAGCAGGGTCATGAGATAGGGCAGAACTCTATCAAGTTTTGCTTCGTCAGTCAGTCGTTCAGAAAATGCCAGAAGAATGTCGCAAGCTCGAACTCGAGAAGATGCTCGCGCCGTGGTTCTCATTGAAGATACAATAAGTGTCAAGAATATCAATGTCCCATCATCTTCTGGCGGCTCCAGGTCGGCTGATACTGTATGCTCGTGATTCGGGATGCTTAATCGGACTGGGAAATGGCTCAGGCTCAACCGAGATCTATACAAAGTAGCCTTGGGTGTCCTTTTCTCAATTTGATACCCCAAAAAGTAGGAAATCTTGTCGAAATCGTAGAAGACGCGATCAATCCTGTCGTCGGACTCGCCCATGTTCCTCTGGCTCCCAGACATGGGATTATTGCCAGATGACGGGTCGGTGATGAGCTCCATATACTGGTGCAAAAAGTTGTAAAAATAGCTGGGGAACACCTTTCCCTTCCAAAATTCGAGATACTGCTCTGCAGAGTAACGCTTCTCTGGGTCGATCTGAATCATGTGCGCAATCATGTCCCGAACATCCTTGTCCGAGATGACGCTCAAATGAGTGATGACGGGATCATACTCACCACGTCGATACTTGTACAGCTGGGCAAGGCTGAATATTTCCGACTCAAGAAACATTTGAGCAATTACGCAGCCAGCACTGAAGATATCCATAGCCCATGTCATCTTAGCCTTGGGTGGAGGGCTGTCACCGGTAGCGTAGAATCGCTCGGGAGCAATATAACATGTTCGCCGGCCAGAGGTATCAAAAAAGTAGGAGAAGTCGCCCGGATTGTCGTCGGGTAACAGCACAGGTTTGTACGCAGACGAGAAGTCCGTCAGGTACAGCCAGTTCCAAGACGTTACTAATACGTTCTGTGCTTTGATATCGCCGTGATAGACGTCGTGAGCATGGCAGTCTCGCAGCGCACAAAGCAGCTGGAATGCCAGCCACTTCTTTTCAATGTCTTCCAGAAATGGGCGTGTGCTTAACCGATCATAAAGCGAGCTATATTGAAACTGTCGCACCAAATACCCGTTCGTGTCGGTTTCAATGATACGTTGGAACCCGAGGGCGTTGGGGACGTGAGCCAAAGCCTTGCGCTCCTCTGTTACCATCTGTTAACACCAATGCTGGCATAGGCCACGTCACGCAAAAGGGCAAGGCTCACTAATTATCTTCTGCTTGTATTGATCGAGATTGACTCCAGCATAGGGCTTTACCAAGACCTTAACCAACACGACGCCATGCTCATGCCGTCCGCGGATGCTCTTCATAAACCTTGCGTTGCCGATGCTGCGCTCGTATTGCACATCTTGCAACTGCGCAATGTCTATACCGGCAGAGCCGGCCGACGGCGTTGCCAGTGAGAACCCTTGGCCCATCCTGGCTGCCTATCCAGTCGCTATTGGTATCGTGCCCTCGGCACAGTCGTGTGGGCTAAGCTATCGTCGATATGCGGGAGGACTCGTCCTCATCTTGCACGGCGAGCGCTGCGCACGCTTGGAATCGCTGGTTGTATACGGCTATTCGGCAGAGAGGAAGCAGGGTCCGAATTTCAATAATCTCATATGGCTAGATAGATGCGCCGGCGCCGGAAAGAATAAGAAGTCACTGGAGCGCACAAACAGCAAAGGGACAGAATGTCACTGGTGTGGGTATGTCATTGAATCATTGAGGAATCCAAATGTCGGCCTTGCATGATGTGGTGGGCAAAAGTCGTGAGAGGTCAGCCGCCATTATGTGGGGCCCATCGACCGCATACATGCATACTTGTAAGTCCCGTATCCGCGCTGCAGCAACTCATCAAGCCGTCTCTCTCAAGGTCACTTGTGCAAGCCACCATATTTCTGCAAGCTTCAAAGACGCCATGTTCCATTTACTCGGGTATCTACTCCACATGCAATGCCGAGAAAAAAATATCCCAGAAACAAGCACAACAACAAAGAAACTCACGCCACTTCCAATATACATTTCGTTCCCACTCATCAGAGCTCAGTCATATGCCAGAACCAAGTATGCTACTCCAAATATGCTAAGGGTCATAATATTCGTTGATGGAGGTTGAATGCCGTCGACTGGCGTCTGTCCTCCGTGTCATGCTATTCAATTGCCAGGCGTGAGTCGACACCACAGAAATCGATGCCACGGTGATGGCCAGCTGTCCCTGATCAGAATTCAAGTCATTGGCAAGCAATAGACTATTTATCTCTCCGTACATTTCTTTCTTGCCCATTCCGCTCAGACCGGACGGCTTCGCATCAATCTGGTCGATCGATACTGCAGCACGGGGAGGTTGTCCATATCCTCCTCTTCTAGATTAGTGTCCACCTCAAGTGCCATTTCTGTTTGCAACGTGGCATCTTTCTCGGGAGATATCTCCCAAGTTAGACATCCGTCGTTATGACTCACTTCATCCTTGCACTCAGCTGTCATATCGCGCCTCACGCTAATCGGCCGGTGAAGGCGTACCTTACCCAATTCGCCCGTTTCTTTGGCAAGCTCGGGGTCCTCTCGTTGCACCCGGTCAATCTCCTGTTTTGCTGCTATCAAAACCTCTACCAAGCGTGATTGAATCTTCCCAATCTCGTCATGGCAGTCGGCATCCCTGAGGAACTGGTGGGCTCCATGTTCGCACGTGCTTTGCACAAACTCCAGGCTCTTGTCCAGAGAGTCATATACGTCGGCCGGTTGTTCAGGGCCTGCTGGACGGCTTGGCTCCCCAGACGTGAGTTCTTGAGATGTGGTGCCGACTTTTCGAGTGCTCATATACCTGAGTGACGGGATTGCATCGACCGCGAACCTTTCGTCACTAGTGCGCTTTGCGTCGTTTGCAATTTCCAGTTCGGCCATACGCTTAATCTGCGCAACCTTGGCTGCCATTTTTGCCTTGCGCATCAAATTCCGGCTTGAGGATATGAACCTCACTAACTCGTCAAAAAACCCTTGGACATAGCTATCATAATACACCATAATCATGCTGCGAGTTCGATATGTAGGTGGGACACCATCCGCAGATAGGACCGACGAAGACTTTTGCTTCTTTTTGGTTTGTGCCAAAGCTCGGGCATGGGCATTAACAGCTTCACGAGCCTGTCTATGCAGCGCTACACGGCTCTCACTGTCAGGGCTTGGCGGTGATGCTGGCGTGGCCTTGGCCTCTCCAGATGGTGTTGGCGGTGTTCGAGGAGCGATTCGTTTACGCTGGCCTTGGCTCGGAGTCACAGCCAGGTCGAGGTCGGGATGCATTGGGCCATCATCTTTCGGCTTTAGGGATTCTGAAGAGCCCTTGTTGCGGAGAGGTCGGGATGAGTCGGTGGAAGTCGCGTTGGTTCTAGCAATAGCGGCAAGCTCCGCCTGCCGACGTTCAATTTGACCGTTCAGGTCATCCAGCCGTCGTTGCCAATCTGGGATGTTGTTGGCCAGATTCCTAAGAGCATCCATGGCCATTCTTCGAATGTCCGTTTCCTCGGACGGGGACGTGGTAAGAGAAATCGTTGTCGAGGCAGCGTTAGGCGTCTGGGGCCTAACGCGCCTATGCAGAAGTCGGAAATATCAAGTGAGGGAGTTGAACGCCGAAGATGCTTGGGGCATGCGGCCTCCAACGCCATGTCCAGCCTGCTTTTGTAGCGGCACGCTGCAGAGGGGGATGATGTACGGCTATATGTTCAACATAGGTGCGATGGAGCTAGGTGTTTGGCCGATGCCACGCCGAAAATGATTTTGTGTTTCAAGTAAAGGGTGGATATATTGACGTCTTGAATACAAGTCCCGATTCTGACCAGCTCAGTTGGAGCTTCTCAGAAAGCATCATCACCGACCAAGAGCAAGTCGAGTGAAGCAATGCACAGGCCAACCTGTCGGAAGGACCGGCGTGGGGAAGAGAGGATAGGGCAAACTAATAGGCTGTGAGGGTCGGGTTTGGGGGTCTCTTTTGCGGGTTTGTCTAGCAATTAAGCCATTGATTGACCCGCTCACGCCCTGCACCTATAGAAAGACCAGCTAGCCTCCCGTGACGGGCCAGACTTGCAGTGACGTGAAACAGACAGGCCCTTTGGCATTAGCGGAGGGGAGTTCTAGGCTGTGGCACGCCAAGCTTGGCGTAGTTGGTGGCTCCTTGCTAGTCTCCCCCAGATTCAAAACCTTTGGTGGTTGGCCCTTTGAACGTGTTGTTTCCCGCCACGAACGCCTGGGTGGTCAAGCCCAAAGTTTCAATGTTCGTGCTGGTGGGATCGCAGGCTCGTAGGCTTTTAGCTTGTGCCTCGTGAGAAGCAACGACGGGTGAAATTCCCCGGCTTGGCCACAATGTGTTCTCCCTCCGTTTTGAGAAAGGCGTCTATTTGTTTAACCGAAGTTCGCATAGGGAAAAATAGGTTTTGGAGCCGAGGTAAATAGCAGCCATGATGCGTGAAGCTTATCTATGTCGTGAAGCGCTCTAGTGAGCGAATGTGGCGATAAAGCCGATCGTCGGAACATCCAGTATCCGAATAGAAAGACCTGTTCACCGCAGATGTGTGTCACAGTTGTGAAGGCAGCCGAAAGCGTGATTGTTCGTAAAACTACAAGGTTTGTTAGGCCTGCAGATTTCAATCAGTGTGCTGATATTCAGGATTTCTCAACCAGACATTGACGTACGTACGTGCATGTAACGAAGCAATACTCCCCATCACACGCCATACATATGCATCGGAAGTGAACCTTAGCATCATCGCTGAAACAGATATTGATTGGCCAAAAGTACCAGGATCTTTAAGATCAGACTCGAGGGCCTCAGCAGACTTTCTCATCAGCAGCAAGCATTTAATGGCCGCTATTGCGCAGATACAGAACTGACCCTCGTGCAGCGCGGCAATGCTTATCCACAGGAAAGCACTGTTGAAATGCAGCAGACACGCCAGGGGTCATTTGCAAGCAAAGTAGTCTGGTTCCGGAGGAGTTGCATCATGATGTATGTTGCGGGTTTTACAGACATGGTTCATCAAGCGAACCAAATGAGAAGAAGCTGTAGTCCGGAACCTCCCAGCCCAGGATTGGAGTTGGGAAGTTTGGTAAAGACCTGCTCCTTCCCTCCTGGTCATTTGAGCCCAGGCTGCATACCTACCTAGGTAGGTAATCATTGAGAAGGTTAATAACGATGAAGACGTCGCACCTTCCCTTTGCACTCTAAAGATGAAGCCGTGCAGCATCAACCTCCACAACATGAAACACATCACCTTCTCGCTACTCCTATGTTGGACGGCTGTTCCATCCATGACCATGGTCTTGTTCAACAAAGGTGTTATTCTGAGCGTAGCCCGTGGTTTCAACCTCTCGTAAATGGAGCTACGGACTCTTGCAAACAGGTCCTCTGGCCGGATATCGAAACACTTGGCATCCAGAGCAGACGGCTGCGAGAAAATGCGGTCATTTCGCCCAACCTCGTTCGTCAGTCTCACAATCTTCTCCATGGACGAAACAATGTGTCGGCCGTTGAATCGAGGCCACGCCCGCATACGGAATGAATACCCTTGGGTCTTGGTTCGCTAGAGCTCCCCAGCTTAGGGTTGGGTTTGGGGCAAATGACAAAAACGTGGTCCACCGACACGCCCAAATCCACCTATTGTCTCACCAGCACGGGGAAAAGGTGACTGGTCCTGGTTTCTGGAGCTGCCGCCGAATTTCCGGAGCGAAATCACATAGCAAAGTGTTCGGCATGCATGACTTTGTTGCAGTAGTCTACGAATGGAGAGGAAAACTCCGGAATCTCGCGTTTATACACATTGCACCCTGTGACGGCCCACTCTGCGCTGATTTGAGAAGCTTAGCAACGATGAGATAAGTTGATTGCGGCTGACATCTTTGCGGAAGAATGTATTTCGCAACCAGCTACGACGATAAGCTACTACTAGGTACGTCAGGGGCACAACGGCTGCTCAATCCGCACCGCACACAACACCATACTCCGGTGGCCGCATATTTGTGCGCTTACATTAGAGCCACTTACCTTCAATCGGGGCCGTTGGCACACATACTTCTGTATGCTCTGGTATCAAGACCACGACACGAAAGGCTACAGCAAAGGGCTAACAGACAGAGTTGCAGTGGCTCGAAGCAATTTGATGTGGACAACATCAGATACCTACCACCGTAGTATCGTACAACCGCAGAAGTCAACCAAGCAGGTGGGATGTCTCCGAAATGGCATCAACAGTGCGTTGCCGTTTGACAGAAACGGCTACCAGAATAGGCAACAGCCGCCGGTGCTTGGACTTGCGGAACTACCAGGAAATCGTTTGTACACAGACAACCGCCACGCCTTACATGGTCCAGGTTCCAAAGTTCCGATGCGCTTCGCGGACGTCTCATCCCACTGGAAATCTTTCAGACTAGTTGACTAGAGGTTTACATGTTGCTGTTACTACTAGCTTTGTCACAGAAAGTGTGGTACGCCGAGCAGTAACACGGATCCGACACCACGAAGCCTGACATTCAGCGGGTTAACCTCGCCACCACTACCAACACCAACCAAAAAGCAAGCCGACAACTATAAGCCACACATCTCTCGGTCATGCTTAGGGCATTGGGTTCTGCGGCCGGTAGTACGTGAGCCACGCTTTGACCGGCATTTACAACTTCCATTGCTGACCAAGGCCAAGTCGGCCGATCTCAGCCCGAGAGGCAAATTGCCTGCCACCCTGCTACCTACTAGGTAGGCAAGCCATCATTAATCCTCAAAGTCGCGGTCAGAAAAGCCATTCATTCCCGAAGCAGAGTGTTCGCGCTTCTCGGCCAGCGCCTTGTGATAGATCATCTGGCATATGGCGATATCTCAGCCTCAAAGCACATGGCATGCCTGTCAAACTGTAGCTGTGCTACCGGGGACTGAGAGCGATCTCCGCGGGCTAATCTTCCATCATCTTGCCCGTCAGCCAGCCCGCGTCGCCCGTGACGGGCTTGTCAGACATGCATGCATTTACCGTCACCGTCTCCTGCAAATCTCATAAAGCCGGCGCTTGCCCGAGGGAAATTGCCTTGGGGTCCAATTAGTCGCCTTCTCATGCTGCCCAGAGCGCTTCGGGTTTATCCTGTTAAAACCCGTCTGCTTACCGTCGGCGTGGCTAATAACGTCTATCCTGCAATGGAGAGTTTCATTGGCCTGTCTAACAACTGCATCCGCCGATCGCAATGCACCATCCGGGGAGGACTAAAACAAAAGCTTGCGGTGTTGCCATGATGGCAAATCTAGCCAAAGCAGCTAGCTGCCAGCGACTTCTCGTCCAACTTTCACCGTTCTCGAACAATTCTACCGGCATATGGAAGACGCCAGACCCGTGCGAGTACTAGTAGTATAGAATATTGCCCAAGGCGCTACCTTGCTTTGTGCGCTTACAACGGATGGTTGGGACGTGACAAGATATTGGTAAATTATTTGCCTTGCCAACCAACGCTCCCGTCGCATCTTTTGAGTTTCACGATCGTCTTTTCTGTTTCTCCTTTTCTTTTTTCGTCATTGTTGGTGGTGGTGGTGGTGGTGGTGGATGGCACTGTTCTCAGTCATTCCATCGCTGGCTTTTTGAAGATCCATCCCGTGCGAAGACTGCAGTGTTCAGTGACTTGAATAGACGACTCCTTCTGACGGGAACCCATGACTTCTCACATGGTTCTGACATGGATCTCACATGACAAAAAGTCGTCAATCAACCGTGGCATCCACCGGAGCATGATACTATAGCCCCTTCCCTTACATTAAGTCTCCGATTCCTCCTTCGCAAACCTACACGATATTAGCCAACCGCCGAATGACCTCATGGATTGTTGATACTACCGACTTATCAGCTTCGTACATGATACTGCGTGTTTTTCACGCCAATCAGTCGCTCACGTTCAGTGCTAGTACCTGTTCCCCCAAAGAAAAGTCTTGGCGATGTATATTGGCTCGAAGGATTCAAATCTCATCTTGCATCAGTCTCACCGCATGTGTGAGATGACAAGTGAGACCCACGCGGGTGATCTGACAATCACGGCCGGTCCTTTTTTCGGCTCCTTTGCCACCGGTTTCAGGTATTTTGCTAGCTTTCCATAACGTGTTTTTTAATGGTATCAGGCTTTGTAGATTGCGGTTCATCTGTGGGGTCGAAGCGCGGACTTCACCGCGACATGACGTATCATATGGGTGGGTAGTGGGTGGTTGGGTAGGTGGGAAGTGGACTGCGATCCCTCCCAAGGCTTCATAATGAGTGACGTAAATGTATAATTGACAGGCGAGAGGGATCCGGCATGCAAGGGTTGGCGGTGATATTGCTTGATTGTGGGCTGGGAGATTATTATGGGGGGCGCTCCATGGGTACGAGTTGGATGGATGGATGGCTCTGGTATTCTCGCTGCACGTGTGCTCTTGTAAGATGGGCTTGCTTGACTCTTGAGAGGGTGAAGTCGAGAATGGACTTTTACTACAATCTGCGGTACGCAGTTGGAAGCAAAATGTGTTTAGTGGAATAATGTAAAATGGCCTAGAGAGAAAGTCCATGTCTATGTATGTATGTTACTTGGGATGTATACTTCCAACGCCTCACCCTATCTCAATGAGATCCCTCTCATCAAGAGCCGTATAATTTCACAAACGCTACAATCCAAGAGCGACAGCCGTCACGGCCAAAGCTCGGTTTCCCTCCACTCCGCCCCGTGCCCACGAAGTTCCAACGTGTAATTCCATCGCTGGCCCCTCTCCGGATTCGACAGATCAACCCTGTCCACCTCTTCCGGAACAATCACCAAAACTCTAAAGTTCTTCCGTGCAACTTCATCCTCCAGATCCTCAACGACTTGTCCTAGGCCAAGCCCCTCTCCAGGCACCTGCGTAATAGGGGTGCCAGGAGGCGGGTTTCGGAACGTGCCTCTCATGAAGGGGCTCAAGTTTCCAAACTGAGCAGTGAGTTCACGACTCCAACTCCACTCCGCATCTCCGGCTTTACGCATATACGGTGCAAGAGCTTCTCTCGTAGACGACGCTTCGAGCGAGTCGATGTCAGGGCCAAGCAGGCAAGCGTGGCCTCTGAGACGCCATTGAGTCATGGAATCTGGAAACCAGAAGACGGCCTCGACGGCGCCGCCAATGCCAGAGGAGTCGCCGCCATTTGATGCCGAGAATATTTCAGAAACCTTTTCCATGCGGGCGTCCGTGGTGATGGTTGGGAGATCGGTCTCGTACGAGGCAGGATTGAGTTGAGCCGGGTTCTTGGGATTTGGGGTCAGCGAGGCCCACATGCCTCTATACACGACTGTACGTGCCCTAGGAACGAACTGGGGTGGGCAGGATGATGATGATGATGGCGGCGATGCTGGATGGAGGGAGCTCAGTGTAAAGGTTGGCTGTTGCACCTGTTCAATGTGAGATAGGAAGGCAGCTCGCCAGGGAGCCGCCGGCACCGTGTTTTTGCCAGTCATCTTACATGTACGCTGCAGTTGTTGACCCAGGCGTTGTAATCTTCCTACTGCCGGCCTCATGGATGGGTGTTGAGGTTGGAGCGGCGCCATCAAACTGTCGGCGTCGGCGATTTTATTCTGTTGATGGAAGCGGCTGGCAGCTTGGCCAAGTGACCCCACCGGTGTGAGTTGATGATTCATTCATTTTATTGTACCTGCAGAATTCGGCGTTGTCCTACGCCGTACTCTGTGTCAATTACTCAAGCACACACACTGCCAACAGAACGCTTCCGGGGGTGTGGGAGTTGGCCATGTCGTCCCTTGCCATTTAGAGGGCTGCGAGTTCGTTTCCTGTAGGATTCGCCTGAAAATCAGCATCGTCATTACTTATGCCCGCAGACCACCCTGTTGGTTCAGTGCTACCCTGGACCCGCAGAGCAACTGTCGGCGGCTGCTCTGTTCAGAATGTGTCAAAAACGGGGGAGCCAAGGCAGAAGGCAGTTCGATTTGCCAGTATCCCAGTAGACACATTTATCGTAATGATATGCTGACGGCAATTAAGCATAAAATCGGACGATTTTCCGAAACGCGACTGCCGTTCTCCCCCGCAGTTTGAGGCCGCCCATTGCCAAGACAAAACGGCCCCCATCGACTACGATTTCAAACATGCTCTCGTCTCAATTTGGAAATGGCGCGGAGGGTTAAACGACCCGGACAGCGACGGGGCTAGAAAAATAGAAACGACCATAGTTTTAGTTGCATCAACAGCACTATAAGGGTTTGTCTGAGTCAGATCCGAGGTCAATACCGAGCGGCCTGAAGGAGACTGCCATGTGGTATTGCGGCGGCGTCCTAAGCGGCGTCTAACCTGTGCCAAGATATTTTTAAAGTTCTTAGGGCTTCCACCGGCTATCGCTCCTACAATGGTGACATTTCAAGTGGAATCGGGTAAGCAGATTCCCGGCATGAAGAAGTGGAATTTAGCGTTTCACCGAGGCGGCGGACTGGGGATACCACGGCGATATTGGAATGAGATTGGTCGTCAGCCAAGAAGACAACTGTCCATCTTTGCCTCTTTCCCGTGGGCACCGACTCAAGATTCGGCACTAGGAAGCCGCCAGTCGACAAGGAGTGTTTTTTTGCCCCAAGACTGGTCCGTGGCGGGTTGCTGCCTCGACTCATTTTGGTTTTGTACTTTGAAAGACATGTTTAGTACAGCTGGCGGTAACAGTGCGAGAAAGAACACAAGCAAGAATAAAAACCGAAAAAAAATTGTAAAATGAGGATGTGCAACGGGCCACCACCAACATGGCCACATGCCAACCGCCAGGGAGAGGACAAGCCATCGACATAAATTTGGCCGGTATAGCCCTGTGGATGCGACAAAAACGTGCCCTGCGCCCTGCTCGGGTGCGCGCCACCTTGCCAGCGGAGAGGCATGACGGCATCTCTGCAAATAGCAAGCCCAGATGGCACATTGGTGGTGGACTAATTTCGTTCCTTTCGGCTGATTGACACCATGGTTGACTACCTTGTCAACCTGACCACGGCTGATGATGGGCCTTACCGGGGTCACGATGGCCATCGCGTGTTGAAAAAACGAGAGGTGAATGGGGCCAACGGTCAAGCTTGGCAGGGTGCTCTGCGCCGTCACAGGCCTCGCATTGGACCATCAAATGGGAAGCGTTTATGATATAGGCCTCATTATTGTACAATAGCTCGATCGACTCAGCCGGGGGTGCTCCGTATCATGGGCGCCAAGCTGAACCCCGTTGCCGCTAGAAAATAAGGTCAGCGGAAATCTCCGGCATTATGGCAATTACTAGCCTTAGAGCGCTCGTACGGCAACAGGGTATTCTGCCCGAAGTCCGGAACACTACTTGGTAGCCCGTAGAGGTGGTACTCCGTAGGCGGCGTCTTGTGTATTGAGTGCTTGCCGGACGGCCGTGGTTTTTGGATGGCGGACGGAAGCTTGAAGCCGTCGGCGGTCCAGATGAAGCATTGATTGATGGCTGTAGACGTGCCGAGTGACTCGCTTGCGCATCTGGCAGCCTGTGCGCCTCTCTGCCTATTCTTACCTGCCCTACCGAAGCCAGCTAGGGTTGGCTGGGCTATCTCTGCCGACGTTCCAGGCCCAGCCAGTGGCAGGTGCGGGGGGGTGGATTGGGTTTGACACCTTCCATAATTTTGCCCATAATCAAGACACGGAAGGAGCAAGCCAACAGGCGTCGAGAAGTCGGCAGAAGACCAGCAGGCCCGTCCCCCTCCACCTCCACCACACCAGACTCGACTCCATACAATAAGTTACTTGGTACGGAGTACAGCGCTGTGCCCGTCTCCAGCCAAGCACTCCGTATTCCGTGCATGCGCAGATGCCATGCCCAGTGCTACAACTAAAAGTCACCAGTGTGACCCAAGGCAGGAGCGGTCCTGCACTGTCCCGGTCCATTGGCGCGAACTGCTCAAGTACCAGGTACCGAGTACATGCTACAAGTACTCCGTGCTCCATGCTCCATGCTCCATGCCTCTGGGCTCTGGCTCCGTGCCAAGCCATGCTGTCGAATGGGTCAATTGCTCAACTGCTCAACTGCTCAAGTGGTCCATCGGTCCATCCTGAGTTCTCAGTCCAGTCGTGGATGGCGCAGGCGCCTCGACTTTGTTGCCAAAGTCTGGTCATGCCGACGCTCAGAGTGTCTTATTCCCCTTCTAGATTCATTATTCTGCCCCCTCCCTCCGAAAGGCCCAAAGGTCGAGTCGGGTCTTGGTGCTTCCGCTTGCTGAGCAGCCTGGCAATTAATTCCCTTTGCATTCCCAAGCTGCCGCCCCCCCGTTCGTCGCTGCGTTATTCCCTGCGACCCAGACCGTTGAACCATTATTCCCGGCTTTTTGGCCTTGTTGGATCGCACCCCGAGCAAAGCTCTCAGCGCGCACCGCATAGCAACCTTGTTCAACATCACCGGCAGCTCTGTTGTAAGTCGACAGATGGATATTTCGCGGCTGCAACAACACTCGTTGCACCGTCCTCCCATTGCCCATGGAAGGGACGTTGGTGCAGCGTCGCCCTTGGCCCTCAAACCGCATCTTGACTCTCCCACCGGCTTGCCCTCCCCGAATTCACTGGGCCACGGTCAGACTCTGACATATCCTCGCCATCCTGCTCCTCATGGCCATAACCACAGTCACGGCCAACCTCACGCCCATGCTCACGCCCATACTCATCATGCTCATGCTCATGCTCATGTTCACGCCCACGGCCAGAGCCCCAGCCATAGCCATCACCATAGCCACAGTCACAGTCAAAGCAACGGCCATGGTCATGATGAGAGTGTCGACTATCGGGAATTGAGCGACGAGAGATCCCCCGTCAATGGTGAAGAGCCTCCCAAGAAGAAACAGAAACGAAACAAGCCGACCTTGTCATGCCATGAGTGTGTTGAGCGAAAGACAAAGGTTCGTTAAACCCCCTCCCCAAAACAGTCTTTATTAGATGAGAGAGTTTGGTGGTCTTGTCCATTTGCTCAATATTCAAGCCGAATCTTCATCTTCATCACCCAGAATCTCCCCCCTGATGAGTCTTCAACCTTTTATTTGTTTTCCCATGCGATCTTCTGCGATGGGCCATGCGAGATTCGTCACCTGGTAGACAGCACATCTGCAGCGTTGCACAACATTCCCTTTGGCCTCAACCTCGCCTATTTACCTGTGTGACGCGATTCAATCAGTGGATGTGAACTTTTTCCAAAGGCAGGCAGCTCATTTCGATGGTACCTGGCTTGAAAATTCAACTCCTCTGGCGCATAGTGTTGTTTTCGTTGCACTGTTTTGGCCGTCTTTTGGGGCAAAGTAGCTGATGCTTCTCCTACAGTGTGACCGTGGACGACCTCATTGTCTTGCATGTAAGTCTAGACAATTCCGAAAGCAAGGTAAACTCTGCAAAAGCCATGGCTAATGACAACACAAGGCATAAAGAGACAGACGGAATGTCGATATGCACACGTCGCAAACCTATTGGAGTGAGCTATAGACGCCCGCCCCCCTTTTCACACAGGAAAGCTAATCTTCTGCAGGGAAACCTCGAGATCGGCTGCCAATGGGCGCCGCATGACAAGACCGCCCAAGAAAAAAAATGTCCCTGATGGGCCTGCTACCATTCCTAATATTGCCGACAGAGGCGCAATCAACGACCATGAAGGTTCATCTCGTGGTGCAGCGGCTCTCTCCATAGGCTTACTATCCCATGTTCCTTATTCCGTTACCAAGGCCAGCAATGTCTTTGGCATTGGGTCTGAGCATCCATTTGCCAACTACTGGACGTGCGAAGGAGGATTACCAGAAGTCATCTCTGTTCTACCGGACAAAGCTCAAGCCGACAGTCTTGTTGCTCGGTACTTCGAATGCGTGGACCCCGTGTACCCGATGATTCACCGTCAAACTTTTTATGCCGACTATGAGCACTTCTGGCGCATGAAAACCGACGAGCGAAATAAAATGGACCCATCTTTCATTGCCTTGATCTTTGTTATTCTGGCCCTCGGTACGCAGTTCGTCTCGTCTACGACACCCAAAGATCGCAAGCAGACTGCCGAGTTTTACGCGTCCGCCTCGAACCAAGCTCTCCGCATGTTTTCGTACCTAAGTTCTGCATCAATACGGTCTATACAGGCCATGGTGCTTATAACTTACTTTCTCATCAATGATAATCACGCGTCTGATGGCTGGGCTTTTGCTGGCATCTTGATTAGACAAGCATACGCCATGGGTTTGCATCGTGATCCAAATATCGGTAAGATGATCTCGTTTAATTCCATTTCTCCAGATTTCCCCTCCAATTTGATATCACTTGTCCGAGAGAGAAAAAAATGGGGTTGACGCGGGTTATTCTCTGTACAGTAACACCCAATGCCAATCCTTTCGAAAAACAGCAGCGGCGAAAAGTGTGGCAGGCCGTTCTTTTACAGGACACATTCTTGACTGTCCTTTTATCCTTGCCGCCTTCAGCCACCCACACAGATGTTTCTGTCGACGATTTGCTGGACGACAGTTCATCTATTGCGAGCAGCGATCCGACGGACACGGCCTATATCAGGGGATCGTGGATGCTGGCCAATCTGGTCCAGGAAACCATTTGTTCCCCTCGGTCATTGGATGTGCCTATCTGTACAACAGTGCGGCATAAATCCAAACTAGTGGCGGACTTTCGGGCAGTGTATCGGTCATTCCCCGATATTTTTCGATCCTGGGACACGGATAGTCTGACTGCGGTGGCAAGCACCAACAAGCGCATTGTGCGACAAACCTTATTCTTGACCAGCAACTATTTCCATAACCTGATGCTGGTGCATGCGTCAGAAAGCCCAGATGTGCCAGTCAACGTTCGAGGGACTCTGGAAGCAGCTCACGATGCTATTAGTGCTTTCTTCTTGATGTTTAGTCTATTGGAATCAGAAGCCCGAGTATGGTGGGTTTTTAATCACCGAGCATTCTTAGAAGCACTCTGCATCGCCAATGTGTTACGAGAAACAGCGAAAGATGCAGCGGGGAAAGACATGTTAGCCAGAGACCCCCTATTTGTGAGAGCCAGAACTGATATCAGTAAGTGAGAAGCGCAAGCGAGGCTGCATTAGATATTGTGAAAGACGGCTAATAGGGCTATGCAGCGCGAATGATTCAAATTATGGAGCTCATTGGCTCGAATAACGATGTTGCGAGAACGCGGGTTCAGATCTTGAGCGAGTTTCTGGAGGACACTGACACGGCATAGTCTTCTTGGACATACTTGGCCGTGTATTGACAATTTTTTGGATTTATTTATCGCGAATATATGTATGATTGGGACTTGGTAATAGCCAAGAAGATGTACTATTGGATATAGTAGGGATTATCATACAATGAATGGCACTGGCAACACCTGGCGTGTGTTGGGGACGTATTTTTTTTGGACATATTATCTGACGGCTGTGAAGACATGCAAGCTGGCACAAACGAAATGTGTTTGTGACAATCTTTGAAACAAGACCTTGATGACCAAGCTTTGCAACCAAATACTACCCGTTCAGCCACACACGTCGTTACAGACAGATCCTTCAGCCCTGCGGGAAAACGCATGGACGTGAGATTATGGTTCGAGGACATGCTACCTACACACATATGTACATTGTACATAAACTCGCTCGGAAGGCGACCGAGATGTGGATGACGCCCGGGCGTGGGGCCAAGATAACCCATGTTCTTGTATGGAAAACGAAAGGTCCATCAATTGTCCTGTGTGCTAATCCTTAGAGAGAAAAACTGACAGTTATGGCAGGTGTTGAAAAATAACCATCGAGAACACGGACGGTGTGTCATGGGACAGGCTAGCCAAAACCAACGTGGTGGGTGCTAGATGCTGGTCGCCTTCGGACATATAGACGGGGACGAGCAAGAAAACAAGCATTGCAAGGATGCCCGTGGGCAAACCTAAACGCAACTGAAGACGTGGCTGGACAAGGGACTCGTCAGCACATCGGTAACTATTGGCCAGGCGAAGACGGGACGCGAGGACAGTTTGCTCCACACAAAGAAGCTCCCGCCAGATTTGGCAAGGCCGACTAGCATGAGCCATGTCCGTCCGTCTGGGGAGAATGCGGCGATGGACAAGAGGGAAGCAGAAAGGGAGGTCAGTGTTGGGCTCGGACTGTGGAGACAAATGATACCCGTCAAGTTATTTTCGGCTGAGGAGCTGTTCGTTTCGCCGACTTGCGTTGCCCTTGATTGATCAACAAACCCTACCATTGCAAAGGTCCCGCCTTTGTTCGCACGACGACTCCTGCAACTATTTACGGAACCGAAACCCTGCGCGCTACGGAGACTACTCTTTTTGGGTTGCCCCTCAGGCTCTTGTACTATGTATTGAGTACTAGATTGTACATGTACATACATTAGATGCAGTCTGGGACCGCCCTCGTCATCCGACTTACATATATGTACATTGTAGGCTGACGGACAACGTGGCCTGCCACACCGGCTAGGCAACCTTTTTTCCCACACCTCGTTTCATCCGGCATTCTGCTCTTTTCCCTCCAAGTGTTGGGTCCTGGAGAGAAGACGAGCCACAGGTCCAACTGCGAAGAGTTTCGAAAGCTTGGCAGTTTGCTTCAATTGCCACTAAAGAGGCAAAACCGTCGACACCGGAGTTGTCGACTAGGTCAATCTCACTGGTAGGTCAGGTACAGCACCACTTGGGCCATGAGAAGCGGCTGGATATATGCGGCGTTGCCCACTGTACTGGTTGTCGTGCCTGCTTTGGCAACGTCGATGCAACGAGTTCACAATGGTATGTGGAAACGGCTGCCTGTTGACGGCACCGAGTAAAAAACTTCAGCCTAGATAGGCCGTCCCGAGGTTCATGCTAATAGGGTGTTGTCCGATATAGATGCCTCGACGGCCTTTGTGACACTAAACATTCCTAAGAATAAGGGAGAAGCAGAACCTCTCGTAAGCTCTTAACAATCTTGTGCTCCATTCGCACCTGTCTAATACAAGTGCAGACACTGCGTCTTGATGTTGGAGAGTCCGAAGCAGCCTGTGGACCGGGAAACCTCACCGTCAATGGCCAAGAACTCATCCAAGATGGCAACGGCAACGGCCAGGGAACTCTTGCCGCTCACCACGGCAGCAATTTCACTGCCAGCTGGGCCTTTAGCTGTGACGCCAGGTCTCCAAAGATGCTTTTAAAAATGCAGGTGACGCAGCTAGACGACTTGGAGATAGCGCCCTTCAACTTCTCTGCGTCTTTCACACAAATTCTTCCTCGACAGATCTGGATCATGGATGGAGCAGCCGTAGTGAACCGCGTCCATAGATTACCCCAGGAATCCAACTTGCAGAAGGGACTCGCAGAAACAACACTACAAGACCAAATACGCGACCTGGATATTCTGCGCATTAAAGCGCGCCAACTTGAAAACGCAATCCTGGCGCAAGAAAGCAAAATTGCTCAAAAATTGGGCCAGAAGAAGCATTCCCCGCCGACAAACATTCAAGATTGCACCAGCTTGGAATGTGTTTTGAAGGCACTGGGTGGTAAATTTAGAGATGTGTCTGAACAATTCAGTGGGGACGTGGAAGATCTAAAGGATTTCATTACTGATTCTGAAGATGGCTCGCTGCCGGTTCCTGCAGATGATTATGAGTATTGGTATGGCGAGGAGGAAGAACTGGATGATAATCGTCCCGAAACACATGATCTAAAGGACCACAGAGTCAAGTGGACTTGGGTCGACCAGCTCCCTCTTGTTGTGAGCGACACAGACGGCCCGTCCATCGAATACGTACGCCCTCGCCGCCAACCACCTGTAGGTTCCTCCCCCTTTCGCGCCATTTATATCGACGGAAACTGACACGTCCAGCTCGCCATGGCTATCGCACTATCGGTAATAGCACTCTGCCTCCTATCCACGCTCTTGATACTGCGCCTCCACCGCCGCACGGCCGGCCTCCCGGTAGCCATTGACAACGAAAAAGTCCTCTTTTCCGAACGTCCACGGCGCCACTCCAAACGCGAGTCGTGGGCTGAGCGTCGTGCGCGGCGCAAAGCTCGCAAACACGCTATCAAGGAATATGTTCGGAACATATTCATGCGATGGTGCCATAAGACGGTATCCCCTCCTTCACCCGTTTACGAAGAATCGACCAGCATAGAGGAGGAGTTCGCATCGTTCAGGGAGGCGTTGAGTGTCGTGGACAGTCTTGTGGCGGTCGAGGAGGGCAGGAATCGAGAAGTCCCAAGATATGCAGATGTGCAGGGCTCTGCAGCGGGTTATGAAGCGTTTGCCGATGACGAGAGTTTACCGCCATACGAGAGTGAGGATGATTCGACGCCGGTGGTGGATGGGTTTCGCTACGGGGGGTCCACGGGGGATGATAGGCTGGGGTATGATAAATAATTCTTGCATTTTTGGTATTACGACTCTTTTGAGGAAGAGCAGGAAGAGCAGTGAGACTAGGCGTTCGGATGCTGGGGAATTGCTTTCGTTGCATGGGTATGTTCCGGCATAGTTTATTGAGTACATATGTACCTGATTCTCCGTAGGACGATTTTGTTCTTAGGGCAGCTGGTATCAGGGCCGACTATCATTGTAGAACGCTTAATTTTAAACACACCACAATACAAGTCTCGAACATACGCGTGGCATGTCGATTCTGGATCTTGATTTCAATACCTGAACGCATGTCACGTCCAACGCCTGCTAATTACGCTATTGTGTATGCACGCCATGTCCCTTCGTAGCATATCCGTCATGGCTCCTTACCAAATATGAAGGCTTCCAAATTCTTAGCGACCCTTAATATACCATCTTCCAATGTCCAGCCTTTGACCTCACAAACACGTCGATACATGTCCTCCAATGCAGCATCCATTTTCTCCCCCGCGGAATCTAAATCGCTTTCCACTAGAATCCTGTCGTCAGGCACGGCGCGAACTATATCGGGAAACTTGTTGCGGCTTGATATCGTCCCAAAATTCACTGCCGTAGAAAGTGATACGTATATTGTTGCTGGGTTCGTAGGATTAAACCACTGTTTTAGACCCTCCACAGGGCCACTGTAGGAATGGAGGCAGATCCGTGGCGGGTACGGCTTTCCAGTAACAGTGTCAGCATCCTCCTCGTCTGAGTCGTCTTCTGCACCTGGGGCGATCATGCGTTTTTCACGTCGGGAGGGAATATGCTTCTCGTGTCCTTTCCAACAATGGGATACTATGTCATACAGAATGCCGTGAGCTTGGACTCCGTGAATGCTAACGGGTCTGCCGGTTTCGCTGGCAAGACGGAGCTGGGCACGAAAAATGGCTTCTTGGTGCGGCGCGCGTACTCGGTAAGGACTTAATAGTCTCCCTTCTCGGCCGCCAGGTGTCAGGGCACCATCTCTGGATTCGGCCAATGCAGGGTCCCATGTCTGGGGCAAGCGAAACGCCCTGTCGAGGCCAATCTCGCCAACGAGGGCCAGAGGGTAAGCTTCGAGTTGGGTGCGAGTTGAACTGATGAATGACGAAAGTAGGATCGGCGTAGGCAAAGAAGCAATAAAGCCATCATCTTGGGGTGATGGTTTGAGAACCGCCTGATAATGCACCTTCTTGGTGGCTAACAGCAATGTTTCATCTGTCTCGTCTGCTGCTGGTAGTTGTGGTGGCGGTTTATACGTAGGTTCAGCGGCAACGTCATCGTACAATTGATGAGAAAACCATGGATGCCATCCAAACGAGGGAATGACTTGGCAGCTACGTTGTACTGCAGGCCTTGGTTCTTCTCCTGCTGATACAGAGAATGCTTCTGCATCGCCGTGGCCATCACTCTGACATCCGCCTCCACGACCCCGCAAACCTGCCCGGCCTTTGACGCCATGCATCGACGCCACGCCAGCAACCAAATCTTGATCCTGCGAACGAGTTGCCATGATAACAAGCGCGGAGGCGCGCATGGTTTCGAGGCTGGTTATCGAGCGCATTGTGTCAGTGGGATGGCAATGGGCATCAAAAACAGGCAAGTGCCATGGAAAGACTTCATTATTTGCAGATGGAGGACGATTCGATTCGCTCTGTTGATGTTGACACATTATTGTCACGGAGTCTTGAAATGTTTTAGAAGTCGCTGCTGTGAGTCTCAACCCGTTAGTGACAGGATACAGTTGCGCATCGCCTAGTGTACGCTGATGTACTTCCTACAGTACAATATTACGGTACGGTGTGCAAAAGTCAGGTCGCTTTTCTAGTCAAATAATAAC